ATGTGCATGTTGGGGCCCATGTTAGTGAAATCCATAACAATTTTCATTGCACTGGGGAGCTGGTGAGGTATGCTGTTGTGGAGCTTGTGGTGTTCCTGCTTGCTGAAGTGGCTGAGGTTGTATGGCCATTTTTATAGCTGCAGAGAGTTGGTTTGTTGTTACTGGAAGTTCGTCCGGATCTTCTTTGACCGTCATGACTTAAGTGGGCTTGTTTGACTTCTTCTTATCTTTGACTTCAGCCTGCAACTTTTATGCAACATATCTTCTTTGTTTGCCAACCATTTGGTGATATGATGATTGCAGTGAGCATCAAATTCTTCTTCAGGCTTGGAGTAGAGGCCAACTATATCACTCAGAGAGCCCTGCACAAATTGAGTAATCCCTTGACAAGAGCAGAGAAGAACCTTACTGTAATTCCAGTGCCTGTTTGCAGGGGTTCTCCAGTGGTGTTATGAAACATTGTCTTGGCTCTTTGCTTGTAGGTATAGTAATCTTCACCAGACTTTAATTGGAGAGACAGCAGTCCATCTGAGATAATGGTCGGGAAGCGAGTTCTGAGTTCGTCAGTCAAGTCGTGGGGGATTGCTGCTAAAGATACACTGGGGCGGAGTAGAATCACCATCTTGTATTCAATGGCCGTTTGTATATTGGGGGCGGTGGTTTCATCTGCGGCTCTGATCAGTGTGGCATGTATGTCTCCCCCAGAAGAGAGGCCTCCTTGTGTGATATTTGGCAGTGACAGCATAAGAAAGTTGAGATCTTTGAGTGGCAATGGCTGATACATTGCTCTATGGGTTGCTGTGAGTCTCAGTGGTGCCAAAAATGTTTTGTCTTTCTCTTCTTGTATTTCATTGTCCTTCACCACAAATAGAGTAGGGGGAGGAGTATTACATTGTGGTGCTCGGGCAGCAGTTTATTTAGGATGAATGCAATGCTGTTCCCATTAATTCTGTCCAGTGATAAATGCTCCATCATGATCTTTGTTGTCAACAATCCCAGTGAAGGCTCAAGCTATGAATTCAGTGCTTTCCAGTGATCTTCGGCTCAGATGTAGTTTACTCGGTTGGCCCTTTTCAGCTCCTGACAACTTCCTGGAGTTCCTGGAGTTGCCCTAATTAATTTCCAAACTGAAGTATGTTTATTCTGAAAGATTTTTTCCAGCAGGTCCCACCACTTTTTTTTTAGGTATCTTTTGTATCTATACACAATATATAAGTAAAATGTCATAGAGAGGAAGATTCCAGGCTAAAATATAACAGCAGGCTACATGCTGGTGGTGGACCTTCAACCAGAAGATTAACATAAGTCTCATTTCCGTTGGTTCACTGTGGAGTGGGTTAGTATGGTCCACGAGTGCCTCTACTGTCCATAAAAAACTGAGGTTCTAGCTCACAGTTGTACCCTTTAGGAGGAGCGAAGTACAGTGAGACAATTAGACAAGGGAGTAGGCAGACTAGGGTGAAAGGAAGATGGCAGATATAAATACTGCATCTAACATTAGCCTAACCCAATGCATTATATAAAAAAGATGTTAATAATGTGGTATAGAGGTGCAGAGAAATGAAATAATTGAGGAAAAAAGCTTTACCCACATCTCCCAGCACCACAAACATGGAATTACTAAATGTGTTTTTGTGAATGGCTGATTAAAAGTATAATTCCGGAAAGATTTACCTTTTATTCATTAAGAAAACATTAGTTATGTTATGCTATAGTTCACTTACAATGAACAAGCATCTACAGTAAGCCTCTTTCTTTACTGCGTGGCAAGGCAAGGCAAGTTTATTTGTATAGCACAATTCGTACACAAAGTAATTCAAAGTGCTTTACAGAATAAGAAATACATTAAAATCATAATAAAAACAAATCAAAACATAAATAATCATGAAGATTAAAATTAAAAAAGAGAGACATAAATTGGAGAGAAGAGTGCGGAATGAAAACCTTTCAGTTATATGCACAGTTAAACAGAAATGTTTTGAGTCTGGATTTAAACAGCGTCACAGAAGAGTCTGTCTCACATGTTCAGGAAGACTGTTCCAGGTTTTAGCTGCATGAACCTGAAACGCTGACTCCCCTTGTTTAGTTCTGACTCTGGGCACCAGCAGGAGGCCGGTCCCTGAGGTCCTCAGAGTGCGAGATGGTTCATATGACACTAACATGTCACAGATGTACTTTGGTGCTCGGCCATGGAGAGACTTGTACACAAGCAGAGCTGCTTTAAAGTCTATTCTCTGAGGCACAGGAAGCCAGTGCAGAGACCTGAGCACAGGACTTATGTGCTCGTACTTCCTAGTTTGAGTAAGGACCCGAGCTGCAGCATTCTGGATGTTCGGCAGCGTCTCACAGCTCGTTTGGAGAGACCAGTGAGCAGACCATTACAGTAGTCTAACCTACTGGAGACAAATGTGCAATACAAAATATATATAATTGAAAGAGTGTAATCTAAATCGATGGAGAAATGAAAACAATGAACTGATGGACAACAACTGATAATGAATCCTATATCCTTCCTTTAACTTTTTTTTTTTTTTTTTCATGCAATTTTGTAAAGTCCTGCCCCCTCCTGAAATGCAAAAATACCTCTTTATTTTTTCTTGTGATCAAAGCTGTGTTCACGTGACCTGCTTGCCTCTTGGTCCTTTGAATAAACCATGTCTCTTTTTCTCTCAGGGCATAAGTCAGCATGAACCACAGCATCACGTAAGCATCACTGTATCTCTGTATCATCACTGTAACTGTAGGCATTCTGAGCATCATAATTATTCACAGCAATTACTTTCTGAGTGCTTTTCAAAACTTTCAGAGACCAAAGCAGAGTTTGTCATCTCTATAAAGTTAACAACAACTTGCATGCTAATGTGCACTGATTATCTGACAATAAAATGCCTTCTAATTAGAGGCAGAAAGCATGCAGCAGACTTATTTTGAGCTGCTTATACAATGTACCTGTACTGGGACAAGACACACATTTTGTTCAAATACATGTGAAAACCATAAAGGACGTCTAAAGACAACAAAAAGACATGATAACTGAGATGCATTTTGTGTTAAAACGATTGCCGTGTTCATAACGTATGGACTAGATTTTCCATGTCAAAACCGCAGTTTCCGCAATGTGCATCTGTCTGAAGAACAACAAGCCTAACCACACGCAACAGCTTCACAGAGCAGTGGGTTTTGATTTTGTGACCACTGCATTCTAAAAACAGAATAGACTTAGAGTAGACCAGTTAAGGGGGAACACAGGGGGACAAAACAAATGATAAACATGTATCTGTTTTGCTAAATTATTGTCACATGGCTCAATGTTGGCCTACCTGATTCAGGAAGTGCGACACACACTATTATTCTCACGCCATTTTGATAGACTAGAAAGAGAGAGAGGTACTATATTGATCCCGAGGGAAATTAAAGTTTTGGTGCAGAAACATTTACACTGTGCTTTTCAGTGGCCTTTGTGTCTCAGTCAAAGGTCGTGTTTAACAACTCAACTTTATTTCTAGAGCACTCAGCCAACAAAAGTATTGTTCACAAATTAAACAGGACACACCACAAATATTGACAAATGGTAAATAGTCAACTCTCAAAGTTAAAAACCACAGACACCAGTTTGGCAGGAGGACTGGTCAGGTAGGATCAGCAGATCCTGTATCCCTCCTCTATTTCCTGCAGCACCACAGCAGCATCCAAAGGGAACCGGGTGAACACAACAGGAAAGCCTCTTTTAAGCCTCACACTCACTCTGCTCTGGTGTTTCCATTAGTGATGAAATTGTTCATTCCCTCAAAGTATTCCCTCTGAAAGGTTTTCTGCCACATATGGTAGAAAAAACCTGCAGCATCTTCAATGTCCATAGCTACCTTCTTAGCTAGCTCCTCAGCTAACCTCTGGCACAGTGTCTATGGGGAAAACTATTTGTTTTTCCTGTATCCATGGAGACCATGCAAGAGGCTAGTTAAGGAGCTAGCTATGGACCTTCAAGATGCTACAGACCTTTTACAACAAATGTGTCATATTACACTAAATGTGTCACAACACCTTCCAGAGGAAATAGACCTACTTTTAGGGAATGGCTCATTTCATCCCCAACTAAAACACCAGAGGAGAGTGAGTGAGGCTTAGAAGAGGCTTTCTTGTTATGTTGACCTGGTTTGCCTTGCCTGCAGGACACAGAGGAGGAAGACTTAGGGCTCTTTGTCTCCTTAAACTGACACAGGATCTGCTGACCCTACCTGACCAGGTATGCTGCACTGAGACCTTTAACTTCTGACTGAGACACAGAGAGCCACAGCCACAGAGAAGAGCAGTACATTTCTGCAGCTAAACTTGAATTTTCATCGAGATCAATAAAGTATCAAGCTATCTGTCTATCTGTCTTTTATTTTGCATGGGGCTCTCAGTCTTGACAGCTAAAAGTTCTATATGGACTGCAAAGCTGTTTTAAAGCCTCCCAGAGAATTGCTCCTCTGTTGACTTGTTGGTGCACATGAACGTTGTACATTTATTAGAAATCAACCTAGTTTACATCATCTTGTGATTAGTTTCTGAATGAACTGCACTGATTCTGTCAAGAGAATCTGAACATGTAAAAGTGACAGTGTCTGTAGTTTGGACCACTGTCACATGACATCTCTTTAAAGTTTATGTGGTTTCAGAAATCAAATGTTAAACTATTTGGCAGCAGCACTAAGACACCACTCTCTACTTAGGCTGCAGCCTGAAGTGACCCAAATCTGATTTTTTGGCTTCTATGTGACCTGTATCCGATCTTTTAATGACAGTCTGAACGGCACAGATCAGATTTTTTCAAATGCAACCCAGGACACTTGGATATGTGGTCTTGAAACTGATACATATCCGATCTTTTGACATGCGACTTCAGTCTGAATGGTCAAAGCGCATCCATCCGACCTACACGTCATCAACAAGCGACAAACGTCACTATTCTGAGCTGAAGCAGGCGGAAACCGGAACTGTAAAATCGCCAGGTGCCAAGAGGGTCTGGCTGCAGACACATGGGGAAAGTGGAGCTCCACTCCAGACTGGAAACACGTGACCTCCACCGAAGACGTTATCTCTACTTTTATGTAGACCTATGGGGCAACGAAACGATTTATTTTGACCGCAATTAAATGTTTATTAAATAAGATTGTTTTTACGTTATGGAATTTGTTCGCACATACAAACACAGAGCAAAACGACCATCTGGAAGACGGAGAAAACATGTGAGTAACACGCTTTTAACTTTAGGAAATCATTACTAACACAACTGTAAATGTAAAATACAGCCATAACTCCCACAAAACTGTCAAATAAGTTTATTTTTAACTGCGTGAACCTCGGAGATTTGAGCTAAAAGTTTGAGTAGTAATCTGCAGCTAACGCGATGAAAAGTCAACTCAAACTTTCATATTTGGACAGATTTCCATCAAACACTAATCATGTTTTTACTGTTAGGGGTAAAGAAGCCCACGGAGTGATTTAATGAAGCTACGAGGAGAAAACGCCGCATTTTCACGCACAGTGACTGGGTTAAACTTGTAAACACTTGGCCAGTATAAGTGTAAGTGCGGTAAGATAAAAACACGCATTATTTCATGCATTAAACATAAAAGACAGTTTTTTATGTTTAATGTATAAAACATTAAACATGTCAAAGCTTATATTTACTTATATTCACGTAACATAAACCTCCAACGTGTGCATTTCATTCTGGGAATACATTATCTGCTTTTAACAATCCGTGCATGTTTGTAAAGTGAAAAGTAAAGAATCCTGCCTGGACGGGTCAGATATAAGGTGGACATGAGGCTCATTTAACAGATTTTGCAGACACTGTTGTAGATACTAGACACTTGTGTCTGTTCGGTCTGTCACATCTAATATCATAACAGTGAGTAAACTGTTTGATATTCATGTTCTTTTCTCATCTGCAGCTTCCTGTATGAGAACAACACACTGCTGGGGCCACAGAAATGTTGGCTGATGAGACGCTCATGATTCATGAAATGGGTCAAATGCAGATGACAAAGAAAAGTCAACACTGAGCAGGAGGTGCTGACCCAGACTTCTGCCTCTGTTTAGGTCTGGGACATGTTACATTGAAAACTCCAATAATAATAAGGGCTGCAAATGAATCAGGCTCATGTTGAAATCATTATTTAATTTTCTGAAAATACACATTTCTCAAATGTGTGAGATTTAGCTGTTTGGATTTATGTAATAGTTTTCTTAATGTGTGTGTCATTACAGGTTTTCAGTCTGCAGACAGAAATTTCAACCAGTCAGACTTAAGGCCCATTCTGCTCTTCCTCCTCCAGAAAACGAGAGATATGTCAGACTGAATGATCCAAGTACACTGGGTCATGTCTCCACTGTCCATGTCCAGACTCACAGAGGAGGAGGAGGTCCAGACTGCAGACCTGTGGGGCCTCTGGTTGCATCAGGCCTTCCTCCTGCACATTCTGTTTGCTGTTGTTCCTAATGTGTCCTAATAGTGATGTGTCCATAAAGATTAGGTTTAACGTCTAATTTCCTCCAGAAGTGAAACAGTAAAATGGTGGTTTCTGTTCGTCTTAGCTGAAGAGCACCTAAACAGCTTTATCACTGAGGAAGTGTCCCATGTGGCCTTATATGATCTTAACAAGTGTATGAGACAAAACTAGTCATATAAGTTGCTCATAATAAGTTTTTCTGAATGTTTTTCAGTCTGTACTGATGTTTGATTCATGATGAAATGTGCCATTTACTTTCTGTCTCTTTTGAAAGTAACTAATTACATGTACTATAAGAATGTACTATTGTACTGCAGTTAAGCAGTGGTATTCCACCTGATCATATTTTGGAAATTTTTTTTCTGCTTCAGCAAAATGGGAACAACTCTTTGAGAGTACACTGACATACAGCTATTTGTACTCACCTATTAATGCAGAGTGTGTTTGTGTTTGTGTTTGTGTGTAATGGGTTTAATGTTTGACTAGTCACATTATGATAAAGTATTTACAGTATTTATAATCCTTTGATTGTTTAATAAACCATCTTTTCTCAAAGCAGAGACGTCTTTCTTTATAAACTGACTTAAATACATCCCCGGTATAAATGTAATCCTTTATCAATTTAAAAATACTTTATTAATAATTAATAATCTCATCAGTTTTAGAAACTTAAGGCAATTTAGTCTATTTTAGATGTATCCCAGAAATATCGCCGTTTTGTTTTGCAAAAGTTAAACATAAGTTATCGTTTTTAGCCATAAGATTTGGATGAGAATTATTAGAATAACTTGGTCTGAAATTCCAACAGTTTGATTACCCGTGCGTCATCTGCGTGGTACGTGTTGTTAGCATTAGCATTAGCAAAGTGTCTCGGTTGCTAGGCGACGGGGCGGCTCCGTGGGCTACACCTGTCACATTTCAGCTACAGTGAGGGCCGCAGCCTTCACAACCTTCGAAAGCTGCCGCCCTAGAACTGGGACACGGCTAATATGGCTAATACGAATAAAAAATAAAAAATTAAAGTCTATCGTAGATATGACGTGTTTCCGGTGGAGGTCACGTGTTTCCGGTCTGGAGTGGAGCTCCACTTTCCCCATGTGTCTGCAGCCAGACCCCTCTCGTGCTCACTGCTCGCGTCCATGTTTGGACAACTTCTGTAAACACAGAGCACGCTCGCTGCGGTTGACGCATGGGGTTGACGTCATCGTGTCCTCCAATACGCATGCGGGACACTTTTGGGCCATTTACCGTTCACACTGGAGTCACAGACAAGTCACATTTAATTGAAAATGTGAACGACCTCGCAAAAACATCGGATTTCACAAAAAAATCGGAATTGAGCATTAAGCCCTGCAATCTGAACGTAGCCTTAGTGAACAGTGACTTGGACTCAATTTCATCTCTATATTTGATGTAAGACTAAAAATGTTATTTCAAACATTTAGTGGACAAATAGAGGCTGTAATTCAGACAGGGGTGAATCAAAATCTTAGAAGACATTAAAGTAGGACTAAACACCTAGACTCCACCCACAAATAGATCTGCTAAACTGGGACTGCAAAGACTTAGTAGGACTAAAGAAAAGTGCGAGGGTGGAGGAAAGGCAGGGTCTGGAGATATAAGTAGCAGTGTGATTGGTCTAACAGGTATTTAATCAGCACAGACCTGAGTGATGTCACATAGTACATGAAATTGTAATAATTATGAGATCTCCTGTTTAGCTGCTGTTACTATATACTTGTGTTTGAATGTGTCGTGTGACTACATCTGGCCTCACTCTGGGGCACCAAAATATGTAGTCTACAAGGGCTCACAGCGTGATACCATTAGATGTAGGGGGATAATTGATGTTACAGGTTGGAATTTAGGAGTTCTAAGTTAAAGCAGCACTCACGTGGCTTTTGTAAGTGTTTGGCTCTGACTAGAAGTAAATCTGGGGGCACCACTCAACAAATATTGAGAAATATTACCAATCCAATTTAATCAATTACCTACATTAATTAATAAATTAATTAATTAATTAATCAATTGTTAATTAATTATTAATTAATTAATTAATCTGAAGGTTCGTAAATTCTTGTCCATATCAGTGACCTGGAAACAACATCACTATTCACCAAAGCAAACTGGTTTATGAATATTTATTGACCAAGTTAAACAGACAGCATTTAAATATCAAATATGCAAATGAGTGTAAGTCGCTCTAAACTGGTGTCTAGAGATCTGAGATTGGACACAACTTTAAGGGTTATCTAAAGTTCTGAGTTGAGTCTAAACTGATAAAGTAAGCCATTCTGTGACAGTGCGCACACAACCCGGGGAGCGTGGAGCTGTTCAGTTACCATGTGGTCCTGTTGGGTCCAATGAAGGTTTGAGTTTCTCAGGACGTCAGTTCTGAAGAATCAAATGCGATAAAACAGAGGAAGGCCACGTGATCTGATCAATCTTCCAGGCTCAGTCGGCGTCAGGCTCAGTCGGCATCAGGCTCAGTCAGCGTCAGGCTCAGTCGGTGTCAGGCTGACGTACGCTCTCCTCTGTTCCAGAGGATTGGAGGAGACGTTTCAGTGTCCACGAGGTCTAACAGCGCCGGTCACAGATTAAGGTTCATCAATCAAAAAGACTATGTCTGCAAAAATGCAAATATTTAAATTTGCACAAATATGAAAGCTTCATTTTCAAATCAGATCAGCTACAGGTATTCGAATAAAAACACGGCGAACTGGTCAGAACTAACTGGGGTCTGTCTTTCTCCTCTTAAGTCTTAAGTTAGGCGGGAAAGACTGACCAATGAGGTGTGTAGTTGTGTGAGCTATGATGTGAGGAATGTGAGTTTTTGTGGGGAGTGTTATGACATAGCTCTCATATTACACACTATGAACATTTTTACACAAATAAAGTATTCACATGACATTTACAAATCAGTATTAAAACACACTGGCCATAGTTCATTGAATGAATTGAATTTCATTCCTTTCTTTCTCTGGAGAAAGTTCATTGGCTTGAGATTTAGAGATTGTTCCATCAAAATCCCATAGTGTCTTTTATTTGTCGATTATAGTCAGTGAACTCACTTCAGTCAATTGATTTATCATTAGGTGAAGCTTTATAGAAAAGTTAGTTTGTAAACGAGCTTTAATCCTTGAAAGGGTCTTTGTGTGGTACATCATACAGGGAGTGCATGAACACAAGTCAGTATATCTTCCTTGGGTGACAGGTCCAAGATAGGGAGGTTCAGACACATGGGGGAAGGGTAGAGTGTCTCAAAGTTAACCTCTGTCAGAGGCGTTGTCCAAACTTTGTGCAAGTCTATTCCCTAAGATTTGATATCATGGTAACAGCCATGATTTCACATCTTCCATAGGTCAAAGGTCAATACTCTTACAAATGCAATGCTAACACTGCTTTGTAATGCACATGCATCTTTAATATATGGACTTATAGTATTACATGTCTAAAATATTTAGCAAAATACTTAGAATGAGAACATGTGGTAAATTTTATTTTTTCAGATTTCACAAAGCAAGTTCTTTTTAAAAGCAAGAATAATAGACACAGGTTAAAACTTAATAGATGTAGAGGTAATATAAACATAGTGCTCAAGAAAAATTGCTTTGTGATTGAAGTAAGCATAAGACTCAGAATAGGTAAAACAAAAAGAAATGCCATAATAAGTAAAATGCAAATATCACACAGTATACTCCTGACTGGTTCTCTCAGTGGTGCTCTGCTCTCACACTGGAGTACACACACTCCTGCTCTCCTCTTGTGTTACTGCTCTGTCTCTGTTTCACTTTTCTGGAGGAGAAATTTAGTGCTGTGTAGTTGACATCTGCACGTGCGTCCTAAAGATATGGAGACAAAATACACATTTAACCACTGAAATCTCAATCAGACACCATTATCTGTTATTTTTACTTTGTTCAGTCATAATTTTAAAATATCAGCACGTACCATATTTTCTGAACTCTCACAGTGTGGACTACTGACAGTATCAGGAGAATCTGTGAAATAGGATATGCCACACTATTACTATGTATGCTAGACTATAACAGAAAATAGTCCACATTTAGTGTATGGTACCTCTGCAGTATTTACAGAGCCTCCCTCTCTTCACACAGAGAATGATGATCACGAGCACACACACACACAACAAGACTGACAGAGCCACAGTCACTGGCAACAGCTGCAGCTCTGGGAGCTCATCTGAAACAATAGGTTACATTTTATAAATCTGGTAGAAGTCTCATTCATATATTTAGCACTCTGATTGGAGTTCTACTAAGTCAATCTGGAATTAAAATGGTTTTGAGGAAGAACGTTTAGTCAAATACTAATACTAGTATTTGAATACTATTGCTTCACAATTTCATCTGCCTGTGTATTTGAGGTAAACACCTAAGATGAGCTGAGACAAGATGTATTCCGAAAATCTTTGAAGTAAATTCATACTGTCTGTGTATTATAGTCAGTCAATTAAATGTTCACTTCAGAGCGACAATTGTAGACGTAAAATATGACTTTTAGAGCAAATATGACGTACCTATGTCCAGTGTAGTTCCTGTCCCAAACAGGATATGTCCACATGTGTGCACAGCGCAGTAGTATGTCCCAGCCTCAGAGGAGTGTTCTATAGTTTTGGACAGACTGTAGACACAGCTGTAGTTTGTAAAGTGGGACATGAGTCCAGTGTGAGGCTCCACAGATCCAGCTCTGAACCAGTGCACCTGCTGCTCTTGTGGACACTGGATTTGGCTCTTTTTGTTTTTGGGCTGAAGTGAGCACTGAAGAGACACTGAGCGTCCTGGGACCACTGAAGCAGAGGATGGACTCTGTGTCACATGATCACAGCTCTGTGAGTCTGCTCCATCTGTGCCTAAGACAAGAGCACACAGCGTCAACAGCTGCTCTTTACTATTCACTTAGTATTCTAATACTTTACCATTAACAACCAAGAAGGTGCCATTCACAAAGTTCTGTCCATATCCATCAATCAATATGCAATAGTAGATTGCTTCGTCCTCTTTTCTGATATTTTGTATTGTAAAAACGTGCTGATTATCTACAGTGTTGAATTTAAAACAATCCTGACCTGAAGGATCATTTACTTTAAGATCATCAAATACATATCCAATAAATTGCATCATGTGTCCTGGGGTTTGCTTGTACCAGTAGACTTGTTCATACTTAAAAGCACATGTAAAACTGACAGTGTCCCCAAGTTGGACCACCGTCACAGGTATTCGGTCCTCTGCACTTTGACCTGTTAAAAACACACTCATAAATCACCATGTATTTCATATACTATTATTACTGTAGTTTTACTTACAGAAGGTGCTCAAGAAGATGAAGGCAGTTAGTGGTCTAATCATGTTTCTTCTGATGTTCCAGACAGACTTACATGAGTATTTGATGTCTTCTCATCATAAAGCAAGCTTTGAAAAGCGGAAATCAAGGTGATTGGCTGAAGCTCAAATTTTCCACCCCAGACGCACTCTGTCACTTTTCTGGCGACATTCTAGTCTCCATAGAGATGTCACTGCTTTGCCCAAAAATGTTCCACAAAATGGCATAGACATATATTAGAATGGAAAAATCCATCACCATGAAGAATGCTCAGAGTATTAGAGCTCAGAGTATGTTTTTAACTTTTAATCTCAAAGCAGGTGGCACCACTTTTCTTTTTGAGGTTTTGAGGTATGGTATTTTTGAGCAATTGAATAAATGTGTGAGGCAAGATTCCTGACTAAAATACAACCTCAGCAGGAGACAAGCAGGTGGCGGACCCTCGACCAGAAAGGTTAGTGCACCTGCACCTTTAATGAACAAGTGTCTATCACAGTAAGAAATTAATCTGCCTTTATCAAAGAATATAATACAAAACATAAAATTTTAAGACTCTAATCTAAATCGAAGGACAGAAGAAAAAGATGAACTGATGGATAATGATGTGACTTACCAGGTTGGGATGAATCCTTTATCCTTTCCCATAAAATCTAAATTATATATATATATATATATATATATATATATATATATATATATATATATATATATATATATATATATATATATATATATATATATATATATATATATATATGTATATATATAAATTTGAAATATGTTTTTTGTGTGGAAGCCAAAGGCCAAGCACCCAAACGAAGCAAAACAAACATGGCAGCACCACCAGTAGTACTTCAGCCTATTTTAGAATCAATACTAACTATTTTATTTGTGAAAAATATGGAGAAAGTAAACACTTTGGCTATTTGTGAACAGGGAAAATGTCTGTGCTCTCAACTGGATGTGTCAAAAGTTAGATTTTCCTGCTTGTTACGCTGTTGCAAGGCTTTGACCAATCACTCGTCATGAATTGTCATTATTTGATCAAATAATCGTCATGATGCTCCACGCTTTCCATTCACTTTCAGCGAGGGTCATCCCCGATTGATAATGTATAGAACTATATTCAGAGTGACACAGAGTATTAATCTAGCATGAGCCAGGTAACTGTATCTGATTTTTATTTACTTAAAACTTGAAAGACAGAACTGGTTCATTTTACATGGTTTCCTTAGTTATCTTGAGCATCTGAGAATCATAATAACAGTGATGAGTTTTTGAGTGCTTTTCAGAACTCTCAGACACCAAAGCAGAGTTTGCCATTTGATAACGCTGACAACAACTAGCATGCTAATGTGCACTTCCTGATTATCTGCCAATAAAATGCCCTCTAACTAGAAGCAGAAAGCATGCAACTGGATTATTTTCACTTATACAATGTGTCTGTTCTGCGACAAGACACATTTTGCCAAAATACATGTAAAAAACATAAAGGACCTTTAAAGACAACAAAAAGACATCATGAATAGGGGTGGGTTCATATAAGTTTTTCTTCTTCCCACTCCTTTTTGAGAAATGTGCTTTTCTGTTGTTTACAATGTTTATGTAGTATATATGATTATTGTTACTCTCTTGGTACAAACTTGAAATAAAAATGAATCAATCAATCAAAACTGAGATGCATTTTGTGTTAAAACAATTGCCATGTGCACAAAGTATTGACTAAATTTTCCATGTCAAAACCGCAGTTTCCGCAATGTGCATCTGTCTAAAGAACAATAAGTCTAACCACACAGCAGCTTCACAGAGCAGTGGGTTTTGACTTTGTGACCACTGCATTCTAAAAACAGAATAGACTTAGAGTAGACCAGCTAAGGGGGAACACAGGGGGACAAAACAAATGATAAACATGTATCCGTTTTGCTAAATTATTGTCACATGGTTCTATATGAGCCTACCTGATTCAGGAAGTGTGACATACATTTTGTGTTTTCACGCCATTTTGATAGACAAGTCAAAAGTTTTCCATAGCAAAGCTGCAATCAATACCATTTTAAAGTTAGTTTATTGATTTTAAGATGCTAAATGAAATGACTTTTTACTACATATCCAAAATATTATAAATATATAAATTTCGGGAGTAGCCTACACACTTTAATATTATGTTAAAGAAAAATAGCATGCTAACTAGTGCAATAATCAGAACAAGAAAAACAAAAGGCCTCGATAACTAAAATCCACCTTTCACACAGTATATTCCTGCCTGGGCCCTGTGAGGATCAGTCCATCAGTGGTGCTCTGCTCTCACACTGGAGTACACACACTCCTGCTCTCCTCTTGTGTTACTGCTCTGTCTCTGATTCACTTTTCTGGAGGAGAAATTCAGCGCTGCATAGTTGACATCTGCATGTGTATCCTGCAAGTATGAAGACAAAACAAACATGTAACCACTGAAATCTCAATCATACACAGTTATCTGTTGTTTTTAATGTGCTCAAAATTTCAAAATGTTTCAGTATCAGCACATACCATATTTTCTGAACTCTCACAGTGTGAACTATTGACAGTATCAGGAGAATCTGTAAAATAGGATATGCCACACTATTACAGTTATGCATAGACAATAACAGAAAATAGTCCACATTTAGTATATAGTACCTCTGCAGTGTGCACAGAGCCTCCCTCTCTTCACACAGAGGACGATGATCACGAGCACACACACACACAACAGGACTGACAGAGCCACAGTTACTGGCAACAGCTGCAGCTCTGGGAGCTCATCTGACAATATATAGATACATTACAAATTAATCTGGTAGAAGCCTCATATATACTGTATGTGTAGTACACTGAGTGGAGTTCAGTACTATTTTCTAGCTGATTGGTTGATGTTTCACAAAAGTAGAGTAAATTGATCCCTCTGCGTATTTGAGGCAAATGCCTAAGATGGAGTGTGTCACGATGTATTCTAGTGAGTTTGTGAATTCACAAATATATTTTTAAGAAAACAACTGCAGTGTGCACTTTTCAGCTGTTGTGGTTTTCCTCTGCACCTGTCGTCTCATCAGTCCACCAAAAAACAAACTCACAAATATCATAAGAATTAATACTGCTGAGTTACAGGTGAACATATACTTGTGAGACTGTAAACACAGTAGTCCACAGACTTACAATAAGAACAATGATATTCTTTAGATGCTCAGAAAGTCATCATTTGTGCAGTCACTCAATCAAATGTTCACTTCAGAGGCTTCAATTTATTCACACAATTAAAATAGGATTTTAGAGAAAATATGACGTACCTATGTCCAGTGTAGTTCCTGTCCCAAACAGGATATGTCCACATGTGTGCACAGCGCAGTAGTATGTCCCAGCCTCAGAGGAGCGTCCTATAGTTTTGGACAGACTGTAGACACAGCTGTAGTTTGTAAAGTGATACATGAGTCCAGTGTGAAGCTCCACAGATCCAGCTCTGAACCAGTGCACCTGCTGCTCTTGTGGACACTGGATTTGGCTCTTGTTGTTTTTGGGCTGAAGTGAACACTGAAGAGACACTGAGCGTCCTGGGACCACTGAAGCTGAGGATGGACTCTGTGTCACATGAACACAGCTCTGTGAGTCTGCTCCATCTGTGACAAAGACAAGAGCACACAGTGTCAACAGCTGCTCTTTACTATTCACTTAGTATTCTAATACTTTACCATTAACAACCAAGAAGGTGGCGTTCATGAAGCTCAAAACAGCTACACCCCCTTTTTGACAATAGTAGATTGCTTCATCCTGTTTTCTGATATTTCTGATTTCAAAACATGTTTTTTATCCACTGTGGTGAAGGTAAAATGATTTTGATCTTTAAAGGAATCACCAACATCATTTTGTTCATAGTATACAGTTGCAATTTGTTGCATTGTATGTCCTGGAGTTTGCTTATACCAATAAACTTTATTCATACCATAAAGAGAATGTGAACATGTAAAAGTGACAGTGTCTCCAGGTTGGACCACTGTCATAGGTATTTGGTCCTCTGCACTTTGACCTATAAAAAACACACTCATAAATCATCATGTACTTCATATATTCTGTCAGTGTAGTTTTACTTACACAAGGTGCTCAGGAAGATGAAGGCAGTTAGTGGTCCAGTCATGTTTCTTCTGATGACAGACAGACAGACATGACACTTCAGATATATGAGTATACAAGAGTATCTGAAGTGTCCTCACCTTAAAGGGAGCTTTGAAAAGCGGAAATTGTAGCGATTGGCTGAAATACATATTTACCACACCCTACGCATAATGAAGGTCTGTAAGGTGGGTACGTAAAGTCTCCATAGAACTTAAAGTTACAGGTTTTTATGATCCTCTAATTATTTATTTATTTATTTATTTATTAGTTTTGCAGAAATCAAGGAGCAAAGAAAGATTGACAAATATGTTGAAAATTACATGAAATAGAGAGTTCTAAAGGGGTTTTCAATTTGGGTGAATATGAGCCTCCCCTTAGAATAGGTAAAGATAGCCAAATCTAATTTTTATCAAATTTCAAAATTCAATAAAAAAGCAGTGTTCTACCCCAAGACTGCAGAGTAGGGTGTTCGCAAAGTGCGATCGGGCGATGGCTACTCCTAACTCCGTGAGGCACTGAGCTCTGCACCGGTCCTTTCGCCTATGGTCACCGGACAGTCTACGTAGGAACACCTTAGGTCTGGACACTCAGTCCTGGTTCAGTTCTGGTTCAGTCCTGATTTTGTCCTGGTTTAGTACAAGTTCAGTCCTGGTTTAGTCCTCCTGGTTCAGTTCTTAGATCAGTCCCGGTTTAGCCCACCTGTGTCGCACCTCCCCTGTTGCTCTTTGGCGCCTCCCTGGGGAGGTGCATCTCTCCTATTGAAAACCGCTGTTCTAAAACATATTGATGGCATCATACCAGGGAGAATTTTATCCAAAAGTTGGACACATTCGGGAGCGTGCCTATGTTCCCAAGGCCCTATGTTCCCACTTTTACTTTATCATCAATTTGCATCAGATTTTATCCCCATTTCTCCCAATTTGGTCATCAAATACACCCAACCTATCATCCAGCAGCAGTTGACTACAGATGTAATGTAGAGGTCATGGTGCAAAGGATCCTAGGTTGAAATGACTCTGAATCATCCCTTTAAATGCGGTATAAAAATGAAAATGATTTTAATTAGATTTTTATTTTGAGAAAAATTTTAGAAATAAGAAATATCTTAGAAATGAGGGAACATAGAGCTGTAGAGACATAGGGCTGTCCCCACACACTCAATTTATATGCAAGAAACAAATTTCTTTTGATATGCTACTGATATATTATTTCAATAAAATAAGTTGGGGTTTTTTGTTTGTTTTTTTTGGGGGTCAAATAATAATATCTATGTACGTTAGAGGAGTTTTATATAAGAGGATTAAGGGAGTGTGACGTTACCACAGCGTTGGGCTCCATTCGAATTAAGACATTTCAGGCTACGGGTTATAGAGGCTAATTTGGAGTCAAGATATATTATATTTGGAAATCTGTGCATGTGCATCATAGCAACCAAAGAGTTATCTGGGAGTGAAACTGTTCAAAGTACATTCCCCAGCCCACCTCCAACGGTGGTTTGGCAGGTTACAGGCAAAATGCTGTCAATCAAACCTGTTGTTAAAGCTAGAACGAGTGACTTCAGAATAAACGGGCACTTGGTTGGTCTGTTGTTAATGTTCATATCTTTATTTACAGACAGAATAATGAAATAAAAACAATAGGATCATGTAAAGTGGGTCAAATTTTAAGGCCAGAATGACAAGCCTGACAGCAGCAGATACAGAGAGAGGGTCGGTGTATTTTCAACAGAAAGTTCATGTTGCCAAATGACGCCCATGCTCACTTCAAGTATGGAATGTGGAGGCTTTGCTGTGACATTATGCTGGGGGTGTTCTACGTGTGTCTCTGTGGTGGAATGTTCAGCAGTTACCATGGTGACACAATGCACACGTTATCAAACACTGTCAAAAAAAGTATAAAAACACAGAGGAAGTGAGAGCTTCAGGGAATTTTTTCAATTTTTTTCATTTTTTCAGTGTCCACAACAGGTGCTCAGACAGTGAAGACCAAACTTGTAGTGTAAAAACCTACTGTAATAAAGTAAAAAAGCTGTCAAAAAAGTCCAAGGCACAAGCCAACGACACACATGAGATCTTCCTCATGGCAAATACTGACACACCACAGACTGAGGGGCATAGGGTCATAAAAGTTTTAAGATTTAAATTTATATCTTAAAAAAAAAAAAAAAAAAAAAAAAAACTGCCAAATTGGATTTTTTTTTTTTTTATGTCAAAATCTTATACAATATAATGATCATGATTGTGTTTAGTAAAATGAGTAAAATGAAAAGTATAACCTAGGCACTTTTAAGGCATTCTTCTAAAGCAGATAGTGTAAGAAATATAAAACAAATAAATTAACAGATGCACACAAAAAGAAATGCACACTCATTTTTCATTGATGGTAACTGACATTTGTGCTTTTAGAAACCCTAATCTTTCAGAGATTATAGTTGCTGTTAGAGAATAGAAATCAGAGAAGTTGAAAACCAAGAACAGTATTAAGGACCGTGATAATTATTGTTTATTTCATGCTTATTACTTTAAAATTACTTTTAAAAAAAGGGACTTATTACCTAAAATGTTTTTTTTTTTCAAGATGTGTTCTGAATGATAGAACATGGCATGAACATTAGATAAAGAATAATGCAAAAAAAAAAAAAAAAACATTAAAAAATCCAGCTTCATATTGCATATGCATGAATTCTTGGGTACAACATGTTTGTTGGGACTGGACATTCTTTACTGTAAACTTCCCTGGTAAATTACATATGACCACTCTAGAAATCCTAATCTGTTTAAAAATGCTTTGAATGTGTAGAAATAGTTTAGAAAAAAACATATAATACATAACTATTCTTTATTTTAATTCAGCAACTGCAATATTAAAAATATATAACAAACAAAACCATATCTACAGGCGTGAAGATACTCTTCTTTCACAATAAAGGTGAAATTTCATGTGTAGCCTCTGGTGGCTGAGTACAAACAGTCCGGTGGAGATCCATTTTTCATGTTTGATCTCTTCACTTTTCTCAGAGGAAACTCCAGAGCGACATAGTTCACACCTGTTTCTCTGTCCTCCTGTGAAAAGTACACAGACTTTGTTACTGCATAACAAGCTGTTTGTCTTAGTGTCTTTTGATGATAGGTGTATTTGGCTGGTTGATAGCCAAACAAATTATGAGTTACTTTAAACAGGTTTATCTGCAAAGAGATTCAGGGTTATATCTTATTGTATTTTTAGGATAGTTTATCACCTTTGCAACTATGGTAAGTGTTTTCAGTACAGAATTTAAACAAAAATGATACTCCAGTTCTTACAAATGTCACAACCCTTTCACAAGCCAAATTAAGTGTAGTGTACTACAGTCCCTGACAAAAGTCTTGTTGCTTATCCATTTTGTAGAAACAAAAGCTTATAAACTGACTTTAAATTAATCGATTGGTTTTAGAAATGTCTCATATGAAAGCTAAAACGCTCCCAAATTATGCTCAATAAACTAAAATAAATTTGCTTCACTGAAAAAAGATTGATCATTTAATGAACACAGAAAGGTCAGATTTTGGCAAGACAAAAGTTTTGTCACCTACAGAAAATTGAACAAAGTATTTACTTCAAATACAAAAATATGTTGCATAACGTCAGTGAATTAAGTAGTGGTGCTGTGAGATCCATATTTAATATCTTGTATGACTTCCATGAGCTTGAAGGACTACATCCATGCGGTTCGACAATGATTCATGCAATTTGTTGATGAAGTCATCAGGAATAGCAAAGAAAGCGTCTTACATGCCTCCCAGAGTTCATCAAGATTCTTTGGTTTTGTCTTCCATGCTTCCTCTTTCATTCTACGCCAGACATGCTCAATGATGTTCATGTCTGGTGACTGGACTGGCCAGTCCTGGAGCACCTTGCTCTTCTTCACCTTGAGAAACTTTGATGTCGAGATAGAAGTATGCGATGGAGCACCATCCTGTTCCCAAATTTGACCCCTTTTATGGTTGGGAATGTAAGAGGTAGCTAATACTTCTTGATATTTTAGGCTATTGATATTTGCCTTCCACCCTGCAAATGTCTCGCACACCCTCATACTGGATGGAACCCCAGACCAGGATTTTTCCGCCACTAAACTTAACTGTTTTCTGGGTGAATCTTGGATCCATGCAGGCTCCAGTAGGTCTCCTGCAATATTTGTGGCGACTGTGATGTAATTCAACTGAGGATTCATCTGAGAAATCCACCTTCTGCCACTTTTCCAGTGTCCATCCTTTTAGCAGGCTGTGGGCCTTGGCAAATGCCACATGGTTTTTTAATTGCCTTTTGTTCAGTGCTGGTTTCTGTGCACTGATTCGATGGAGGCCATTTCGAGACAGAATTCTACAAACTGTTCTGGTTGACACAGGGACTTGAGGTGACCAGGCCTGGTGGAGTCTGCAGCAGTGGAAAAGGGGCTGGCCGTGGATTTTCGAATCAACAAACGGTCCTCCCAAGCAGTTGTCTTGCGGGGTCTGCTGGACCTGGGCTTGTCAAAAACATCTCCAGTCATTTCAGATCTTTTTCTTATTCTTTGTACTTGACGCTGAGACACATTGAAGGTGTCAGCCACCTCAGCAGTGGATCTGGTCTTCAGCCTCTTGATAATTAACGCTTTGGTCTCAGGGTGGACCTTAGGCATGTTGTCAGAGGTCAAGTTGCAGTTGATGTGAAGGTCTAGTGTGCTGGGGTTCTTTTTATACACACCCACTAACTGACTGATCAGTTACTGATCACAGGTGAGGTTGTAATCTAGGATTGGGTGCATCATATGACAAGGTGACAAGACTTTTGTCTTGCCAAAATCTGACCTTTCTGTGTTCATTAAATGATCAATCTTTTTTCAGTGAAGCAAATTTTTTTTTGTATATTGAACATAATTTGGGAGGGTTTTAGCTTTCATATGAGACATTTCTAAAACCAATCGATTAATTTAAAGTCAAGTTATAAGCTTTTGTTTCTACAAAATGGATAAGCGACAAGACTTTTGTCAGGGACTGTATGTCTGTACTGTATCATTTTATTACTACATAGGAATATTCTTACATGGCCAGTCAGAACCACATATTTTGACAAAACTTTAAAAGGACAAGTGGATCTGGGGCCGTATCCTATCTCCTTGATTTCAGAGGGTGTGAATGACAGATTAACACACTGCAACATGCATCTTAGTCCTAGTTGCTATCATGTGACTCAGTCATGCGACTGGTTGCCAATCTATTTAAAAGCAGAATGTTATGATTTTCACCTCATTGTTGGATTGATCTGCCATAACAGTGTCCAAAAGTTCAAAAGAGTTGGACGTAGTTATCACACCTGTTTAAAAAAAGTGGTCAGCATGAAATTATGTCATATATATGTCAGTCATATCATTCAACAGTCAGTATTGCTTAGAGTTACACTGTACATAGAGTCCTGCTTCAAATTTTAAGACCTAAATAAACAGGAAGAAGTTGAGAGCAAGATGCCTTAATGTGGGTCAAAAAACAGAACAGAACAGCCTGCAGTAGTCCAAAGTTATTCTGAGATTTCTAATTATTCACTGCTATTAATTTATAATTTTCAGAACTTGGCCAGAACTGTCACTGACCGCAAGAGCTGTTTATACAATGTTTGTATACAAAATTTGCTCAGGTACATGGAAAACATCCAATACAGGGCCTATAATAGTTTTAAATTACCTATTTTTTAATGTTCCTTGGTCTTAAAATTTTGAGCAGGACTGTACATACCTTTGCGACGATGAGCAGCTTTACGATATAAGCAGAACATCACAGCATTGATGACAGCCGAGCAGAGCAGCAGGACCCCGAAGGAAACAAAAACTGGGTGAAAATCTGTAAGGATATGAACATTAGAATCAGTCAGTTTCAGGAATTTCAAGATAAAATATATGCCTAATTTAAAGGTCCCATATTACACAAAATTTAGCTTTCAGTCATGTTACATGTGTTTACCTCAACAAAACCACAAATTGTGTTTTCTTTCATTTACACATGTTTGAGTAATCCTTTATTATTAGTCTGTCTATACATCTTCAAAGCTCAAAATACTCTGAGGTTCATTTGGTCTTCCGATAATTTATGGCATTAGGTTCTTTTTTCAGACCAAGAGTTTGTTTTCATACCTGACCCGACACGTCACAGCAACATCACGTGACCACTCTGAGGAAGACTGTGAGTGAGCAGTCGAAACCGTCAGGTATGAAAACAAACTCTTGGTCTGAAAAAAGAACCTAATAACATAACTCAAAATGCTCTGTCCCACCTTGTAATGTCATGTAATGGTAGTTTTCAAGTTAGCAGCTACCTTTTACCTTAGATGATTTCTGAGTTGAAATCATCTAAATTATTCTAGTGGAGATGTATGGAGTTTAAAAATACAGTAAAGCAATTCCTGTAGTGCCACATGACATCACAAGGTGGGACAGAGAGTTCAGCCTAAATGTGCAGGGTTTGTGTGTTAAACGTGTGAATGAAAAGAAGCACAATTCCAAGTACGTTTTTGATGAGATAACTACATTATAACATACATCAGAAAATACCACAATATGAGCTCAAAGTAGCAAAGTGGCAGAGCTCATGTTCTGGGTTAGCAATGTTTATGTTATTTCACCTACAACTCACTGAAACCAGATTACGGAGCCGAGAAGAATGGTTCATTTGATAAATAAGAAGCATTTCAATAACACAAATGCATTAAATTTAGTTAGATGAAAAAATATGCTACGTTAAAAGTAAAACATATAAGCTAGTGAGCAGTGCAGCGAGACAAAAGGGTTAGCTAACATAAACAGACAGTGGATCGAAGTTTAGTTGTGGCATAACATTAAAGCAACACCGTGCTACTTTCTGGGGGTGGCGGGTCACCTCCATAATGCCAAAGAAATAGTGAGTTGCCCACATAAGAACATTTTCCATGAGGTTTTTGTCATACCGTGGAATATTAGGGCTAAATAAACAATATTTCCATAGAGGCAAGCAGGAGAAGGTTTGTGGAGATGCAAGCATGATCATAGCAAGCACTTTTTTTTTTTTCAGTGTAATACAGCATGCATTTTCTGGGGAAGAAAAGTTACATGGTGAGGCTTTAATCAGAAATTGATTCTAATGGAAGTGTACGAAGCACTGGAAATCCTAAAAATATGCCTAAAATAAATAAATATATTAAAAAATATACACTAGAAACAAGTAAAAGTATAAGATTTCAATCAAAAGCTAAGCTAATAGCTGATAATACAACATTTTTACAAATAAAATAAATGTTTGGCTTCAATCATCACTCTTATTAGGTGACTGCAGATGTCTTTATTATTTAAATTAAAAGGTCAGGTATTACAAGATCAAATCAAAGTAAAAAATAAAGTGAGTAAACGTTGTATGGGTGGTGTAACTTTAATCATGGTTTGCAACATTCACCAATTAAACCTGTAGAGCAGAGGGCCACAGACTGCAGGAAAGGCACAACAAAGAGCAGAGTTCAAACAGAAACTCTCAACCATTGAACCATAAACATATTCTGTATTCTTGTGTTTCCTCCGGCCTTGATTAAAGACATTGTTTTCCAGGGGTTAGACCTCTGTGGCTCTGATGGGCTTTTTACAGTGCCCAAAAATACAATAAAATAAGTACAGATCACAACTGAGAGGTAAGACTGTGTGTGCCGTTTTATCATGGTTGAAAATCATAGTATTTTTGATTTGGATTAAAGATCCCATATTACTCTGCTTTCTGATCTGTTATAATGGAGTTGCACCCTGCACATTTAGGCTGAGTTCTTCTCTTAAAGAGAAAGCACTCTGTAATGTCATGGGGTAATACAGGAAGTGCTCCACTCTGTTTTTAAACTCCACCTCGATTAGAATCATTTGGATCATTTAAGTCCTGGAATTGCCAATCTCTACTGAACTGAAGATAAAAGGAGCTGTTAACTTGAACATTACTACTACATGACATCAAAAAGTGGAACAGAGCATTTTGAGCTTTGGAGATCCAGACAGACTAATAAAAAAGGGTTATCCAAACTTGTGAATCAAACAAAACACAACTCCATGTATGTTTTGGGGGGGTAACAACATTACAATGTGGCTTTTCGTCAGCCTTGTAGTTCTGATTGGTTGTGTTTGGATTGTCCACCCCAGTTTCCCCTCATCATCTTACCTTAACCTTACATAGATTTAAACACCCACTTCTTCCTTCTGTGGTGTTAAAATTAGGTGTTGCAGCTTTAAATTAATGTATTGTTTGAATTTGACTTACATGTGTTTATCTCCACTTTGGTCCCTGGTCCAAACAGGACATGTCCACAGATGGCCACAGCGCAGTAGTATGTCCCAGTCTGATTGACGTCCTGTATAGTTGTGGAAAGACTGTAGACACATGTCCTCTGGCTCTGCTCCTCAGTCTGCTCTTCATACGTGTAGATGAAGCTGGCTGCAGATTCTTCTGGTCCAGATTTGAACCAGTGCACATTGCGTTTAGAAGGACACTCAAGTGGAGAGTAGTTCTTGGACACAAGAGAACAGCTGAGATGCACGGGACCTTCTAGAGGAGCTGAAGCCCGTGGGATTTGTTCCACATAGAAAGTGTGGTGCCCTTGGTCTGTAAATCATTAAAATGGAATTGTTAAAAAAAGAACAGAAAGAACATGTAACTGAAGATCTGAATTTCAAAAACTTACCAAGAATAATCAAAAGAGTAGTGTTAACAAAACTCATTTTGTATGATGATCCTGCTTGGCAAACATAAGTGGCTGCATCTTCTCCTCTCACATTATAAATTGTGAAGGTATACACATTTTCCTTTGCTTCTTTAATTTGATTTATTCCAAATCTTGCATTGTTGAAGTTTTCTTTAAATGTTGTTTTCTCATAAGATCCCTCTGCAATGGTTTGGACTGGTGATTCCAAACTCATTTTGTAGAAATAAAGCAATCCGGCTTCAGTCCTGTCTACAGAACAGGACATAGTGAACGTATCTCCAAGGTTGAGCATGGTCCGAGTAATCTGGTCATCTCCATTGGTCTGACTGAGAGCTGAAAAAACAACACCAGCAGTTAAATAACTTCCCTTGAGAATCAAAAAAGTTACCATGCACAAAATTTATAAACATTTAAAAACATCCAAAATGACAAAAATAAACATAAAACTAGACTAGTATATCACAAAACTTACTTAAAGTGCTCAGAAGGAACAAAGGACCCAGTCTGTGTATCATTGTGGCACATCACTCTGTTGCACAACTGACGTCTTCCCACCCAAATGGAAGAATAAGTCACAAGGTCAAAATACTAAAAATCCTTGTGATTGGCTGTGCAATGATATACACTTCCTGTTAGTAAGTGATCTTTTTAAATGACCCAGAAACATGTACATATGTCATTTGAATATGTATTTTTACCTGCTGTATTGATAGCAAGATTACTGTACATATTTAAACTGCAGAAGATTTTGGTTAAATGTGTTTGGTCAAAAGGGCTGATCAAGACTTAGACTTAAAAAAACTGTATTGATCCACTCGGGAAAATGATTTGATCTATGTTATAATGTTGTTTCCTCATCATACACATACCTGGAGTTGTGTTTTGTTTCATCTTTAAGACACAAATCCTGCATATTTAATTCTCTTAAACTGAAACCACTCAGTTCCACTTTGTGATGTATGTGTCATATGGTAATACATGCAGTGGCTCGTTGTGATTTGAAACACACTACACTACAATCATATGGCTAATATCAGCCCTGGAATTTCTAATCTCTGCTTAACACAAGGCAAGAACGGCGGTGGAACAGAGCATTTGGAGCTTTGGAGATGTAGACAAAGTAATAATGCAGAATTTTCAAACATGTGTGAATGAAACAAAACACAACTCCAGATTTTTGAGGAGGCTACGGCATTATAACATGGCTTAAAGCTCCCAAGAGTAAATTTTACATAATATAGGACCTTTAAACATTTTGGTATATGGTCAACAATGTGGTCTTTTGTGTTAAGTTCAGTGTATAAATCTGCAAGCGTGGATGCAAATCTAAAATAAAATAAGAAACAACATCCTTGTCGAACATCTGAAATCAAGTAACTATTGTAAACCGCCCTCTTATAATATCAATATAATGTAGGCTGAAACTCACTGAAGAATTCTCACTTGAACTGTCTGTCACCACATCAAAGTTCAGGTCTGTTTCAAGGGCTATTTTTGAGTTGCATTGCTTTATCCTGGTTATTGCCTAAACCTTGTGAGTTGTGTGATTCTCTGTCTTTTACTTCCTTTTAAGTAATTTTAATGTTTTTTTTAACTAGTTTTATTTACTTAGAGAGGACTAGTGGAGTTAAATAGAGCGTTATTTTATGTTTCCATTTTATCATACCTATATTGTGAAGCACGTTGGAAACCGTTTTTGTTTATGAAATGTAATGCTACATGCACACAAGTTTGGACATACACTCTTATTCAATGTTTTTTTTTTTTTTTTTCCTGTTTACTACTTTCTACATTTTATATACATATGGAAGACATCAGATATATCAAGCAACATATATGGAATTATGTAGCAAAGAAAAAAAAGAGAAATAACTAAATATATATATTTTTTATATTTTATTTCAAATTCTCAATACTTGGCCCTCTCTCAGTGACTTTCTTGATGAAGTCTCCTGAAATGGTTTTCATTTCACAGCTGTGCCATGCCAGGATCAAAAATGGCAAAAGTGCAAACCAGCGTTCAAAGCAATTGTGGCTATCTTAACATTATTATTATTATTTTATCTAAAACAAGTTTGGAGTTATTTTGAGTTGCATTTTGTTTACTATATTTCATATGTGCTCATTCATACATTTGATGTCTTCAGTGAGAATCTACAGTGTAAATAATCATGGGAAAAATGAAGAAATATAAATGATAAAGTCTGTCCAACCATTTGACTGGTAGTGTAAATAAAGTAGCTTAGACTGGATTGAAACATGTACGGCATCTACATAAGCACAAAACTCCAACTTTTAAATTCAAAATTCATGTTATCAGGTGCTAATTTTGAACATATCAAGACATAATAATTTCAGAGGAGAATGTAATGTGAACTTGTTAAAATCATGTTTGGATTATTGTGTTTTCTACATAAAGACATTTTTCTGAATACTTAGTTTTTATTTAGTTTTTGTTTTGTTTTTATCTCAGAGGACATTTTATTTCCTAAATAACAGTAGCCTTAAAGCGATTAGATAACTGCGTCAAGTGACAATACAAGTTTAAATCTTTACTTTACAGCAATATTATGCAGCCCTGTGCTTCTTAAACACATGGTTGACATTTTCCAATACGTAACACGAGAGGATGTTGGTTGTGGTGGACTGTTTCTTGTATTGTGAGAGACCACTCGCTCATTTTTACCAGAACCGCAGGGTCTGCATCAACAGGATACTGCTGCTGCTGCTACTGTCTTCACAAACTATATTTAGGCCTGTTATGTAAATCCACAATTTTCTACCATACATTACATACAAAAATACAAAAGAAACATCTAACATTCAGTAGGTGTTACTTTTCTGGTGGAGGGTTATTGTTTTGCCTAGAAATGTTCCAGCATGTTTTCAAAGCAATAAAATCACTAATTGAACACTTGCAAGATAGAAGTCATTATTGTTCACTTTGAACTGTCCAACTTTGACTATTAGCCAAAGAGAGACCTAACATCACTAGTATTATAACAAAGTACATAGGCTGTCACGATAATAAATTCTGAAGCCTGATATTTTGCTAAAGAGATAATATTCAAACTACTTTATGCCACTGATACAACAACAATAATGCGAGATAATTGGAATAAACCATTTTCAAATGAATAGTTTCGTTCAAAAGGCCTGAGCTGCAACAAATAAACAGCAGAATAAACCAATAATTAGCCACTGCCGTAAGCTATTCAGCCTGCTATTACTCAAATCTTATCGTATTACAACAAAAATATCCCAAATCTCACCACTTTTACAAAGAAAATGTACACAAGATAAATACTGAGCCCCAAAATATATCGTTTCATATACTGAAGTCGACATAGTAATTATTGTAAAAGTCGTAAAAGTACTTTTCCTTTTACTCTCTCATTCAGTAAAAAGTAAAGTAAAAGTAAATGCTCTCAGTGTAAGAGTTGGAGGTGAGAATCTGTGGTACAAAACAACTCTCTTCTACATCAACATTAGTCATACAGAGACAGTGTAAGAGAAAGCAGACCACTTCCTCTAACTGCCCCTGCTACTGTTCTTTGCATAACTGGGGCAAATTCGTTAAAGATTAAAAATTGCATGTAACTTCTGAATTCAGCATTATGAATCAAAATACCATTGAAAAGAACACTGTGGAAAGCTGATAAAGTTGTATGGGTTTTGCAGTGATGTATAGAAGATAAGAAGGGCAAATGTAATCTCCAAATCAACAAGGGGCCTATTCTGAAACAATGCTATTATTTCCTGTATCGCGTTTCAGTACCAAGCACAGGAAGTCAGAGCGTTGGTGGGTTTCGTCTCTGAAAATGTCGCATCACTCTGGCAGGCTACTTTTTACAGCACACTTTTTTTTTTTTAGTTTTCTGTTAAAGAGAAGAGCTCAGCCTAAATATGCAAGGGGTTATGTACTAAACATGTGTGAATGAAACAAAACATAACTCTAGATATCTTTTTGATGAGGATACAAGATTATAACAGATCAGAAAATAGCATAACATGGGCCCTTTAATCTATTGCAGTCTAGCTTTAAGTAACTAAAATGAAGGGTTGCAGTATAAATGTTGTTCACCTGTCTTAAAAGTGCATTGCGTTCCTTTACTTGTCTCCACGCATCCTAATTGTTCACAGTGATGAGTGCATACAAGCACTTTTAACACCTTTAAGAGACAAGAGAAGGTGCCTTGTCCTCAGGGTAACGCTAACAACAAGCATGCCACTACACACCTCCTGACTTTCCAACAATAACCCTTTATAATTAAATGCAGGCAGTACACAGTGGTATTGTGACCTCTAGACAGTGTTGGGTTAAAGTGAGTAACGTAATCTGCTTACTTTGGATTACTTGATATTGTCATGTTTTTTTAAACGACATGAATGTAGCAACCACATCCTGAAAATTATTGTTTGTTGTCTTCAAATTGTCTGAGCCTGAACTGTTTGCTGTAGAAAAACAAAGACCACGATATTTTAACATAAGAGGTTTTGTCTGTTAAAAGAGCCTTTCCTTAACCATATTAAAAATATTATTGATAGAGAAATTATTTTTTATATGACCTGGTTAGTTCTGGTTTAGTCCTAGTTTAGACCTGGTTCAGTCCTGCTTTAGTCCTAGTTTAGTCCTGGGTTAGTCCTGGTTTAGTCCTGATTTTAGACCTGGTTTAGTCCTGAGTTTAGACCTGGTTTAGTCCTAGTTTAGATCTGGTTCAGTCCTGCTTTAGTATTAAATTAGTAAGTCCTGCTTTAGTATTAAACCAGGTCTAAAATCAGGAGTAAAACAGGTCTAAAATCAGGACTAAACCAGGACTAACCCAGGTCTAGACCAGGTCTTTAGTTCTGGTTTAGTTCTGGTTTAGTCGTGGTTTAGTTCTGGTTTTAGACCTGATTTAGTCCTGAGTTTAGATCTGGTTCAGTCCGGGTTTAGTCCTAGTTTAGACGTGGTTCAGTCCTGGTTTAGTCCTAGTTTAGACCTGGTTCAGTCCTGCTTTAGTCCTAGTTTAGTCCTGGGTTAGTCCTGGTTTAGTCCTGGTGTTAGTTCTGGTTTAGAGGCGCACAGGAGGAAGCGCGGTTTACGCGAGAAAACACAGTCCACACGCGGCGCACGAGACGTTGGTGTCCGCGCAGTAACTACGGAAGGAGACGTGGTCCGCGGGTTCTTAGGTTGATAACGATGATGAAGGTGTGTGTTTGTGTGTGTTTGTGTGTGTTTGTTGTGTGTGTTTGTGTGTGCGTCCCCTCATGTGGCAGGTCACTATAGGACAGTACTGCAGATACTATGAGTCTATGCAGGTTGTTTTCACCAGTGCCAGTAGCTCCTGGGATGTAGCACAAAATGTGAAAACAGAAAAATACCGTCTTGTAATGAACTTATTTCAGCAAAGTAACTGTAATCCAATTACCACTCATTGAAACAGTAACTGTAACGGAATACAGTTACTCATAATTTGTACTCTGATTACGTAACAACACTGCCTCTAGAGGTGCTTATACGATGAGCTCTATTCACACTTACGTCACAAACCAGGAAGTTGTTTGGAAAGATGCGATGACAACTTCCTGTGGGCTCAGTCATTATATGTCATTATAGCATTTTGCTGTGTTTGGCTAATCAACAATTACAACCAGACCTCAGTTTTCACCATTTCCCCAGTGACACACAACTCCAAGAACATTAGGTAAATGTGATTAGAAGAGATGAGGGTGCCAAATTAAAGATAATTCCAAACAGCACATACATATGCAGTCTTCATTTTACCGCTGATCACATTTAATTCAGTAGGTTTTATCACAGTTGGGGAGCGAGCCCATTGTTGGGAATTACACTCGCAAATTCTTTCCAAATCTCTTCCTGGTTTGTGACGTAAGCATGAATAGTGCCTATTAGGGATGGGCATGATTAATCGATAATTGATCATTAAGAATTTCATCGATTATGTTAATTTTAATCGACAAACCGAATGTAGGTTGCTGTGCGTAGCATGACCAAACAGGGGTCCGTACATGTAGCTCTCTGCACTCAGAAGGAGCGAGCAAACACAAACATTCGGTCAGTCTGCAGCGTACCGAAGCTCAAATGCGTATTTAACGATGATTTGTACAAGAAATTCCCAAAAAAGGATTGATGTGGCTCTGGAGTGGTTACGGTTTATATGTCGTAAAGTTGAATTTATTTATGCAGATTAGTAGTGCAGATAGTAATAATAGTGATGATCATTTTAATATAAAAATGTTAATGATTAACCGATAATTGATCGTTAATTCTTCCGACGATCGATTAAGAAAATTTCATCGAATGCCCATCTCTAGTGCCTATATATCTGTACTGGGACAAGACAAATTTTGCTGAAGTACATGGGAAAATAATCAGGTATGGGCCCTTTAAAGTAGAAAAGATTTAGTATTTTGAATTACTATTTGACAATATAATAGTAGAAGACAAGTTATAGTAACAGGTAACATTTAAATTTGCTACGTGCAAAGAAATCTGATTTATTTCATTTTGTCTGAACTGTATTTCCATTTAAATGCAATCTCTGCCGAATGAGTTAATATTAACCCACACGCTGCAGCCTAAGTCCATAAAGTTGAACATTGGAGCATTGTAAGTTGTAGATAAATTTCCCACAACCGCACCCTGTTTGTATACTTACAGTTAGCCAACTTGCACCTGCTTTGGCCAATCATTCACTGCTTTTGTCACTACGGTACTGCAATATTTACTTGAACCATGGTGACAAAAAGTAGCATTGTGTATCTTTGGATTTATTCTTGGATAGCTCTAATTTCCTGCTTTAACATTGAAACCGAGAATGCACTGCAGAAACATGGGGATCCGGATAGCTTGTTTGGATTTTCTATTACCTTCCACCAACAGCTAAGTCCTACGAAGAAGAATCTGTAAGTGAAATTGCTGGGGCTGTCTTGTGTCGGTCAGTGGTGTTTTAGTAGACCAAAATTTGTATTCACTGACGAATCATTTCATTGATATTATGATGATTTACAACAGTAGAAAGGAGTGGTTAGTGAGTGAGCTATCAGAAGATTTAATGCTTTTGGTATTTACAAGTAAAAAGGCAGATTAAACTGACTCTTGTGAACTTTAAGCCATGTTAGAATGTTATTTCCTCCTCAAAAACATATCTGGAGTTGTGTTTTGTTTCATTCACACATGTTTGAGTAAACCTTTATTATTTGTCTGTCTACATCTCCAAGTGTTAGTTTTCAAGTTAACTGCTACCTTATGTTCAGTAGAGATTGGCAAATGCAGAGCTGAAATGATCCAAATGATTCTAGTGAAGGAGTTTAAAAACACAGTGGAGCACTTCTTGTATTACCACATGACATCACAAGGTGGAACAGAGTGTTTTCTGTTTGAGAAGTACTCAGCCTAAATATGCAGGGTTTGTGAAAAAAAATTGTGTATAAAACAAAACACAATTCCAGGTATGTTTGTGACAAGGAAAGATCTGAAAATACTGTAATATGGGCCTTTTAAACTCATGATAGTGTAATCTGTCTTTAAATAGTTATTTAGTACTTTTTATATTTTATTTTTGCATGTGTCAGATATATAGTAATATGTAATAGTTTTGACAGCTGCCACACCCCCTTTTAATCCAGTATATGACCAGGAATTTCTTTAGTCAACTACAACCCTAGAAATAGTTTGAAGTAGTTGAAAGATTTGTGTGTATATTGTCAAACCTGGTTGCAGTTTGTTGGTAGGAGCACCGAAATCGAAACATCAACACCATGACAATGTGACCGGTGTGGTTTACACCTGTGAACTAAGCGAGGCATCACAGCGTTGTCAGCCCATACAGTTTGACGGTGAAGGTATGTGTCAGCTGCATTCAAAAAAGGAAATGTTGACCTTATCTCTAAATATATGACTATATGTCATATTTTTTCATGCTATTATTTTATGTTAATCCAAAGCAAATGAGATTTAGGTGTTAAATGTCCTTCATTACTTAAAACTGATGTTTGCATGTATGTTATAATGCTATTACCACCTCAAAAACGTACCAAGAGCTGTGTTTTGAATATTATATTTGAATAATCCTTTATTATTAGGATGTTTATATCTCCAAATTTCAAAATGTTTTACCTTGAGATGTCATGTAGCTGTAGTTTTCAACCTAACAGCTCCTTTTACATTTAGTTCAGTAGAGGCTAAATATGCAGGGTTTGTGTGTTGAACATGTGTGAATGAAACATAATATAGGCAATTTAACATTACATAGTACCAATCATATTTAAATAGGGTGAGTATTGTATTTATTCTTGTGTATTTATATATTTTCATGTATTTCTCTTTTTGAACATTTCTAGAGTTCCTGAATAGCAAAGGCATAAATGGGCAATGGATGGGAGTGAGAGTAACAAGTCAAGGACCGGGAAAGAATGTAATGGTAAGATGCATTTACTCATCTATACACAATATACAATTTCTGAGAAACAGAGAGAGAGTGATGGGGAGAGAAAGGGGAGAGTAAGAGAGGGAGGAAGTAGAAGAGAGAGAAAGAGAAAAAACAACTGTCCTGGTGACTACAGAAACACTAAATACTAAATCATGTAAAATTGTAATTAGATCATGTCAATATTTCACACAGGCAATGTTGGTGAACTTTTTAATAGCAACTATACACACACATATCACATATTTGATCACTATATTCTTGTACACTGATAAGTCTTATATTACTCATCATGACAGAGGCAACAGGGGCAGTAGGTGGGGAAAACTAGACAACATCTGCCCAATATAAGCCTAGAGCTGCCATTACCAGAAAATCTATGAATCACCACCATACATCTCTCTATATTAGCAGATTTAGCAGAGTCAAATAACATAATCAAAATGACTATCTCTATTTCACATTCAGGTGGCTAAGATGTACTTATAATGTTGCGTTGTTGCTATTGCTAGGCTTCAGATGACGTCACAACATATATATAGGTCAGTAATATTTGATACAGATGAGGAGCAGCTAAAATTAAAATAGTTTTAGGGGCCCATATTACGCTATTTTCTGATCTATGATATAATGTTGTTTCCTCATCACAAACATACCCAGAGTTGTTTTTAGTTTTCATTCACAAATCCTGCATATTTAGACTGAGTTTGTGATGTCATGTGGTAATACAGGAAGAGCTTCACTGTGTTTTTAAACTCCATACATCTTCACTAGAATCATTTGGATCATTTAAGATCTGGAATTGCCAATCTCTACTGAACAAAAGATAAGAAGTAGCTCGAGTGTAACTTGAAAATTACTGATTCAAGGTAGAACAGAGCATTTTGAGCTTTGGAGATTTCAGACAGACTAACAATAAAGGGTTATTCAAAGTGTGAAGGAAACAAAACACCAGGTATGTTTTTTGCAGCGGTAATGGCATTATAACATGACTTAAAGCTCACAAAAGTCAATTTTGCTTAATACAGATCTTTAAAATTTAGCTTTCTGTTGTAACATAGCAAGTTCTTGGGTCTAGTCACTAATAGAAATGATCAGGTTCAATATTTGTGCATTTACCTTTTGGGTGATTTAATGGCAAAGTCGAACGTAATCAATAAGGAAAACTGGCTGGGACAAAAACTACAACTACAGTACATCTAACCTGTGCTGATTTTGCAGATGTGCGCTCATCGGTACAGACAGTGGATGCCAGGGCAGTACGTCCCTCACCTGCTGACCGGACAGTGCTACCTCCTCGGGGACGATCTGCGGGCAGGGGGTGATGAGAGGACCTGGAGGAGGGAAGTGTGTGACTCCCAACACCTCCTGACCAGACGTATGGACCATGAATGGTTTGCGTACTGCCAACAAGGCCACGGAGCTACTTTTGCAAAGGACAATACTTCTGTGATTTTTGGAGCACCAGGGGCGTACCAGTGGAAAGGTGTAATGGATGGGTTTGTTATTTTGGGAAGGAATTATTGAAATATGGGTGAACAAAAAATTTATATCACAACTTTAGATCATAATCTTAGAGCCTAGATCACGGTTTATGATTTATCTTCACCAACCTCCCAGAACTGCCTCATTGAGTAATTTCTGGCCAAATTAATTGGTGCTGTACTAGATTTTTTCAGTCCTAAAAACAGAACTAGTTGATTTTAAGTGGTCTGCAGTGGTTCAAGGTTCTCATTTACCTCATGCACTCAGTTATTCACCATGATCAGTTTATGAGCAGAGCAGAGATTTGATGTCATGGTAATGCTAACCCCATTTATGAGTTGCCATAGTGTAATACTAACAACAACTAGCATGCTAATCAAGCATTTTCTGGTTCTGAGACAGTACACAGCTCCTTTATTTTTACCCAAGAACTGTTTTTTAATAATATATTTGCACAGGGGTAAAACACATTTTGCTCAAATACATGGGAAAAATTTGGGTACAGGCCCTTTCAGTTTAAGTTTTCTCATTTTATTGTCCTGACCCTGCAGCATCTAGGCATCAGCAACTCCATCCTTGGCTAATCAGAGCACTTTTTACAGCCAAAACACAAACCACTCCCAGTCATCTTGTTGCCTCATCTATATATTCCTTTTAGAGTCAATGAAAGTCAGCTTCTGCTATTGGGAGTTCACACTTCACTGTGACTGGGTAAAGTCCCCCATCTGTCACACAGAACCAGACCGAAACTGACCATAGTGGGTAAGGGCGGGAAAAATCAGTTTGAGCATTTAGAACTGCATTCAACAGAAACAGACATTGCATCAGGGGATCACCAGACGAGCAGACTGTCAGGGATCAAATCACAATTCTATTTTCATCATCTGGCATACACAGTCTTACATAACTCTGTTTTTTTTATTCTTTTCACACACATTAGGAATTGTACGTATGGAACCTTTAGACAATGTTGATATTGACAGTGAAGACCCCCGTGAGACTGGAGACATTAACCAGTTCAACCCAAGGCTCATTCCTCTTCACCGAAGCAGCTACTTAGGTCAGTCCCTCTGAATTTAAAAAGCCCATCAGTCTGAGAATTTCCTTAAAAAGTATAAGGTATTTTTAAATCAATATTGCAATTTACAATAAACAAAATGTAAAATATGGCTCTATGTATATTATAGTTTATACAAAAGAATCCCCCCAAAATCACATTATGTCATGTCACTGTTTTAAATAATTTGTGGCTTTAAGATGAAGGCAGACAGTCGATTGTAAACTTAAATTTGAGTTCCTTCTGTGCAATTACACATTTTTTTCCCCAGGATTTTCGCTTGACACTGGACTGTCCTTGCTCAGAAAGGGTGAGCTGACCATAGTGTCCGGAGCACCCAGAGGAGGCTACAGTGGACAGGTGGCATTTTTGAAACCAGATCCAGACGCAAGTAGGAATCTCTCTGTGGAGTTCATCTTATCTGGACCCGGATTGGCCTCATCTTTTGGCTACGATTTAGCTGTAGTGGACCTGAATGGGGATGGGTAAGTATTTTAATTTGAAACTATTTTAAAGTAAAGTTGTGTAATTAATTAGTAATTTTTTTTGTGATTCAAGATCCAGTTGTTTCAGATAGTCAGTGACAAGTTTGAAGCTTTTTAATCAAAAGGTTTACAGCTAATCTAACAAATGTTTTGGCAGTCATCCGGGACTATTAAAAAGACATCGAAATATGGAGATTGGAGGCTTCTACACAGAAAATATGTGTTTACTGTGTGATCTCTTCTCTTTTTGATCTTTGTTATATATATATATATATAATATATAAAATAACATATTATATTATTAAAAAAACTTAAAATAACTTGCTTACAAAACAAAACTAAATCAAAATTATTTCGATCAATATGAGGCAAAAAAACAAAACAAAACATCATGATCATTATTTTAACATATCACCCAGCCCTAATCTTTGTTCTATTAGATTAAAAAAATAAATAAAAGCAGATTTGCGTTTACCATTCCAGGTGGGAGGACTTGGTTGTTGGAGCACCACAGTTCTTTGTCAAAGATGGTGAGGTCGGGGGAGCCGTGTATATCTATGTAAACAATAAAGGAACAAACTGGGTGCATGTAGAGCCCATCCAACTACTGGGACATGCAGACTCAATGTTCGGCCTCGCAGTGGAGAACATAGGAGACATCAATCAAGACGACTTTGGAGGTACACACTTTAGTTTGTTTGTTTTTTCCATTCATACGTGAGCAATTTTCCATATCAGTCTTGACATTGCAACCAGGTGCCAATAGTTTTACTGCTTAAAAGGCCTTCACTTCAATGTATTATGTTGATAATGTTCATGTTTCTCTTTCAACCTTAAAGCATGTGTCACACCTCAGTACAGCCAGCAGAGGGTGACAAAATCCCATGTGTTCCAATGTTGCAAGTCCTGCAAAAGACATTTTGGAGATGTTTTTGCTTTGCACAAAGTTGCGTTAAATAGCATTTTCTTGCTGAAATACAGTATACCCTGAAAAATTCTTACTCTGAGTGAGGTCACCTCTCCACAGAGTTAGTTAACATGGTGTTGTCATCTGCTTGTAATTTTAATGTCATACTGTCTGGAACTTTGGCCTACCAGGTTCCCTTAATATGTGTCAAAGTAATCATGTCTCTATGGAAACCAGCAGGTGGCTGACACTCTACCAGAAATGTTACATAGTGCAGCTTTTACACTTGAAATCAATTGCAGTGGTAACCAAAAGTATATATTAGGTTTGCTTTACTTGTTTTTGGACAGATATTGCAGTCGGAGCACCATATGAAGAATCTGGCCGTGTTTACATTTACTGTGGATCGCCAAGAGGGATTAACAAAAAGCCTGCTCAAGTGAGACTGATGATATTATTCCTAATTCTAAACTCGTCACTAAACAAACTATTATTTCCAGGTGATTTCACCAGGGTCGAATACAGTCACTTTGTTTGGATATTCTTTGTCTGGTAATCTGGATGTGGACAACAATCACTACCCTGATCTGGCTGTAGGAGCGCTCTCTGGAACCGTTTTTGTTTACAGGTGCTTAAGTCAAGTATTTTTTCAAGCTCACACAAAATATGAATAAACTTTATTTTATATTGTTTAGAGCAAAGCCAGTTGTCAGTGTCGCTATCTCTCTCAAAGTAACACCCAATGTGATTGACATAACAAAGGAGCAATGCCAAACACAGACTTGGTAGGACAATAATAGATTCCCCTTTGAAATACCAAGTACAAGTTATGCAATTCATTCTTCGTTTAATCTATATTGTATTACTCTTCCCAGTTATTTTGCAGCTAGAGCTTGCTACAGGTACACAGCAAATTCTGGGGCTTTTAACCTCAAACTGTGTAAGTACTGCTTCCATCTTGTTATAACACATGTAAAAGTAAATCTACTACAAATATACTACAATATAATGTGCTACAGTGTTAAACTATACCTTTGAGGCTGACTCTGAGAAAAGGAAGGCTCGACTCTCTACTCGGATGGACTTCTTGGACCCAAACAAAGGACAGCTGGAACTGCCTGCTCAGAATGTGGAAAAATGTATTGATAAGAGACTCAGACTTGTGGTATGTTTAATTTTATTGTTAGTAAAACATTTGCAATGACCAAAAACTGAACAAATTCATTTGAAATGGTCTACAGTGGTCTAAAGTTATTCCTCACTTACTTTATGCATTGCAATTAACTTTCAGAGACTATGAGTTTGCCGTCACAGTAAAGCTAACAACTAACATGCTAACATGCACTTCCTGATTATCCGTCAGTAAAGCAATTTATAATGCAGACAGTACACAGTGGACTTATTTTAAGCTCAAGAGCTGCTTATACAATATTTCTGTACTGGGGCAAGACAGATTTAGCTAAAGAAAGACTGGTACAAGGCCTTTAACAATAAAGAACCTTTTGCACTAGGGTTGCAATGATTAATTAGAATAAACTATTTCTGAATTTCTTACAATTAATCTAGTACAATTAAGCCATAAATATTCTCTATCTCGAAACCTTCATTCACCATATTTCAACCCTAATATGATTAAAAATGTGTTTTCAAAAATCTCAGTGTACAGTGTAAACAACTTCACTAGTCAAATAATCAAATAAATTACTGCTGATTAGTCACATGCTAAAAATGTGTTTAACCTTCAACAGCGAGAAATCACAGACAAGCTGCACAAGATTCCCATTTCTGTTGCTATATCCTTGGTAAGCTCCTCCCCCAGCCTCCAGACCAGCCAATCAGATCTGTCTCCTGTGCTAAACCTCTACCAGCAGAAGAAGGCCATCTCTGAGGTAGACCTACTGTCCAAATTTGTCTTTCACTAAAACTATAAATATGTTGATACTTTATATTTGAACTTTACTACAGATTACTTTGATAAATACAGGTTGTGGCCCAGATAATATATGCCAAAGCCAGTTAGCAGCTGAATACAAGTTCTGCTCTATACAGAAAGAGAACAGTAAGAATGTGTTTAAATCTCTCCACAGGTAAGGATCAAATGAAAACCATATTGTCACTACAGTCACTATAATATATATGATGTTCTTACTTGTTCTTGCTTAGAGACAATGGCCTTGCTGTTATCACTCCCTCTGATAGGGACATTGCATTGGAAATAAGTGTCACAAACAGGAACGGAGACGATGCACACCAGAGTGGACTGAGCATTACATTGCCAGATACTCTGTATTACACCACTGTCTACCACACACAAGTAGTAAGTACCATTGAAGCAAGGCTTCAAAGCATGTTTCAAGCTAATGTGGTGAGCCAAATGAAACAAGTGTGTAACAAGTGAGTCAAATGACAGGGGCCTTGGTTTGTGTGAATGCCGGAAATGTTTCAACATTCTGGTTGTTTTAAGTTCATACATACTGGTATGAAAGATTAAAATGGACTTCATATTCTTTGTAATACATTTATGACCACGGTAGATGGCAGTATTTTGAGGCTTCATGTTGGTGGAGATTTATGCACAGACTGGCTGTGTGTCATACGGCTAACTGGATGCACCGATATTTAGTTGTAAGCTGTTTCTTTGTTTCAGCCTACATAGGCCAGTCTACTGCACAAACAGTGAATATAACAACTTTACTTCACTTTAAGTTAAATCATAGGCTATCATAAACCAACCAAAGTTTAAGTTATTTCAGTGTCAAACCTTGAATACTCCATGGCTGAAATCCACCTGCAGTGGATGTCAGTCAAAAAAAAAAAAAAAAAAAACATTCAAAATGTTGCAGTCTACTCAGCACATTTAGCATTTTATAACTATAACTTTAGTTTTATAAAGGTATTTAAGTTTCTTGACTCTTTTTTACGTGTTTGTCTTCCTTGAGATATTTTTGCATGCTCAAGTTTTAGCTCCCTGCGTTACATGGCAATTTACAGGATTTGCCTAGAGCACCATCTGCTGGTTAAGTTCATACACTGCATAGAAAACTGATAAGGGCAAGTGAATAGTTGCTGTATTGCAATTCCATTGTTTATTTGTTACTTTCAGTCACAGAAAAGTTACTTTTATCTTATTCTAGAAAAGCCCAGTGAGCTGCACTGCCAACGAAAAAGGAACTCTGATCGACTGTGAACTGGGAAACCCACTGCAGAGAAATGGTGAGGTGAGGTCCACTATCCTGTAGCCTATTGGTGTGGTATTGGTTTGACAAAAATCATATTGACACACCTTTGCTTCCTGCAGGTTACATTTTATGTCATTCTTGCAACATCTGGCATCTCACTTAGCACAAAGCATGTTAACGTCACTCTTTTACTCAAAACGTAAGTAATTAAAAGCAATTACAAGCCTGATTGTGGACACTGTATTTGAAAATGTCAAAGAACAATGTTTGTCCTGTAGGACAAGTGAGCAGGTTATAAAGCCAGTAGAAGCTTTTGCCAAAGTTGTATTTGAACTAAAACTGCAGGTACATGGGTAGGTAATGTTTTAGAAATGTGTGATATAAAGTACTATTTGATAATAACATTGTTTATTTTGTTTTTTGTGTCTTTAGTCTTACCAGGCCCTCCCAAGTGTCTATGGGTGAAAGCTCGAAAGGCGAAAGTGCCATTAATTCTATCCAGGAAATAGGGACACCTGTTCAGTATGAGTTTCGGGTAAGTTAGACTATTTTTTATTTACAACATCTTATTGTAAACAACACTGCATTTTTCTTTTCTATTCAGATAACAAATTTGGGCAGGCCACTCAAATCCTTTGCAAATATATCATTGAATATCTTTTGGCCCAAAGAGAATTCTGTGGGGAAATGGTTGCTGTATTTGACCCATATAAGCAGTAAAGGTGTACAGCCCAATCTATGTTCACCTGCTACTGAGATCAACCCACTCAAGCAAATCAAGGTAAGAAGCCAGAATTAGGATTGCACAATTTTGGTGGGGAAATGTGTAATTGTGATTTCTCTGACCGTTTTGATTAGATTTGCAAAATAAAAGACTAGACTTCAACTAGAACTTGAAAACTCCAATCCCATAAATTTTGCTTTTATGGAGGAACAAACTACATAGAATGGACATGGATAGAATAATGGTAGCCTTTGCATTTTTATAATTGCTGCAGTAAAAATAGCTGAAGACAAAATTGCCAAATTTGTTTGGGATTAATTGTGCAGCCCTAGTTTATTTTATAGGCACAGTTCACTCAAGCCAAATTTTATTTTATTTTTTTCTATTTTTGCTGTCATTGTAGAACTGCCTTTTGAACTACAGCTTCTCAAAAAGTAACTTACTATCAAACCCGTTTGTTTCCTAAAAACAACCAGTAATTGTATCGTGAGATCTTGTGACAGTAGTTGTTGTGCCATCCCTACTACTTCCTATACTCATTTTCTTTTTTGTGGTTTAAAATACCTGTTTATTCTGAAGGGCTGGTCTGACATAAAAAGAAGGAAACGTCAAGTGGAAGGTGAACTTGAGCCACTGTCCACTGAGGATATAATATTTCTGCCTTTCAAAAGAACACACAAAACACTGGTAAGTATTTGCATTAAACTGTATTTGCATTAACTGCTTACAAATGTCTGTCTGTAATGTCCCTGTACATTTTCAGACATGTTCAGATGGACTGAGCTGTGTGGAGATACGCTGCCCCCTACAGGGTCTGGACAGCAACGCCCTCATAGTGCTGCACTCGCATTTGTGGAATACTACATTTACAGAGGTACTTCAAAGATTTTTGGGGGTAATTGCTAGACTGTTAAACTTGTTCTTGTATCTGTATTTGACAGAGGTGGGTAATACTCAGTTTCATCTACTCAGTTCCATTGACTGTTTAAAGAGTTTGTACATTTCAGAATACTTTTCTAGCAGCATACTTTTACTCCTACTTGAGTAATATTTTTTTATGAAAGTAACAGTACTCTTGAATAAAAATGCTGGTTACTCTTCCCACTAAAAGACTACAAATGACAAAAGCTTTATTTTCATTTGAACATTTCTGTTTCTTGCACTGTTCCTTCAGGTATGTTAAAATTTTTCAAATTTTTGTAGTCTGTCCTTTGAAAATGCCAGCTTTTGCATTGTTTCATGTTTTGTCCTTCCAATTACAGTGATTATAATTATAAATCAAATGTTACTATTTCTCTTCCAGTTCCTCTTACTTGAGTAGTAATTTTCCCAAATACTTTTTCACTCTTAACTGAGTCGTTCCTTGGGCCAATACTGTATACTTCTAATATCATTTTTAAGTAATATTACTCTTACTTGAGTGCAATTTCAGGTTTAAACTGTTGCTGTTTAATAAAGTTTTGAAAATGCTACTAAAATGAGTTTGTAACTAGTACATTATGTGGTATTTTTTCTGTGTACTTGACAAATTTGACAGCTTCCAGTTTCCAGCTTTCCATACTTTTTTGTTTTTTTTAGGATTATAGCTCATTGAATTACCTTGAAATTGTAGTGGATGCAAGTCTAAGTTTAACACAATCTCCAGAGAATATTGGACTGATATCTGATGGATCTTTAGCGAAGGTAAAATGGTGAATAAATACTTTTTGTACAATATAAAACTGTAATATATTTTGATTACTTTGTACAGGTTAAACTAACAGTGTTCCTTGAGAAGAAGGTTGAATACTTGACCAAAGTCGCTTGGTGGATCATCCTTTTGACGGTCATTGCCTTGTTGCTGCTGTTGGTGTTTACAATTTTCGTAATGTGGAAGGTAGCACAAAATTTTGACTGATTTTGCTTTAAATTATTATTATTATAGTACGTCTTATAATATTTTGTTTCTAGTACGGGCCAGCCAGCTGCTTTTCTTCCAACAAAAAAACAAATAATGAAGAAGAAAGACAAGAGACCGTACCCCTCAAACTCTAATGCATCTCCATATTAATGACACACAATGTAACTTTTCTAGTCTAGTAAGAATACTTGGTTTTAACGGTGTGGGTGGGTTTAGGTTAAGGTTAGAGTCAACTTTTGTCAATGAAGGGTCTTAAAAAAAGCATGGGAATCTGTATGTGTGTGTTTGTGAGAGAGCATGTTTTTTTTTCTTTTTACTAATAACACTTGTAATAATAGAAATGCAAGATATGTTTAATGCCTCACACAATAATGGCAGTACGCAACAATGGAGACAAAGTGTCCTACTCGCCACCAGAAAAGTTACAGTGATGCTATAAATTACTTTTGTTAATAAATAATTTTTTCAAATAATAACCAAAAGTTTGGTTGTCTGAAAACATTTAATAAGAGAATGACATTCACATTCATACCAAAACTATTACAACATACAAAGTGCTGTGCTTTACATCCAGTGTGCTGACCAAACCTTTAGCCAAAATCCAGTTAATTTGTAAGAGATAAGTCACAAAATGCTGTTAGAACAAATGTAATACATCACACGTGCATACAATTTCATTACCCCAAAAGATGTTGGCATACAGACATTTTTAAGCCTTGCATGAAAAACAGATATTGAAAAGGACTTTTTTCATTATTGTACGAAAGGCGCCAAAGTGTACTCATTTCCATAGTTTTTCATCATTCCTTACATTTCGCAAATAGTCTTTTAAAATTTAATAGACTACCTAACCATCATGACCTACTTTTGTGTCAAGACAGCCTTTGTGATAGGATTTAAGCACAGTTTTGTCTTCTTTTAAACATTCAATGTATCCCACGCTCAACTCACTTTTGCTTTAAAAATATTTTAAAAAGGACTTTTGTAAAAACGCACTTCAACACCACAGCTGGTGCCAAGACAGTATAAAACAACCATACAAAAAGTACACACTACAGAAAATGTAGTCAGTATTTTGCGATGCAACAATTTAGATTTTACAAAAAAAGACAAGTATTTATAAAAGAGCAACAGCAAGACATTTGATTACAAAACAACACAAAACTTATAAATTAAAACATTCAAATAGCTTTGGGTATTGTCCAAAATGTCCATTGGGTTTGCATTACAACAAAAATAAAGAGTTCCAAGTGTTGTGTCGAATTACAGTCCGATAAACTTTCAATTAGTAGTCATTCCTACATCATATACAAATTTTGACTGATTATTTTTACAAATTGTGCTTGTATTTCTTTAAAAAAAATGTATGCTTCCTTATAAAATGTAGTTATATTTTTCTCAGAATTATTCTGTTTTGCTGGAACAACTTATGTTTTGCTGGTGTGCCCAAATGTAATGAATTCTTTACGTTGCGCTATGACACTGCAGCATAGTATACAATCTCTGGGACGTAATGACCAACTATCTCCATATGGGGGCGATATTGAGCATAAAAGGCAGACACAAAGGAAGCGCGGAGAGGGTGGGCAGACTGGACGCCGATTTGGCTCTGCCGTGCCCACTTTTGTTCCACTTGGGGCCGTTTCTGTCGCGGTTCCGAGAGGGCTTCACTGGGTTAGAGTTGTGCGGGGGTTTGTTGAAGGATGGAGAGTGTGGTCCGTAGCCTGGCCAGTCGTCATTGTACCTTTCAATGTGCTCTCCACCTCCAGAGCTGCTGCCCTCCTCACCTAATGAAAGAAAGAACAGTTATAGACTATATATACACTAGGGCTGCAAGGCTAAGTGCAGTAAAAACGATAAATATCAAAGGATGAAATTTGCAAACCGTAATTTGTACCACAATTTTCTCCACAAATGATTCTTTCTTATTCTGCATAAAAAGCTGCTAACCTTGTAGTTTAGGTCTGTACATATTTTCTGAAATGTGATTCTTGTTTTTCAGTATTTTTGTCAATTCTGGACATAATGAAATTAACTTTTGCAACTGATTTTTTCATTCAATCTAATCACAATACTTGTCAATAAAAATATATATATAAATAAAAATTGCAATTACTTATTTTTCCCAAAGCGTTCAGTCCTATATATCTATAAAAGTATAAAACTATAAAAGTGACATTACCCTCGCTGTCCACAAAGTCCATATCCTGTCCTGTCAGAGCATGTTTGAGTTTATTCGAGGCCATCCGCAACTCCATAATCAGCTGTCTTGTCCGGACATCTGGCCGGCTCGTGTCCACTTGCACCTCAGGGTTATTGATCTGATTGATTAGGCCATCCCCAGTGACATCTGGTAAGTACCTATCAGTAGAGTGTGACAGAAACAATACAATATAAACAACAGTTGAAGTATTTGCATTGTAAAGATGTATTAGCCAGGCTACTAAAATATAAATGTGGACAGTTAATAATGTGGTGAAAGCTTGTCATGTTAAAACTAAAACTAAAGAATTGTATTATAATTTTCCTTGTCACCGACCTCTGCTTTGTAAGATGGTCTCAAAGTTGTCATCAGACTGAAGATATCTCAAATTTATGTTGTACATTGTTAGAATTTTCTAGACTGATTTTACAAAAAAAAAACACCCAAAAAAACATTTCTGAAGTAAACAACTTACTGCTCTTGAAGTAGCCCTTGGTCCTAAAAAGGTTGGTAAATCATGTTACAGAATAAAAGCTACACTGTTTTTTTTCCCCTGAGTTTTCCAATGTAGTTATAATTAAACCATCCTCTTTGAACCGCAGACTCTGCCGGCAGCAGAGCATCATTTTGTGTGCAATTGAAGCAGGCCCACACAGAACACAGGTGGATAAACAAGAAATAACCTCTGTCCTTTCTATTGCATCCTACCACCTCTTCACCATTGCTCACTCCTCCTCCTTCTCCACCTCACCATCCCCCCTCCTTCTCCCTCCCCAGGCCGTAAGCTTAGCTCTCCCTCACCTCCCCCGCGTCTGCCCGTTCCAGCAGCGGTCCTCGTTGGTGACGTCGGCAGCCATCTTCTCCTCGCTGCAGATGGTGTGTGGGAGGGACACCCAGAAGCCCTGCATAGGACGGAGCCGCTCCTTCAGCTCAGTGACCTGCACAGAGGAGGCGTGAAGAACTAGGTATGATGACTCAAGACTGCTTTGAAAAGTGTCCTTGTTTGGAGAGAGCTGAATAAAACATATGGATGGAGACAGTGCGCAAACTGGTTGAAGCAAAAGCCTCAGCTCTGACCCTTAAATTGAGTCTTTTCACTCCCTGAAATCCAACTAAAGATTGTTTTGGTTCAACTGCCCTTCTCTGGCCCTACTCTTTTGCTTCACTTCAACCTCCATGCCATTTTGACCACTCTATAGCTGCTGAAAACTGCTTTAATTTCAGTGGCTCACAAGAGTTCACACTTGCTTTGTGAATCAACTTTTTACATTACTGCTGCCATTCCATGTTTTATTCTTGAAGGACAGGGTGCTTAATGATGTCCTTCACCTCACTTAAATGATCAGAACTGTTAAATGATAAAATTATATACAAGTGCTTTGAGTGCCTTAAAGGTGGAAAAGTGCTATATAAAAATGTGATCATTTACCACTTATTTATATATATATGTGTGTGTGTGTACTTGCAATCAAAAAAGTTCATGTTTAAAAGCCGCATTTAAAAACATTACATTATACTGACTACATTTATTTTTGTTAACCTACTTCGTTTAATTTCTATGTTTTAGTCAGTATTCAGTAGGGCACCTGTTCATGTAACTAAGCTTATCTATTAGCTCATTGGAGAGTAACATGATTTTTCTTCTTCACCAGTCGGTCCAGATTAGTGCCTGCAGCAGTTGTGGGTTTCTCTTCGGGAGTGTAGGTCCTGAAGGGTCTCCGGTTTCCTTCTGAGTCTTTGGGTGATCGTTTGGAACGTGCTGGACGAGGGTTCCCACAACCCTGGAATACCTGAATGAAAAAAATAATAAAATGATAAACCTGTTCATTACAGATCTTCCTGAAAACAATAAATGAATGGTACCATCATCACAGGGCCTCATTTCAAGAAGCAGGTTTAATCCTGCAAGCACTTAATTGAATTCAAATTTTCAATTTCACAGAGAAATAGCCAAAGTCAGAGTGTGACTCTGAACTCACTCCGAACAAGGTGAATAACCTCTGAGTGGTTTTAACTCCAAACCCGTTTTCTGGAGCAGGAAAACAAAAATGTGCTGGGTGTGGGGAAGAAGGCTAAATTCTTTATTTAGCCAGTTAAGTGCCCATGGAATTTGAAATCTCATTTTCAGAGGAGTCCTGGCTCCAAAGTGGTGAGGGAAACCTACAGAGACAGAGAGATCATGCAATCTCCACACAGTAAGACCCCTCACTTTCTTTCTGGGAGGTTAATGACTATACCACCATGCTGCCCAATCAAACTCAAAGATAGTTTCATCACATCCTTTGAGAAATATGTGCCAAAGTTTCTATCTTTTCAAAAATTGTTAAAGTCTCAAATGCTTTTGCTTCTGGGACACTTGCCATGCTTTTAATCATACTCAGTCATAGTCTGTCGAAACAGATTAGACAAGACAAATATTTTCAGGAAAGGATTCTTACAGGAAATGCTACAGTGAAATCACCTGCTCATATTCTTACCTTGCTTGAGATGCTCACACTGTTCTCTTGCATGTGCATGATGGCTTCAGAAACCTTTATGGAGATCGAGTCAGCTGCAAGCTCTATGTTAAATGGCCCCTCCAACTTCTCAGCAACCTGGTACAAAGTATCTGGATGTAGACACAAACAGGAAAAAACAAAACAAAGTCACAAATACAGTGTGTAGAATGATTTAGTTAAAGGAAGCTTTAAAAAAGGAGAAAGTAAGTGATCAGTGGATGCATAGTGCCGGCAGTGAACATGAACAGAAAACCGGAGGGAATGTATGCAGCAGAGGAAGGCGAGGAAACTTAGAATGACAGATCAATTGTGGTGAAGCTTAGAGCCATGAATGATTAATACAGGGTGAATTCATTAGTAGGAAAGTGAAGTGCAAGTGAAAGCCAGATCATTTTATGACCATCAGGCATTTGTTTGTCTGCTTAGATCACTATACTACTGTTATTCAATATATCAGCACAAATAACGGTGTGTGTGCAATAAGAAGATAACAGCATATTCACTAAAAAGTCAGAACATTGTCCCACCCACCTATAAAGTTGTTCCATTCGGTGCCTAGGTCAGCCTGATTGGCCAGGCAGCCTTTCATCACGTTCAGGCACAGAGAGTGGCAAGGCCGTAGTGTGGTCATTCCACGGCACAGGGGGCAATACCACTGGCGCATCAGACCACGTACACACTCTGGATCTGCTGTTAACTACAAAACAATACATTTAGTAAAAAAAGACATTAGGCTTTTTTCAGGTACCAGTATTTAGTATGAAGTTAAAGCATTGTAAACAGTATTCATATAAAGTGGCTTCATAAAAGAAATGGGTCAATTGACTTCAAGTTAAACACGGCAGAACTGAAAGGTCCTACCTCTTATAATTTACTGGTGACAAAATGCTATGCAGCTTATTTGAACCCTACATGTGTAACCTAGATTCAGAATTTTTTGAATAATCATAAATAAATACAACGCTGAAAGTTGGGATAGATAAAAACACATTTTCTGAGAACTCCCAAGTGTTTAATGCAGGACATTACAGGATTACTCAAACATGCATGAATCAATCGAAATACAACTTTGAGTAAGATAATAATGAGGGAACAGTTTTATAACTTGTTTTTCAAAGCTCATAAAAGTTGATTCTACCCAATACGCCCCCTTTAATTAAACAGGGCACAACTTATCTGATGGTTATTTCTGCGAAGACTACTTACTTTTGTTGCTTTGTTGACAATATCCCGACCTGTTGCCAAGCCTTGTGAGAGTGCTCTAGCTGCAATAAAAGCTCTTGAAATCTGAACAATAACATAGATACATTTAATTAGTTCACTTTAGCATGTATGGTCATAATGAGGCAGTTTAAGAATACAGACTTGGATGCGTAGCTTGCGTGGCACATCTCCAAAAGGCTGCAGTTGTTCAGCATGTTTGCTAACACACTCCAAGTAGTCCTCAGTGAAATGATACTGAGGATTGACCAGAGAGAAGACCCTTTCCACCAGACGAGCCCAGAAGTCCGACAGGACCTCAGAGAGACTCACACTGCCCCCTGTGGACAATGGACATAGTGTTAGACTGGAGATGCTTATTCATGTGCCAGCCAAACATATTACCCAACAGTGACATACAATTCTACACACCCCAGTAATGCACTAGAATAGGAATATGGCTGTACAGTTAACCACATTTTATTCTAGACTGAGATTCAGTCATGTCTAATTATATGATAGAATCTTTTTAATCAAGTGGTCTACAGCTAATCTGTCAGTAAAAGCATGTTGTTAGGAGTTCAGATTTTGGATGACATTTTTGTGTTAAATGGCAATGATTAAAGCCTGTCTTTGTTAATTTCAAGAAATTTATATTGAAAGCATTTGAATCTTTTTTTTTTTAATTCTTCAAAATAGCATTTATCAATATATAGTAAATGCATATTTGTTTTTTCATATTGCCCAGCCCTAAATAGTACAAGATTAGAGGAAAGTACTGGATGTTTTCCTGTTGCTTTATCTTCCATCCATCCTTCCATGTTTTTAAATGAGTCAACAGGCAGACAAGATTGAATAAACAGTGCATCTGTGGTCTGTCTGGTAGACATCCTCCAGGCAGTCAAAGCAACAGCCTGTCACTTCATAATGATTATGCCAAAACATAGCAGCAACATACCAAAATAGTACAGAATTGTAAAAAAAATGTATTTGACATGCAATTATTTTATGTATTCTATTTACATTTACTAACAACTTCATTACACATAAATCATCTTTGTAGGTTGTGTTCACGTTGTAAAATTTGATGTTGTCATCATTTCAGATGGAGAGCAGGGGCATCTATAACCAAGGGAGATTTAATGTTTTTGAAAGAAATATCCAAATGTATGAATTACAAATGTTGTACCTTATTTGTTAAGAGATTGGCATGCCATATTAATCTTATGTCTTTGGGCTGAATAATGGCACCACTTTCTGAAGCCAACGTGAAACAAAAAAGCACTTTTGTTTATTTACACCAACAGAAAACAAAACTTGGTGCCAGTTTTTGTTTCATGTGAATAAGCCCAGTTATTAGAGATACAGTATACCATAAACCAGGTCAACAAAGTTGCAGTCTGACTGTTAAATAACTACCTCCACCATTTCATTCTGACTTATCCTCCTCAACTATAGGGATTCTACAATGTTGTGACCTCTCATGAAACAAACCACAAAATGGCTAAACATTTTATTCTCAAGCTGTAATCAAACAGATTTTGAAATGTGGAAATCAAATGTACACGATTTCACACCTACATCTTTCACAGCAGCAAAAACCCTAACGGTGACTCAACCAACCTGAATAATAACTACGCAGCTCCACAAACAGCTCCTGGAAAACGTGCGAGTTCTGGGTGAAGAGCCTCCCGTACGTCTTGGTAAACATCTGGTTCATTGACTTCTCCGACAGGTCTATAAGCTCTCGGAAAAACTCTTAAAGAAATACCACGACATATTAGGTGCAAATCCATCAACACCTACAGTTTTTTTTTCCCTTCTAAAATTAACGGCGTACATGGCGTTACATCGCACCATGTTCTGTACACTGGTAAATAACAAAATGTTCTTCATGTTAGATTATCTTTAGTACATGTATTCTCTCTCCCACTCATTGAACCTGTTTAAGGGATTCATCATTCCCTTTACATAAAAAGAAAAAGGGAAATGCCGCTTCAATGGTTACAAAGGAGAAGACATAAAGTAGCTTGAGTATGGAAAAAACCTCAAGAAATTGGAGGAACAAATGGGAAGAATACACATGCTGGCATTCATTAGTAAGGTTTTGTGATTTAGGTTTAATGCCAGTCCTCAGTTAGTAAAAACCTGTTAAAAACAGAGTTCAACTTTGAGGGAATAAACTGGCATATTATCTTTGTTCAAAAGTCTGCCTTGTCTTTTTTCATGAATCTTATTATTAAAAGTCATATTTTTTCCTTCATCTTAAAATGGGATGTACCAGATTTGTCTTGCCCCAGTTCAAATATATAAGCAGCTCTTGAGATCAAAATACATCTACTGTGTTCTATCTGCAGCTACTTTTGAAGCGTTTTATTATCTGAAATAAACCATACTATCAAACTAAAAGACAATGATACATTTTAGTGAAATAACACCCGGTCCTAATTCATACTGACATCCCAAACATATAAATAAAGCAACACTATAACAACAGTCTTACCATCAAACCTGCGGTGCCTCTGTGTGAAGGTAGTCAGCAGGAACTGGCTGCCATCTTCCACTGCTTTAAGGAAGTCCCTCTCACTTTGAAGTGCGAGGGTCTCCTCCATGTGACTAGAGCAGCAGGTGTAGTCCTGAGGGCACAGTCGTAGGTGCTCACCTGGGCCGAGAGAAAGTACAGTGTAAATGTGATTCATCTTCAAAAAGCACTTTGAAACGGGACCACACAAAATGAATAAAGACTATGTTACAGGGCAGACATTCCTTTAAAGATCCACTCTGTGACTTTTCTAGTGAGTGGGTCCAGCACCTTCTTATTTTCATGCAGCTGAACAGAACGGCAGGTCTTCATATTCACCTAAAAAAAACTATCTGCCAAGGGTACACTATGCAACTGTACTGGTGGAGGGTTGTTTTCATAGAGATATTGCGTTCTTAGTGTGAGCAGGGTCGCCTTTCTACAGATCTGACCTGTAACTTGTCAGTGGAGAAAGATACATTTAATGCCATACACAGAAATATATGGTCAAAAATGTTTGCCATGGAAACAAACCACCAGAAAAGTTTCATAGTGCACCTTCAAGCTGCTGTTTTTAGTCAATTTGAAATCATTCTGTTCATATTGTGCAATCAAAGATAAGGATGTAACAGATAATTGCAATATCCCAGCATGAATAATTCAACCTCAATCTGTCTTTGTCAGCCCGTTGTAAGGCTTTAATATGTCAAAGGTAATGAAATGCCAAGGGAAAAAAGGTAAGCGTATATAACCTACAGAAAGGCTGATTTTAGCACTTTTACTGTAGAATCCTGTTGTTATAATTGTGTTCAGACTTGTCTTGCAGCCGCTCCACCCTACTTGATGTTTTGTGGGGGGCTCTTTTGTTCTGTCTCACTATTAGTTTGCTCTCATCACACCATTTCCATTTCTAAACTGCCTCCCCGCATCCCTTCCTCTCCAGGCCATCTGCTCCCCTGGCCCACGGGATGGTGAGCCAGGTCCAAGCGGTAATAGCCCTGCAGCACACACGCACGCGCGCGCGCGCACACACACACACACACACACACACACAAAATAAATCAATAGGTCTCTTGTCTCAGTATGGTCTAAACTGCTGCTGTGTCAATCAATAGGAGAATATATACTATATAAAAATATATGGTATGATATTTAAAAAAAAAAACATCATTCATTTCCCCCATTCAAATTTCATTCATGCACTGTAGTCCCATCTATCAGTCTCACCCACACACAGAATAACAGATTACAAATTAAACCATGGAAAACCTATATGCTATTATGCCTCTTCATCAGATTAATTTATCACCAGTGCCCAGTGGCTGTAAATAGCCTGATAGTGAAATTTACTACAGCGGGACATTAGGAAAAGACTAATTAGGGGCGAGGTTCTTTGTTGCACCGGTGTTGGCAATTTGCTCATCCCCTAATCATCCAATTTGAGCCTCACCATGAAAAGAGGGGAGGAGTGACCGGCTTTTGAGCACCAGCATTCACATTCCCTTTGAAAATTATTACTTAGCCTATTCCAACCATTTATGGCACTATGGTATCGATCGCAGGGTGACCCAAATGTGAAATACAATGTGCAAGTTTGTAGACTACTTTTCCAGTTCCAAAAAAACTGAACGGAACACCATCCTTACTTACCGGAGATTTGGGAGACCGGAGCGCTGCCAGTGCTGTAGCCCTTCTCTGCGTACACCTGCCGGGTGTCAGCGCAGCTCCGAAGCGCGGAGACCCGGTGTCCGGTCCCCAGCAGGACGGGTGCAGTCCACAGGAGCACTGCGAGGGGACAGTGTGCGAAAGCCCACGGAAAATACATCCTATCTACAACACCCGCAAGAAAAGCTTGGTATCAGAACAGCTTTGTCTGCCTTTCACCAGGAAAGCAAAAGTCGAAAATTACAATGAGTCGATTAAAATGGTCATGGCTTTGTCCTCATTGAACACTGAAGAAATTATAGTTTAGGCATCACACATATGTTTCCACACAGCAGTATCCAATGGATTTCCCCTTCACAGGAGCTCCGCTAAACCAAATGTGTGTGTGGCACAGAGGGACACTCCCCGAGCACGAGTAGAGCGCATCCTCTGAGTCTCGGAGCATCGTGCATGAAGCGTGCGCAAGTACAGCTTTAGAACCGGATGTGGTAACTTCAGAATACGAAAATTTTCCAGATATTTCTTCCCGCGCCTTTTTAATAAATTTTAATACACTAAATGTTGCATTTAGTTTGAAACATCGATGCTATACTCATGTTTTTTTTTGCTTCAATAACTTAAAATCACTAATGATCTAAACGGGGGATTTTATTTTGAAAGCAGAAGTTGTTCTTACTCTGGTTCGCTCATAGACTGGGATCCCTTCACAAAATCAAAACCAAAATATTGAAACATTTAAGAAGTTAACTATTTTGGCTACTAGCAAACCAAAGAATACTGGTATGACTTAATAGTACAGTGTCGACAAAATCGGATTTATAACAAATAATATTCAAGGCTCGTGTCAGGCCAAGACCACAAACACACCAGCCAATCAATTTGAAGAATATTGCGAATTTTCGCGCGTTTTTGTTGTTCGTGTAAAACATTTTCGGCGCCCCAGAAGAAAAACTATTTGAAGAGTCATCGCCAAACATCTTCAAAAACAGGTATTTTATTAATCGTTAACTTGACCTTCTTCACTATTTTGACTGTATTTATTAAATTCGCTATATATTGTAATTATTAACAACAGGCTAAAGAATGCAATGCCAGGGAAAGATTTAACTAAAATTAAGACATGCAAGTGACATGTTCCCCTATCATTTGGTTTTATATTCCTCCCTTTTAGCAGAGAATCAGGCAGGCAAGTGGTACATTTTTTCCCCATCTTTTTTAAAGCAAGGATTATTTACCCTAAGATGGACCAATCAAGAACCCCAGCAGACAGCGACAGTGCTGTAGACCGGTAACTCATCAAGGATCATTGCTATTTAAAAGTGACTGTAAAATGTAATGCTTCCTCTCCTTTCTTATAGTCTTGATGAGTTGGATGACATGTCAGACTTAGGTAGTGACTATGAGGATGAACTAAAGACTGCTAAGCGAAAAAAGTCTTCAGAGCAGTGGATACAGGTAACATATTTCAAATCTTTGTATGTTAGTTCTCCAGTTTCAATAATGTGCATTTGTTCTGTCTAAAAAAAATCAAATATTAAAGATGGTCTTACTCTTTTACCCTGCCCTTGCTGTTTGTAATATGGTCAGTTGGATCAATTCTCTCAGTGCCCACTGCTGAGCTGCCCTTCTGTCCCCTTTCATCCACAGCCAACCAAGTGGTCCCGGCATGCTCTGAGGGAGGTGTCCATTCCCTCTATCAGCTCTGTGTCCACTGTGGATATTCCAACACAGAAGCCCTCTCGGGGGAAATCCAGGCAGGCGTCTTCTCAACCTGTGACCAGAGCCAGAACTGCTAACCAGAGTATAACTGCAGAGACTATCTATAATGCAGTGCTCTCTGGGAAGGGTGCCATGGTGGTAAGCAAAAATGCAAAGACATTATTACAGCTTGTAATTGTGGACAAATAACTGAATGCTGAAGAGGAATAAGCCCTCAAAGCCAACAGTGGAGGTGATTATCATGTGCTGTCACTGGCTGATGGATGTGACCCTCCAGAATGTCCTTTGATAGGCAAGGGGAGGTTTCTTTTTCGGCTTTGAAGACAGTGGTTGGTGTTATGTCCTTCAAAAAAAATGAAAAATGGCTACAGTTAGAACTGAGTGATGTGACAAAAAAGTTAATTTTTTTTTGTACCTCATATTGATTAGTCACAACTTGCTTTTATTTTGTGGGTTTCAGCTTCCTGTTACATGGTGCCATTTTGAGGACGGTTCACCATTCAAAAGATATAGCACTTTGTTTTGACTGTTAATTGTTTACTTTCCATCGTACTTAGACCTCTTAATTAAAAAGACCCAATCATATTAACAATTAGAAATTATTTAATGTTGATCTAAATTTAAATGTGATCATTTGCACAACCCTGAATACAACACTCGCTATGTTACATAACAGCTTAATCATACACATAACAATCATTGTTGTGATTCATATGGAAAGTTACAAGTAAAAGTGTGTATATATATATATATATTTTTTTTTTTATTGCTTATTGGTGGCTACTTAAGATGTCCTTTATATGGCAAAAGTTTGTGCAGCTCTAGTCATACTAACTTTTGCAACTGTCATTACAAAGACGGTGGTGGACGAGTGGTTGGACAACTACAAGGAGAGTCGTGAGGCAGGACTTTTGGTGCTTGTCAACTTTATTGTTCAGGCGTGTGGATGTAAAGGTCAGTGATTAAAATTGGGTCAAAGGTCAGCACACACATTGTCTCACTTCTGGTCATACCATTTGGTGGTCTTGTTGTATTTTCCCTCTGCCAATTACTTGATTCAAATAAATGCTATACTTGCTTTGTACTGTTCTCGTTCCTTACAGGTGTGGTTACTGACGAGATGTTCAGCAGCATGCAAAATGCAGAGATTATAAGTACCCTGACCAAAGAGTTCAATGAGGTGAGGGAAGACACTCATTATCTCTCACTCACTATTTCTTATTGCTTCAGTTGAAATTAAATGCCACTTAAGTCAGGGAATTATTGTATTTTTAAAAAAAAAATTTTATCAATGAAGTCTAATCTCCATAATGGTAAAGGTGCAATATGTAACTTTCTGGTGGAGGATTTGCCATCTTATTGTTTCCTTGGAGATGCTTCTCCACCTGTAAGTAATGACAACAGCATCACAGTGAAATGTTTTTTTTTTAGCATCATAAACACCTGTAATTGAACAAGATAGAAAGTAAAAATACATACACTGTAGAATTGGCAAATCTGGCTCCCCGCTAGAAAATGTATGATAGTGCACCAATACATTTTGAGTGCTGTCTAGGGTTAGCCTTTGAGTTTTCCTCATTAGCAAAAATCCTGAAGAAATTATGTGCTCTTTCACACCCATAAAATACATAGTTATAGTTGTCGAGTTAATAACAATACATACTGTCTTATGATTTATTTATCCTTTGCTACTTGTCCTTTCAGGAATCAGTGAACTATCCACTGTCTACCCCAGGATCCCAATTAAAGCGCTTCAAAGCCAGTTTGTGTGAATTTGCCAAAGTTCTGGTGCAGTCTTGTCGTAACAGTCTTGTGTATGATGAATACCTCTTTTCCTCATTGTTGGCTCTGCTCACTGGTCTGTCGGACTCTCAGGTCAGAGCTTTTAGACACACCAGCACTCTGCTTGGTAAGTACACAAGTCACAGTTCAGAAAATACAGAAATCTTAACGTTTGTCTACTTTTTTATTCCTTGACAGCCATGAAGTTGATGACAGGGCTGGTCGAGGTTGCTGCTGTCTTGTCAATTCAAATACAGACCATTCAGCGACAGTATGACATTGAGAACAGTAAGACACCATTTGAAAAAGCCCCTGAAAGACTAGAGGAGCTTCAGGCCACCTTAAGTCAGGTATAAGCATAGTTGCTGTTATACCAGATTTTTGCAGTTTGCAGTGATCCAAAGTTATTCTTCACTTACCTTATTCATTCCATGCATCATGATTATTCACCACAATTAGTTTATAAGTGCTTTTCACTAATCAGAGTTTTGCCGTCACTGGAAAGGTAATTACAACTAGCATGCTAACACACACCTCCTAATTATCGAACAATAAAATGCTTTATATTTAAATGTAGACATCTCTCCGTGGAAATATTTTGACCCACTTAGACTTAGACAATCTTTGTTGATCCATGAGGGAAATTACTTGGGCACAATACAATAGCTGAACAAGGCAAGACATTTTGCTCAAATACTTAGGAAAACCAGATACAGGGCCTTTTTAATTATTATATCATTACTGGCAACAATTCATAACATATATTCTGTTTGTTCCAAAATGTATAAAGATGCATGAAAATAGACAAGAGCTGTCCTCCCTAATGAATGCGACGTTCCGTGGAGTGTTTGTGCATCGCTATCGGGACAAGCTGCCTGAAATCCGTGCGGCTTGTATTGAGGAACTGGGAATGTGGCTGAAAACTGACCCGGAGGACTTCCTCAACGATGGATGCCTCAAGTACCTGGGCTGGACTCTTCATGACCAGGTTTACTCTAATATATTCACACTGGAGAAAATGTGCCTTCAGTCAGTTGCTGGGTTTCAGATTACACCATGACTTGGCTAATAATATTTAATACATTCATTCTGCTAAAATGCAGAACTTTGTTGATATATAGCAAGTTTTAGGGTATAAGCACAAATAGAAATAATAATGTTAAACATTAAAAGCTTTGTACTGTATGAAAGTGTATGCTGAATGTAAAATGTGCTGGTTGTTATATTATTTGTGTTACAGCAAAGTCCAGTGCGTCTGCAGTGTGTGCGTGCCCTCAAGGGTCTGTACCGAGAGAAAGAGTTCATTGGTCGCCTGGAGCTTTTCACCAGCAGATTTAAAGTAAACCATACCCGGTGGATTAGCCAGACCCTTCATTTGCCTGTTTCTGCTTCTGTCTGACTGTCTCTTTTTCATCTATTGTTCAAGCGCTGGTACTCTTGAAGCCATGTCTGTTTTGTTCCATTCTTTGTATGTCACTCATGTGAGTTGTATGCTCTCATTTTTGTCTGGAAGCGCTAATTGCTATAGCGTTCCCAGCGCTAATAATCTACCAAAAAAAAAAACCTCATTCAAGTCTCATGTGCGTCAGTTGGTAAAGGCTTTCTCCATAGCTGTGCAGTGTAAATATGTGTATTATGCTTATTATTGCTTTGTGTGTGCTAAGGAGAGGATCCTCAGCATGGTACTGGACAAGGAACCAGATGTGGCATTGGAAGTGGTCAATCTGTTGCTGCTGATCCAACAGTGAGATTTTTCTGTCTTAAAAAATGCATGTTACTGTCTTCACATGATCTATTATAAAACTACTGATTCATGGCTGTGATAACACTCTTTGTCATATCCACCAGTGATTCATATTTGAGTCATGATTTTCTCAGGTTTTCTGTCAACTTGCAACGCTGACTCATACTTTGGATTAGAAAAGAAAAACTACTGTACTAAATAAACCATGTCCAGATACATTCCTTTTGTACTGGTTGGGAGGGGGGTTGTACCTGTTAGATTTATATTTAGCCTATCTTATTACATACAGGAACACAGAGGAGGGCCTGAAGGAGGATGAGCATGGTCACATCTATCCTCTTGTATATGCTTCTCATCGGGGTTTGGCTTGTGCTGCTGGCAACTTCCTTTACCACAGGTTCCATTTGTTCAATACGTTTACATAATAAAAAAACTTCTCTTGCTTTAGCAAAGACATCTTGTCAATATCAATTTATTTTGTATCGTTACAAAATTTTCTTTGTGCTTTCCTCAGAATTAAAATGATGTATGCTGAACAAAATCAGGAGAGTTGTAAAAGTGACAATGCTGCCTTTATTCAGATGATGATAGCTTTTTACATCCAAAGTAAAGTAAGTTTTACACTGCAAAAAACAAAAGTTTAATCGCTTGGATTCAGAATCTTAATCTTGCTGTCAATGGAATGAGCCATATCACTTAAAATATGTATACAGTATAAGTGTACAGTATGTAACTTTGTGGTTGTGGCATGTCTCCTGCATGATTCTTTGGATATAGAACATTAAAACCACACTTTGGTTTAAATATTCCACAATATGGCATAAAATGTATTTATCTCCATGGGAAATGTTCCAAAGGAACAACATATCTGTGATTTTTTTTTTATTATTACTCTAATGAAAATGCTGCTTACTTTGCTTTTGTCTAGTGTCAAGAGCACGGTGCATACCTGGTGGACAGCCTTTGGAATGTGGCTGGATCAGAGCTGAGAGACTGGGAGACTATGACTGCATATCTTCTTTCTGATACCGGTGATGATCAAGTATTAGGTTACTTTTCAGTGGAACAGGATGCAGTTAAAATATATATATCACATGTCCTGCATTGCCAACAGTAGCTTTCCCAACTGTCTGTTATGTTTCCTTCCTGACTCTACGTACACACCACCCACTCAGTTCTGCCCCTTTCCACCTCTCCTAATGTCAGGTATTTTGGATGAGGAGGAGGGGGCCCTGATTGAGTTGATGGTATGTGCCATTCAGCGGGCATCACAGGCTACACCACCTGTTGGGAGAACACAGGGCAAAAAGGTATGAACACCATATACTTGATATATTTATAATGGGGTACTAAAGGTACATTATCTAACATTTCTGGTGGGAGCTCTACTTGTCTCCTTGGGGAAGAACTGGCCTGATATTTGGCTTTATAGTGTTACCTATTGTCCATGGAGGCAGATAAGTTTAATACATGCTGTGAAATATTCCAGGCAAAGTACAGTATATATTTCTGTGGAAACAAGCAGGTGGCAGATCCTCCACTAAAAAGCCACATAGAGCACGTTTTAATATTTATTTACAAAAAATGATCAATGTGTTCAACTGGTATAGATTCTGAGTATGAAGGATAAGAAGATCCAAGAGCAGGATCGAGGCCGCATCACAGCTCATTTCATTCCTCTGCTGTCTCAATTATTAACAAAGGTAAACAGTGTCATTTTGTTTGGTTGACAAAGAAAATACTGGCACCATTATCTGAAATAGTTTTTTTTTATTTTTGTGGCATTTTCTCCTCTGCAGTACTCGGCAGATGCCGCAAAAGTGACCCTACTCTTGAAGATTCCTCTCTGTTTCGATCTGGAGTTGTTCAGCAATGCTCAAGGCATGCTAAATGTAAGCTCAAACCTACAGAAAAAACTACAGAAAAACAGAAATACTGTAATATATGTCTGTTCAGCACTTGGACCAGCTCCTGGCTCAGGTCTGTGGCATTGTGGAGAAGCACACAGATGCGGCCGTGTTGGAGGCGTGTGCACATTTGGCCAACAGTCTGTGCTCAGACCGCTACACCTTCTCCTCACATGCTCACACCACTTTTAGTCAGCTACTGGATACCCTCACAGACTGCTTCAACAGCTACTTGAATGAGCTACTACAGGTAATGCAAAAAGCCATTGCGATTTGTATTAGGGCTCGGTGAAATGATACTGATTGATCAAATTTTTCAATTCAGTTTATTTGGCCATCAATATTAATTTTATGAACATAAACAAGACAGATTTGTCATTTAACACCAAAACCTGTCAAATTTCTTCCTCTAAAGAGTCTAGAGTCGGAACTCACATGCTTTTACTGACAAATTTGGCTGTAAATGTCTCAATTTTAAAGACTCAAGCATTTAATTGAGAAATAGAAATCTCCGTCTCGATTCAAATTTGTAACGGTCAGGTTTCTAACGGTCAGGTTCAGACTTTTTAATAAAAGGGACTACAGCCAATCCTTTGCCAGTAAAATCATGTGGTTTGGAGCAGAGTTCATCAATTGTGACTTATCAATATGAAAAAAAGAAATGAATAATCTTTTGTCTTATCGCCCTGCCTTTTTTACAGGTTAACAGTACAATACGATATTTGATACTGAAATAATATGTTCCTGTATAGGGAAGTGCTGATGAAGATGATGTATATAGTGCTGCCATTGCCTTGAAGAGGATTGGAGCTTTGAGCTGGTTAGCATTAACACAGAGCTTTGATACCAAACAGTATAGTATATGTGCATATATCTGCATTGGTTTGCCTTTTCAGTGCTATAGATCCCACTGCTTGGAAGCTCTTTGATGGTTGCCTCCAGCTCCTGAACAACAGAGTGGAGACTGAACAGCTGGAAGTAGAGGTAACTACATTTTTAAGCTAAATTAAATACATTTACTTATTTCTGAGTCAATCAATAATTTGCTTTTTTTCCTTTTGTATTTTACATTGCAGCTTGTGGTCCCTGCACTGAGATGTGCAGCTTTTCATTTGATGTGGGCCAAAGTCAATGCAGTCAATTCCACACCTAAACAGGTTCAGCCTACTCTACTAATATATATTACCCTTGGATGCTTTGCTTTGCTTAATGTTGCGTGACACAGATTTGAATAAAGTAAAAGCTCCCCTACATCACAGCTGACCCATGGCCTCTCTGTACATGTGTCAGTTGTACACCAGCTGCACACACACAGGGCAATTAGAAAAGCAATTTTTTTGGTGGATACAGACATAAGCTTACATAGAGGAGGTGTCTCAATTTGTTGACTTAAATGATCATGCTACGTCATCAGAATGTTAAAAATACAGAATGGAGCGCCACTGGAACCTAAATTAAATGGGGCATAATACTCAGGATTAACTGACATCAGATCTGAATGCTAATGTCATAATTTAAGAATAACAGAAAATATGAATTTTGAGGGTGAGGGTATAGTCAGTTAGCTTTTCTATTACAAAGGATGGAAGAATCTTTTGTTGTTCTACTTAATTTTTTTCCTTTTAGCGCCTTAATTTTAAAATTTTGAATCTAATTGTTCAGTCTTAAATGGTCCTTAAAAACTTTTTGTTTGACTATACCCTGCATAGGCAGAAATGAAGATCCTTAAAAGACAAGTCCGCTCCTTCTGTAAAGTCAGCCAAAGCTGCCTGTCTGTGGCTCAGGCTGAGATCAGAAATCAGGTGAGTGCTTAATTATATTTAGATGATTAAGAAGGGAGTAACAAATAGTCCCTTATTTAGAAACGTGGTGTGTATCTAAATATATATCTATGGCAATATGTTATAGTCTCCTCTATACTGGTAAGTGCATGTGATTCGTCGATCAGTTCAGATTGGTGTGTTGTCTTGTCTGCAGGCGTTTGAGCTCCTATGTGACCTGCTGCTGCTCTTCAGTGAGTCTTCTGTACGCTCTGACCCCGTGCTGCAGACACTGGTGCACCGGCCCTCAGACTCCCTGCGCTCAGAGATGGCTGCTTTCCTCCTGGATTATGTATTCACTGACAATGATGATGACAAATTCAGTGGTACAGTTGATCAAAATTACAATTGCACATATTTCACTTTGACTCTTCTTTAGTGACCCTGTATTTTTGTGTTTGTAGGAGAAGTTGAAGAAGAGATGAAGATAATCCAACTTCACAGGAAGCGCAATCATCTGGCTGGCTACTGCAAACTAGTTATCTATGGGGTTTTTGACCTACCAGCAGTGACTGACATCTTTAAATACTACAGCAAGGTTTGAGGAATAATTAATAGAGCATTTTTTGTAGTGTATATAATGATGGATTTGTCTTGTTAACTTAATCATGCCATTTAATTTTAAGTTTTGAGAAGGAGGACATAATGTAAAAGGGTGGAGTGTGATAATTTCCCCTCTATTAGTACTATAAAGACTATGGCGACATCATTAAGGAGACAATAAGCAGGACCAAGCTCATCAATCCTGTGCAGAGTGCAAAGACTGTCTGCCTCAGTCTACAGCAGGTAATACTTTCCTTAATGGTAGTGAGAATTGCACTTTATTTAGTGTTTCTGTTTTTAATTAGGTCATTACTAATGCAGACATTTACGTATGAATCTCATGTGCTATAATTATGCATGTGCGTTTACAGCTTTTCTCAGAGATGCTTATGGAGGCGCGCAGCAAACAAGATATGAGCGAGATTCGGGATCTTGCCAAAAGGCTGGCTATGAGTTTTGGCATTGATCTGCATCATGCCCGCAAACCACTGGTGGCATTGCATATGTGAGCAAAATATTTGTTATAGATTAAAGCGGGAATGTCAAATATATGGCCCGGGGGCTGGATCCGGTCCTCCAAGACCTTTAATCTGGCCCTTGACTGATTTTTCTACTAAAATATTGTAATTATATTTCCTATTAAAATATTGGTAATTTTCTGCGCTGCTTAATATAGCAGCATTTCCAGCACCTCTGTGCTTGGCCCCTCCCACCAGAGCAGCACAAATGAAGACTTGCCTCTTTCCAAATGCTCTTAAAGGACGATCGAGTGTTGACCGTGACACCCACATCAGCAATATGTCAAAAATAAGAAAAGTAGATGCCGAGTGCAGGATTTTCCAAGAAAATTTTACTTATTCCTATTTGCATACAAGTTAATGTTAAAACATTGTGTTGAAATTGCATTTTTGTTAAAATTTCAGGTTGTTCATAGTATTATAATACTTTGTACAAGAAATAGTTCATCAATTAAAAAAGATTTCTGTAATAGATTTGCGTTTCTCTACACAAATATTTGAACTTAATGCTGTTTTTGGGGTATATATGCCATGTTTTCTGATCTGGCCCCTTTGACTTCAAAGTAGGTTGCATACGGCCCCGGACCAAAATGAGTTTGACACCGCTGGTTTACAGAGTAATAATGTAGCTATTTTTCCCATATAAAGCTGAATTTCCTGAATTATTCTGACATGATGGATTTGCTTTTTAGGGATGGTATCCGCTTTGCATTTCATGCCTCACAAGAAGAAAAGGAACTCCACAATGTGACTTTCCTAGAGGTCCTCAGCGAGTTCAGTTTCAAGCTGCTGCCAAAGGACTGTGCTCAATTGTTAGCAATACTCACTCATTAAAATTATAATCATTCTCATATAATCATTCTATCATTCTCATAGGGCTGGAGTCGACTAAAGAAATTCTTGGTCGATTTAAGACATGTCCTGCTGATCATCAGTTGATTAAAAAAGGAACATGGGACTTTCAAAACTATTATGTATCTCTATATAACTGCAATTAACTGCATAGGAGATACTACAAAAAAACTAATATTTATGCAGAGAAAACTTCTATGTATTTATATAAAGACAGATTAAACTTATAAATTATGAGTTTAATATGGCTTTTTACATATAAATACCAAAAAGCCAAATCTTCACTTATACTCATTCACTAACTGCACCTTCCTGTTGTTAGATATGAATAAATTTACTAGATTATAAGGATTTGTCAGCTAATATAACATGTGGTCATTGTTTTATTTGGACACTTTGACCGTAACACTATTCATTTTCAATGGTGGTATTTTTATTGAGATTCTTACTAGCATACCAATTGCAAAACGCAAAGATCATCAAAAGTTAGACTATTTGTCCTCTCTCCTGTCCTCATGTTCTAGAGCCTCATTTTTGAAATCAGAGTGTCCTGAGGCTGCCCTCTGCTGGTCATCTGTGAGAATGTACCAGCGTTCTTTGGAGGCTCGAGTCGTTTCTAAGCCCAGTGACCAAGAAGGAGGGAGGCAAAGTGAAGCTATTTCTGCCCACAATAGTCCTGTGCCAAAACGCAGAAAAACTACAGCAAATGGTACAATGTATTTCTGCACTTTAAATGAAACATACATCTTAAACATTACAATGTATGTCTTTTTATGGCAGCGTCGGCCTTGGACAGCAGTTTTCACAGCTCTGTGCCTACTCCGGTCCTCACCTCTACTGTGCTAAAAGAGCCCTTCAAAGCTCTGGGCTCTTGGGACAGTGGTAGCAATTTAACGGAGCCACAGTCTGAGGAGGAGTACGTAAGATAGTTTCATGTTAATTTACAGTGTTTTGTAAAAAATTGGGGTACATTTCTTTTACCTTAGTATTTTTAGAATGGTTTTGCTGTGATATCTCTTTTTCTGGGTGAGAAGTATTGTACATGTTTCAAACCAAAATGCTTAGTTCTATACCTCATCATAATCCCTCATTGTAGGTCACATATGAGCGCAGTCAAGAGAACCAAGCGACGCCAGCTGACCAGAAGACAGCGAACTGCAGAACAGACTGAGCTGAACTCCTGTTTAACTTTGTAAGACACATTTAGGAAGTACTCCATTTATTACAGATTTTATATGTGTGTGTGTATGTATGTATGTATGTATGCATGTATGTATGTGTATACACACATATGTATATATGTACACACACAACAAACACCAATGTACAAGTCTTTTTTCAGGCTGTCTCTGATTGACGACGTTGAAGAAGAGGAGCCTAACATTGAGGATTATGAAAGTGACAGTGACCACACTATTTTCTCCCAGGTAAATAAAAAAAAAACACACACAAAAAAAAACTGTAGATAAATTGCTCTTTGTAACCAAAAGCATAATGCCTTTTCTCATCAGCTGTCCAACCTTCAGACAACACCAAGTGTCCTTGATGGACTCTTTGACTGATGATATTGTGGCCAAAACAGGAATTCGTTCAAAATGTGCCTTATGCTTTGTTTCTTTGTTTTTTGTTTGACTGTTGAATCTCTATAATCCGTTAACCTCTTGCTTCAAATGTTTGGTGCTACTGTATCTAGTGACTATGATGTTTATGTGAAAATGTGCAACACTGATTAAATGTTTTGTTGAAGTTGGTCCAGTCTAATGTTTTGTTAATGTTAATTACACATATAGCCTGTCATTGTTCTACAACACATTAATTTAAGATATTATATATTGTTCTACAAAGCTAATGCATGTGTTTAAATTGGAGTTGCACTTTGTATTTCATTAAACATGCATAATTGTCATCAACCATTATTACTATTATTATTTCATGATTACATAATTAAATTTTAAAAAGTATGTCATTGAATAACAGGCGTAGCAAAATGTTTTATGCAGTAATGCAAGCAAGCAGCAAAAACCTTACGTAAAAAAATAATATAGATTTATGAGTAATACCATTGACGTGCATATAGGTTCATGGATTAATAGACTCTTGATAGTTTCAGTTTTGTGACGCAGTGTGGTTGTGTCCCTTTTATCACTCAAAGGAATGCCCTCAACTTTCGCGCCAAGTGCCGCGAGCACAGCGGAAGTGACCTAAATCACGTAACACAGCGTGCCCCCCAGTTTTCCCGCCATGTTTAAAGTCCGCCTCTTTTCGCCATATGAAACCACGCGATTGGCTGCGGGAGACGTCACACTGGCGCCACTTCTCACTGCTGCAGGGAGGACTTGTGTGAATGAGTGCTCGTCTTGTCCATATTACCGGCACAAAACTCACTATTTCACCAACTTTCTGTTATTTTTGCGCATCTGTCCTCTGATCTTTGTACTTCGCGTCTGTTGCAGCCATGGCTCGTAAGGATTATGCGGCAGAGAAAGGTAATGTATTCGCATGCTTCACTGTTATACGGCAGCAACAGGTTGTCTGCATTTCAAGTATTTCATGTCCACCCAATTTTAGCAGAAATCGTGGTAAAAGTTTATGTAGTTTTCAGAGCCATGTGGTAATTCTGTTTATTCAAATCGCCTTGGTTTATGGGTAGTTCATTGTAGTTTAACGCTATGCTGTGGAGAGTATACTTAAATTTCTGATTGACAAAAGTTTTAAATTATATACTTCATCAATGGCGACTAGTTTTTTTCCATTTACAAACCGGGTTGATTGATTTTTGGGAGCAAGAATTTCTTAGATTGAAACTTTTCTCCACTCGTCTTGTGTAATCAGCTCTGTGTGAGTGCGGACGCCGAGAGCAGTGACCCGGATGGATGTTCTTAAACAAAGGAGCAGGCGCCAGTGTTTGCAGCAGCCACATGTCCCAAAATGATCTGTTTCAGTTTGAAGAGTGACCAGTGTCTGAGCTAACACCACGGGACGTTGAATTGGATCAGACTAAGACATGTGATAGACATAGTAATCACACAATGAGAGGTTTACGCACTCATCTTTGTTGGCGATGGCGTGGGGCTCAGGAGCGCAGCCAAACTAGCACGCGTGAAGTTGTGATAAATGCACAAAAGGGCTGCCTGCTGTAGTTACTTCAGTACGCTTTTTTAGACTTGCACAAGGTGTATCATCATCCTGTGCGTGGCTTTACACCTTATTGCAGTGGTGGGGCCCTTATGTGGCTGCCCGGTTCCTTGGGTTTTCAAGTTTGGAGAGCGATTGTTGTGGTCTCTTAACACCAGCCATTTTACCCTAGTATGCACTCCCTACAGCTCAGAAGGGGTTATAAAACTAACCTAATTTTTAAACTAGATCTGTCATACAAGGTCCCTGTAAATCAATTTGGCAGTAGAGCACAATTTTTTCCACTAGTATTACATTAAAGCAGCAAGACGATCCAACTATCCTGTCAAGACTGAAATTATTGCTATGGAGTAGATAATGAGGATTGAAAGTAACAAAATTATATCTGCTAGATTGCTCACCTGCACCAACTTAATGGATGGTTATTTTGCTTCTCATTATGGCCTAATTTTGCATAACAATACCACATGTCTTGCTCCAGTATTTCATCGTGGCAATAAAGCATAGCCATGATTTAAATAAGGACTACTTTTAAAAGCGGAACGGTGGCGGAGGGATTTTGGGGTGGCGAGGCACAAAGCCATGTGCTGCTTTGTTTACAATAACATCCTCGAGCAGAGAAATGATAAAGTACAAGCGCACATCAGCAGAGATTGCCTTAAAGTAAGTGGATTATTCCTCTTGTTCTTTTCAGATCGTCTTTGTGGGATTTTCTGTGGAAATTGCTTTTGTTGTTGTAGTTCTTTCGGGAAGTAGGGTATCTTTCGCAAACGAACACGGAGTGCGTCTGTCTTGTTTACACTATCATCTAAGGTCTTTACTGCATAGTGACAGCTTTTTGTTGTATCCAACCAAAGTATTGATGGGTACAGAAAATAAAAGTGTACTGCGCATCCAGGGCTGTTTACGCTGCGTTAAAGGTAATAGTGACTCATCGAGATTACAGGATGCCGTGTTACTCAACAAAGGGGGTCGGAGCAGGACAACAAACGATCTAATGGTGTATAGGCCCACTGCCCAGGGGCCGAATCCGAATAACTATATTTGCTTTGTTATAGGATGGTTTGAAACTAATGTTGGTTATATATATTTCCTACAGATAAGCTGAAGAGGTTCCTGCAGGAGTTTTACACAGAAGATGATAATGGGAAGAAGCAGTTCAAATATGGAGCACAACTTGTAAGTGTGTATGTTCTGAGTTGGAGAAAATAAGCATAAATTTCACTGTCTTGTTATATTTTTGAAAGTGTACAGAAACTTAATGGCTGTGTTTTTGTAGGTGGCTCTGGCCCATAGGGAGCAGGTATCCCTTCAGGTGGACCTCGATGATGTGGCTGAGGAGGACCCTGACCTGGTGGAGAGCATTTGTGAGAACGCTAAACGCTACAGTGGCCTCATAGCTGATGCTGTTCATGAGCTGCTCCCAGAGTATAAAGAGAAAGATGTATGGCAATAAGATGAACTAGTTAAAGGTTATTTTAAGGGATTCACAGTTGACATGTATTTTTGTTTGTTATCCAGGTGGTGGCCAAGGACTCGCTGGATGTATACATTGAGCACAGGCTAATGATGGAGCAACGGGGGCGTGACCCAGCTGACACCCGGGACCCACGGAACCAATACCCACCGGAGCTCATGAGGAGATTGTATGTTTGTAGATTTTACAATTTACTCAAGCTTGTTGCTAAATATTTTTTAAAATGTGAACTTTTCTTTCCAGCGAAGTGTACTTTAAGGCTCCCAGCACTGGTAAACATAAAGTGGTGCGTGATGTTCGAGCTGATAGTATTGGGCATTTGGTGACCGTCAGAGGTATAGTGACCAGAGCCACAGAGGTCAAACCAATGATGACTGTCGCAACTTACACTTGTGACCAGTGCGGCGCTGAGACGTATCAGCCTGTAAGTGTAACTGAAGGCATGCTGTTTACTGGTGTTGGCATGCATTTAACTGTCCTGTTCCTCAGATCCAGTCCCCCTCCTTCATGCCCCTTGTGATGTGCCCCAGCCAAGAGTGTGTTACCAACAAATCTGGAGGGCGCCTCTACCTTCAGACCAGGGGCTCCAAATTTGTCAAGTTCCAAGAGCTAAAAATTCAAGAACATGTAAGTGTACTGGCAGCATAGCATTTACAACTGTAACATTGTTCACTGAAAAATGCTGAGTTGTTCTTTTTGACTGACCAGAGTGACCAGGTGCCTGTGGGAAATATTCCACGGTGTATGACAGTGTTTGCCAGAGGGGAAAACACTCGCCTTGCTCAGCCTGGTGACCACGTGGCCATCACAGGAGTCTTCCTACCACTACTGCGCACAGGCTTTGCTCAGGCCACTCAAGTGAGATGCCTTTTCTTCATTGTAGTTTACCTGCAGAATCTTAAGTTCAGTGCAGTTGTTTGTTAAAAGACTTTGACTTGACTTTTTTTTAACTGTATTAGGGTCTGCTGTCAGAAACGTATATGGAGGCGCACAGTATCATACTCATGAATAAAACTGAGGATGACGAACTTGGAAATGAGGAACTGAGCGAGGAAGAGCTACGTAGTATCACAGGTAATGCATCAAATAGAAAGTATTCAGTTTTAAACAATATGCCGAAACAATTATTTTGAAATGTAATCTCCCTGAAAATTTTTATTTTTTTTGCAGATGAAGGCTTCTATGAAAAACTTGCTGGATCCATTGCACCAGAAATCTATGGACATGAAGATGTTAAAAAGGCTCTTCTTTTACTCCTTGTTGGAGGTGTTGAGCAGGCCCCTAAAGGCATGAAAATAAGAGGTGAGGATAGAATTGATTGGCTTAAGATTTTCTCTAGCAAAACAAAGAATATAAATATGATAAATATGTAACATTTCTTCTTGATCTCTCAGGCAACATAAACATCTGTTTGATGGGAGATCCTGGTGTAGCAAAGTCCCAGCTGCTGTCTTACATTGACCGTTTAGCTCCACGAAGTAAGTAGTGTCAGATTAGTGTGCCAAACAGTTTGGCTTGGCATACACGTTTTGTGAAGAGGAACAAAAAGTATTTATAATCTGATTGCAGGCCAGTACACCACTGGACGTGGCTCATCAGGTGTTGGTCTGACCGCTGCGGTTATGCGTGACCCCCTGACTGGAGAAATGACTTTGGAAGGTGGTGCTTTAGTTCTTGCTGATTTGGGTATTTGCTGCATTGATGAGTTTGATAAGATGGCCGATGCTGACCGCACAGCTATTCATGAAGTCATGGAGCAACAAACTATTTCTATTGCTAAGGTAAGGGACTAGAGACTGCTGCAAATATGATGCAGACTGTAGGCCTCAACTCTGACTATATGCATTTTTCTTTGCAGGCTGGCATCATGACCTCCCTGAATGCTCGTTGCTCCATTCTTGCAGCAGCTAACCCTGCCTATGGCCGTTACAATCCCAAGAAATCCATTGAACAAAACATCCAGCTCCCAGCCGCTCTGCTGTCTCGTTTTGATCTGCTGTGGTTGATTCAAGACAAACCAGATGCTGATGCAGATCTGCGCCTGGCCCAACACATCACTTATGTCCATCAACACTCCCGACAACCACCCACACACTTCACCCCCATTGACATGAAATTGATGAGGTATGTCAGCTCCAACCCAACTTCACTATGATATAAAAATGCCTTTTGACAATTTTGTTTTAAATATCATCCAGGCGATACATTGCTCTTTGTAAGAAGAAACAGCCTGTGGTACCAGAGAACCTGGCAGACTACATCACCGCTGCTTATGTTGAGATGAGGAAAGAGGCACGCGTTAGCAAAGACACCACCTTCACTTCCGCTCGTACTCTGCTGTCCATTTTGCGTCTTTCCACTGCTCTGGTGAGGATTTGCATTTTTTTCCCCATTGTTTTTGTAACAATTGCTGAAGCTTTGAAGTTTATATCCCAATGTGTGGTAAAGTGCTTACAGTGCAGGTAGCATTAATGGGTACTACTGCAATGTGAGCACTTCTTTCCTACGTTGGTGAAAGGTCTACAAGTTTATCAAACTAATGTTTGTGCTTCCTTTTGGTCCCTGGCTGCTAAAAGTGCTGTTTGTGCAGGTAGTAGTCATCTACCCTACTGCAAAACCAGCACTTCAGGCAGACTGGAGATGTATTAACATTCTGACCACAAGAGGGCAAACTCCAGCTTTTGAGTCAAGATTAAAGGAGTTTCATTCAACCTTTAGTGCCTTCCTAAGCAGTTTTGACTATTAGTCTTGCTCTGGTCAGCTTTGCAGGGTGGGCAGTCAGCCTGTGTGCATTAGGAGCAGCTGTGCAAACCCATGCAAAACTGATCATGGTTAGAATGAATGACAGATCGGCTGGACATGAACCGTAATTCTGTGCTATGTAATGGAAGTATGGAGACTAGCTGGTGTTGAGAGGCGGAGGCTTGGGCAATTGCTGGCCATCCTAGAGGGCATTGCACTTGTCTCGGTCTGACAGTGCCGGCACAACGCAGCTTTGATAATGCTCTCACCTTTTTTATGTTGGTCATTAACCATCACCTTCACCCATCTAAACATGAATTGTTGTCCTCAGGCTCGCCTCCGTATGATGGACACAGTGGAAAAGGAGGATGTTAATGAAGCAATGAGACTGATGGAAATGTCCAAGGATTCACTTCAGGCAGACAAGTCCATATCTACAAGGTTTGTTTTGGGCTTTACATATTTGGGGACATACTGAATACCCTAATGAGGCACAGGTGGCCTTTTCCACAAGTAGGTTTATGAGCTTCTCATATTTAGCTGCAAGAGTTGCTGTATCCTGGAGGAAGCAGTAAATTGGTTTACAGGCAAAGGTTCACATGGTAGCCTGGGAACAGCATTATAAAAATCTGAAGGATTTGTCACTCTAGTTTAAAAAAAAAAAAAAAAAACTGACTTTTGAGCTACATTTGTTTTTTTTCACTTTGACTATAGGACTCAAAGACCTGCTGATGTCATCTTCTCCCTGGTGAGGGAGCTGGCCACAGAAGGTGTGGCAGGCCGTGGAGGTGCAGGAGGGATGGTCCGTATGTCTGAAGCCGAGCAGAGATGCATCTCCCGGGGCTACACTCCCGCTCAGTTCCAGGAGGCTCTGGAGGAGTATGAGGAGCTGAATGTGTGGCAGATAAACCACACACGCACTCGCATCACTTTTGTCTGAATTGGTGGAACTTTGGAAATGTTTTTCACTGATTTCAACTGAAATTTTGTATTGTGTGAAATAATGGGACATTTTTATACTTCGCAAGAATGCCTGTTATTTTTTATGTTAAATTCCAATACAAGTCACTATTGTAAATATGTATGCCATAAGTATCGCAACTGCAATTTCCTTTCCAAGTTTTGATAGTATTCCTGTACATTTTAATATGATTGTATTTGGGCTAGAACTTGACATTGAGCCTTGTATTGTGACTGGCTGGTTATAATAAAATGATTCAGAGGTTCTATTATTTTTATTTTTATTTTTTTTTTAAGTGTGCCATGTGAATTTATGAACACCTGGTTTGTTTCTGCAGCACCACAACAAAACTGCTGTACCCGCTTTGAATTTATGTCTTGGCTGTAAAAACCTGCAAAGTAATAATTTGGTCAGAGGTAGTTAACTGCATTTTAGGAAATGTGATGTGCAGGAAAATATCAGTCCTAGTTTTATGTGCATGAACAATTGGTTCAAATGTTTCTAAAATCATCACATCCCTGCTCAACATAAGCATACAGTATCCTAGAATATACTAGTAGAATATTTGTCTGCTTTAAACAGATGAACGAACTGAATTGATATAGTGCCATTATTTTATATTTTTCATCCACTTAAAGGAGCAATACTGTAGACCAGTGCTTTGAATCATTTAAAGATCCTATATTACAAAATTGACTCTTCTGAGCCTTTAACCAGATCTCAGGGTAACAGATGAGACAATAGCATGTGAGCCCTTTATACTTTGACTTCATTTATTTACATACAATATAACCTTTAGTAGTTCAAAGGTTATACTGTATGTAAATTCAGCTCAAAATATGCCATTTTGAGCTGAATTTAGCTAAAATACCCCTGTAAAATCTGGTTGCATTTCAGAACATTAGCCATGTTGTTGTATTGCACCCTTTCATAGTAAATAGGTAAATATAACATTTTGTAAGGCTGGAAAGTTATCTCGTTAGTCGGCAGTTTTTTCCTCAACATAGCAGTTGTCACAGCAGGTAGTTTTTACCTCAGACTTCACAAGGGGTTTTCATTTGAAGTAGCACTTTACAGGTTTGCTGCTCTGGACCAGAGGGTTTTATCCCTAATTGGTGACTAAAGCCCCACGTTTAACCATATTTACTGAGGGGAGGAGACAGATTCTTGCTTCAAAAATACAGAAATCTCATTGGTTGAGTGAAAATACTGCTCTGTGACAACACACAGGCTTGTATTTAAATCCTTGCTCTGTTTCGCCTGACAATGCAGCCTCTTGGGCCAGGTAAGCTACTGAGTTTTTATCTAATTTTGTACACCAGATTTGCAAAAGGAATTTATTTTCATTTGTGGTTGTTTATTTATTCAGATTGGTGGTTCAAGATGATTTCGGTGTTAAAGCTGGCAATATGCTGTGTGCTTTTGCTTCCAGGTTTGTTCTGAGTAATTGTTTTTGTGCTGTTATAAAATGTAAAATGTAAATGTAAACTATTAATATCATGTTTTTCTGTAGGTCTTCTGGATGCCAAGTCACTACTGAATGTTATCAAGCAAGAAGGTACCATATTAACCCAGTCTTCTGTAAGATTGTACCTTTTTTATTTGTCTACTAATGTGTTACTTGTTACATGTTTATTTATTCAGAGATGGTTCCAGTGGGTCATGTCAGCATAGACTCTGAAGAAGCAAATGGTTTTCTGAGTCACTCCAGACCCAAGCGTAATGTGGACCCCAAGTGGTACCGGTCCAACCCTGACTTCCAGGCGTACTACCGCTATTACAGCAGTATTGGTCACACAGAGGGGGTAAGAGAATGCAGTCTAACTGAACAAAATTATTAATGTGAAAATGCCAGACAGGAGCTAGTTCCCATCTTTGGCTGTCTACTAAGTTTAAGAGAGAGTATTTGTGAAATTACTTGCAGGAAGTACATTTACTTAAGTAACTTTTTGAATAACTTTTACTTCTTTGAGTAGTTTTCAAATACCATTTTTTTAGTAATATCAGAGAGTCAGAATTTCTGGTAACAGTAACAGTACTCTTAAAAAAAAAAAGTTTTGGTTACTCTTCCCACTGCGAGTATGTCCACATTTTATGCATTATTTAATGATTTGTCCTTTTAAATTGTAAATCAGATGTTATTTCCAAACAGTTATTCTTACTGAGTATAGTTTCCCCAAATACTTGTACATGTGTTCTTGAGTAATGTCTTAGACCACTACTTTTTACTTCTACTTGAGTAATATTATTTTGAAGTAATGCTTCTTTGCTACGCTACCTACCTTTGAAAAGTATAAACCAATATACTCTGAGTTTTAATTTAGTTAAAGTATACTGAGAGTGGAGACACAAGCTTTTAAAAACGGCTACAGAATAATCATGTTTCCTTTACACTAACATGTAAGAATACCCTCATACCACTCTTTTTACAGTTGTATGAGACAGACAAGCTGCGTATGCTGTACCAACAGATGAGATACCTGGAGCATGTATATGGTCCCAACGCCTCATACTACCAGAACAAGCTAGGACTCCCCCTGCTAATGTGCGACCCAGCCACAGACAAGAAGTGCAAACTGCTCCCCCCTCCACCCCCGTTGAAGGGAAAGCCCACAGACCCTCCGGTGACCCCCCCTCCTCCCCCTCTCGCCTCCCAGGCTGATGTCACATACCTGTGCAACGCGAAAGACCCCATGTGTAAACCCCACATCGTTTACCTGCCTACCGGTGCTGTTCCAGTGCTGTGCGACCCTCGTTACCATCCCCACTGCACACCACAGAAAGCCCCCGAGCCTGTGCCAGTCATCCAGCATCCCAAAAAGTTTGCCCCACCGCCCCCTGTCCTGGTAAAGAAGGCCCCTCCACCTCCCGCAGTTATGGTGAAGGGTATGGAGTATGACTGCGACCCTTATTGGGATCCCGATTGCCTCATTGACAACCCACCCCGGCCTGTAAAAGGGAAGATAGTGGTAGTGCCTCCACCCCCACCTCCTCCAAAGGTAGAGAAAGAGGAGCCAGTGGAGGAACCAGAACCTCCAGCTCCCATTGAAAAGAAAGTTCCCTTGTATCCATATCCTTACCACTACTTCTACCCTCTGCCATATGACCCGAGGGATGAGCTGTATGACCCAGCCCGCTTTAAGTACCCCCAGCCTGTGGACCCTGCTGATGAGCCCTCAGAAGATGCTGAGTAAGACACGATAATAAAAAAAAAAAAAAGACTGTTTCGTAACATGGATGATGTACAAGTCAAAAACAAAGGTTTCTACTAGAGCCTACCACATTTACTGTTAAGATGATCTGTTTATGAATATGACCTCAATGACATTTCAAAGTAAACACAACTGTGAATACACTATTTGTTTCAAGTATCGAATACAAAATTCATATTGATCCAACTTAAAGCTCATGCATTAAATGTGGTAAAATACTATAATTTAAGGATGTACCAATATGATTTTGATATTTTTTACATGTCAAGTAGCAATGTAATTAAACATTTTACTATGAGAATAAAAGTCGATTTCTCTCTCCATTTTGGGGATTCTTGCTGTCTCCTCCATACACCTAAAATCAGTGACTTCTGTAAAGTAGAAGTGCCAACGTGTAAGCCAAGGGTCATTATCCCTGTTTTCGCTGTGTATTTAATACCTTTATAAATTCTGTTACTCCTACACGTCTGGAGCAGTAAATGGCTCTTCCCTGCGGTGTAAACCTATATTCCAACCTCCGAGGGCATGGAACAGCAGGAGAATCACTTCAAACGACCAGCTAACTGCAAACACTTGGCTCCAGACATTAAACTTGCAACTACAGTAATGTCCCATAGCTGATTTACAGGCTCATTTAAAAGTGCAGAGTACACAGTGCCTTAAATGCCTGTCTGCACAGTAACTGCTCACACTTTGCTTACAAATAATCGGACACAAGTCCCATGAAAAACATATCATTTATTACATATAGATAAGTGTAGCAATGAAACAAACAGTGAAATATTATATCAGAACCTTAAAACAATTTTGTATTGAGTGATGAATCAATTCAAGTGCCTTTATATTTGTGTGGCTGAAAAACACAATCTGGTTGAATAGCTACTGTTTCTTAGTTGAGATGTGGTGATCAATTCACAAACTCAAAAAGACCAAAATTGCTGCTTGTCTGTCTATTTGGCTAATGCCAGCTCAAAAGAAAAGTCCTCTCATCCTGCGGCCGATGCCCTGTCTGTCGTACAGAACATTAAACTTGTTGATGAACTGATTCATACTGTTGCAAGTCTTGGTGATGGTGCCTAAGTAGGCCATCAGGCCCACGTCATTACATTGCTGTGGGGGAAACAGAGACACAGTTACACAGAGCTCCCTCTGGCAAAGATTTTACATAAGACTAAAACAAGACTTCACTGTTTAGAACCCATCAATTAACCGTGCACATACAAGCACATAAAACACTCAGTACTATGCAGAAGCATAAGGTAATTACAGTGATTCAACTATAAATAGTTTGATGGTATCTTCAGTAATCAGCTCGTTACAATTTGAATAGTCAGGCGTCTCACACACGCACAATTACCTACAGTTTAAGGTTAGTAATGGCCTTTGATTCTAAATATAGCTGTAAAACACCATTGTTACTCACAACATTGTAATAGTAAGTACTCAAGAGTAGGGCTGCAATAAATAAGTCTAAGTAATCAGCTGATTGTGACAAGTGGACTATAAAAATTGCAACTAGTGGACATAAGAAAGACAATTATTGATTAGTTAATAATACACTTTGTAAATATTCTCTATTTAGAAGCCAAGAGTCACCATATTTCTACCTTTATTTGGCTGATAATGTGGGTTATTTAAGAAGTCTCAATGTACAATACTACTACTACTAAAATATTAGGTAGATGCAGCTCTACACAAGAGCCATTTAAAAAAAAGGTAGTAAAGTAAACCCAAAGACCATTTCTTACATCATAGAAATCTGTTTTAAACTTCATGGTGCTGAGGACAGGAAGCCTGTGGCACAGGGCGTTTGCTTCTCTGAGAATCTCATGATTAAATGGCACCTCTCCTGTGGCACAGACAGACAAAAAAACTGTCAAAAAACAAGTCATGTGATGAGGCAAAATTATGCTTTTTCACATAATAAACAGGGTCTGTAATTATGAACACATGTTCCACATGAACACATGTTTTTAAGATGTGCACATGAGAATAGGAAGCAACTGCTTCGAAAACAGCTGTTTTCCACACTACACTTATGCTCACGCACATGACACTCTTCTTCCCATAAAAGGTGTTCTTACCTGCTTCCACAGCTTTGACATACTCTAGAATGATCTTAACTCGACTGTGCAGCATCTTTATTGCACTGTGTTGGGCTATAAGGTGTTCAGCAACTACAAAGGAAAACAAACAAAATGAGGAGTGGAATTTTGCCCATTATTACTCCATGCAATTCAAACAAGCTTCAAGCCTTCACACAGATCACTGACAAAATACTTTTGGAACATTAAAATTGTGAATGAACTGAAAGATAAATTGTAGATTTACGTTCAGTTAAAGCTAAAGAGGTGTAATTGTTTGTAAAATACCTGTGGAGTTTTCCCCTGTGCCGGTGGCTGTCATGCGAGCTACATGGTCGACACCAATTCTCTCGGCTTCCTCTGTGGCCAGAGTGTATGTCAGCTCAGCAAACAACATGGTGGCCTAATTACAGAAAAATAATAATTAAATTGTACATGTGCAAACTACATTTACATTATGGTTGATGAAATGAAAGAAGAGTTAATTTGTACCTCTCCATTAATTATGTCAATCACAGATTCATAGACACTGACTGGAAGCTGGAGAACATATAACATAATTGAGTAAACTTTAACTTTGATTTTAATTTTACATTACAAGAGAAAACTTACATCAGTGTGTTTAGTCATTGGGTTAAGCTTGAGGAACAGGGGGCTCTCAATTATTTCACACACCTAAAACAAAAAACAAACAATATAAAAAACTAATCCCCTTTTACCTACCTATGTACTACAAATGTCAGCATTGCTCACCTGCTTGTGAATGTGAATATCTGACGAATCAGGTGGACCACCAGTGGTGTACCAGCCAAGGAACTCCATTTCTTTGAAAACCTGTTTGACTGCCAAAGTGTAAAGTTATTAACTATAACAGTGCTTCAAAGTGGCATGTCAGTTTTCTTTTACAAACATTTTTGATACGTACATTGTTCTTCCTTGGTATAATAGTATTCCTTATCAATGTGAACTCGGTCATCTATAGTGTGAGACAGGAGCTCAAAAGAGTTCATTACTTCGATGTTTCTACCCTCCTGCTTTCCAATAAGTGCACCAATCACTAAGAAACAATCAAAACAAACAAATAGTGTTTAATACCAGACCATTTTAAGTATGGGAAATCAATCAATCAATAGTCACCCTGCATGGGCCGCCCTTCCTGTGAACGAATCCGTATCCAGTGGTCAGATATGTTGAGAATGACGAGAGGATGCAGGGCTACTGACACACTCCCGGTGACACCTGAAGCCATAACACTGGGGCTGGCTGCAAGCATACAAATACATCGACAGTTAAAATGAATGTACAATGGTTCATCCAAGCTAATAATTTTGATTTATTTGTTTATTTTATTTATTATTTATTTAGTTTATTTATGAGATGGGGACAGTGCACAATATTCATTAACCTTTAACAGGAAAGATTGCCAGGTTGTAGGACTAGAGCTAAATTCCACCCGTAGTCCTTGGTGTATGTTTTTTTTAGGTTTAGGTAATAGATTAGGGTACAGAATACGTCATAACACACTCATTACTCATAATAACATAGAGAAACCATATTACTACGAGGCCCTGGCCCTCAATATGAGCATACAGGGCAGCTGGGTAGGCAAATTCAGGTATAGGCTGTCTGTTACACATAAGTTGAAAAGAGAAGTTTTGTGATCAGTAAAAATCTATTTCATAAACACAACATGGTGAGAGCAAGGAATGAGAATGAGTGCTCTGATTAAGGGAGATAATCGAGGTCTAATTTAGTCACAGCAAACCAAACCGCTGATGACTGGGGTACACATAATAGTAACGAATGCCCGGCATGGATTACATTCATAAAGAAACTGCAAAATAGTGATTTTTAAGTAAAACTCGCCTGCCCCGTCCACTTCCATTCCCCCTCCGTTCGTCGCCATCTTCGGCAATGCAATGCGCATGCGTGCTGCGTTGTACCACCAACCGACGATAGATGGCGTGTTTGCTTTATGCCTTTGTCAGAGTTTATGTTTTGCATTTGCATATTTGCGTCGTTCTAGTGCCCCAATTTGCCAGGTGTTTATAGATAGTGGTGTAAAAAGGAGAAGACATGTAGCGACGAACTGGGGTCTACTTTTTTTCTTCATTTTTCAAGCGGCACTGCTCTTTTTGGTAAATTGTTTCCGTGGGATTTTTCTTTCGGACGCAACCCTTTGTGCACCGGAAAACTATTCCGTCAGAGCTGTGGAGATTTATAAACAAAATGGATGTGTTAAATGGATACAATCTTGATTATTTTCCTGAAAACCTTTTAATAGATATATTGTCTTTTCTTGGAGTGCGAGAGCTTGTCAGAGCTGGGAGGTGAGAATAATATTCATAGATATAATGTCAGGGTGTAACAAAACCCAAGTCATGTTTTGTCGACGTTCTCTGTTCTTCATGTCATATGATTTTTGTTTGTAGTGTGTGTAAGAGATGGAGGCGTCTAGTGAAAGACCAGAGACTCTGGAGGGTGGTGGATCTGACAGCGTGGAAAGGGGTAAGTTTTGACACATGAAACAGTTAGTTATGTCATTATTACTGTAAAACGTAGAAACATGTTTTGTTTTTAAGTAGAAAACAAGGCATTAACATGAACACTTGATAAATGCTGGTAGACTTTCATTTTGGCTCCACAATCAGTCCTTATATAATCTCTAAATAAAACCACAATTTGTTCCAACTGGTCCATGAGGGTCTGCAACCAGACGCCTCTTAACTGATTTGTATTTTTTGAAAAACACTAATCACAGTGGTCAACTAGCTAAAAAAGTTTATTTAAAGCATAACAACAGTGTAACTACAGGCTTTAGGGCAAGATCTAGTATTTGTATACATGGTCATTTTTCTCAAGTTTTGCATTTTAACTGAGTATTAATGAGGTATGTATATACTTTTCTTTTTGCTAGGTCACATCTCGGATTCTGTGGGTCTTGCTCCGTCAATACTTAGGATGTGGCCTGCGGTGCCTTCGAATGCGTGGTTTGCTGCTATCTGCAAGAGGTGGGACGTTTCTGTCTGAGTCGTGGCTTAAAGCTTTGTCCACCAAGTGCCCTCGTCTGAGAAGACTTTGCCTCCTGCATGCTGACCTCAGAAGTCTCCCTTCATGTCAGATTCTACCTCCATCTCTGCAGGTCTTAGAGCTTCGCGGCTGTGAGCTGCCCCGTGGCTTTTTTGATCAAACACTGCCGACCTTACCCCCTAACAGTGACTCGGAAGCTACAACTAGTCGGGAAAAAGTTGGGAAAGGACCTTCAGCTCATTTCGGGATTACTATTGAGAGTCTGATCCTTAACAATGTCCCCTCGTTTACAGACCAGCACCTCCAAAGTCTGACATCATGGCAAAAACTGAGTCACTTGGAGTTGCGTGACACATTTAGAATAACAGCAAATGGTTTGAGAAACTGTGCTGCTAAAGATGGCGTGTCGGGGCTGGAAGGGCTTTTCAGGCTCAGGAGGCTGGAGTTGGGCATTATCGGTCGGCTGGGCTACCATATACAAATGGCTTCTCTTGGTTTAGGCTCAGGATGGCTCGGTTTGGAAGAGCTTAGTCTGGGAGGTAAAGAAGTGGGGCCAGGTCTGCTCTGTGCGAGCCGTCTAAACGACTTGAAACGCCTGTGTCTTTGGTCTTGTACACTTAGTAATTTACAAATATGCAGAAGTTGCAGGATGCTTCGAGGCTTAAGACGCCTTGAGTTTTTAGATGTAGTCTTCCAGTCTCGCCAGGGTCCGTCAGAGGAGGGTAATGCCGAGGAGGCACCAGATGGAGAAGAAGCAGTGAGTGAGGATAATGGTACCAATGAAAATCGGAAACAAGATGTAGTAGATCCTATTCCAAGTTTGCGTCGCACACTTGGAGCCATGCTGCCATGCTGCACTCTGGTTTTCACTAATTGCTCAGTACAGAGTAATGCAGAATAAAGACTGTTCCGGTTGTTTATGTGTCCATGTATATTTACTTTCTAATTGTAATGAAGTCATTATTAGGCTATGTCACATCAAACTAAGGGTGTATTCACACTTGTCCTAGTTTGGTCTTGGTCTGAGCCTAGTTTAGTTCTGTTCTAGACCAAGGGTATTCCTGGTCTAGCCAAGTTCCAGGTTTAGACCCATTTTAGTTCAAATTTTGCTATGTTTGTGCAAGTGTGAGCACACCCAAAACAACTGTATATTACTCAAATGTCTGCTTTCAGAAAATATTAGACAACACAATGAAATTAAAAATAATACTTAAAGTTAATTACTTTTGTAAGCTTCAAAAACACTATTATGAATACAGTAATGTCTAATTACATAAAGTATCCCTATTTTTATCAAATTTGATTATCACAGTGAGGCTGGATTGTAGTGTCCAATATCTGCCCCATAAAAATGAATTATCTGACTATACAAAAAAGGAGAGTTGTATTAATGGTTATTATAAGCCAATAGTGTGTTAGTGTGTTTGAAGATGTGTGTCTTTGAACACAGGTTTGGTAAATAAATGTATTTTGAACAGAGTGTGGTCTTTTTAACTTAACACTTGCATGTTTTAAAATGAAAAAAAAAGAAAAGAAAAAGAAAACTGAAGGAAAAAGATAGAAAATTTGCCTACACATACATATTAAATGCAAAATGCTTTCTATTATGGTGACCAGATTTTCAAAATCAGAAACTGGCACACCCGGTTTGTTGTGGTTGGTAATAATAAAATTGTGAAACAAGTGCGTAAAAATGTTTCTGCACTGGGGCCATTACTCAATTTATTCATTCATTACTCAATCAAATTGGTTAATATAGGGACACCTGGGACATTTCTTGTATAAACCTGGGACAAATAAATGGTTTTGGATAGATCTACTGAGCTCAAAACTGGGACTGTCCCGGGTAAATAGCAACTTCTGGTTACCCTACTGTCTATGGAAGTTCGACTAACCGTAATCTGTGAAGAACACTACTTTTTGTTTACTTTTTTTTTTTTTTTAAGTTGACCCGATGTGAATCTTTGCAAAACCTTACCAAAAATGCAACAATAATAACAATAATAATAATAACCTACTTTTTTGTTTACTTTTTTTTAATGTCGGTAACAAAAGCGGTGGTGAGTCACGTGGGAAAAGCGTCGTGTCGACCAATCAAATGCGGGCTATAGGACTCGTCTGACCAATGGCATGGACAGATTTACAAGCGTTCGACCAATCACGTTCCGCCATGATCTCTTTTTGAAAACGTTGGCGGCTGAGTCCAAGCGCATACATACGCCAGCTTCTCCGTACTGCTATAGCTGCACCGTGGCAAAAATGCAGGTAACTGTTGTTTTTATTTTCACGATGATGTTTAGCAGTAAAATGTAAGTTGCGTATTATTCGCTGAGTTACTAGAGAATAGTTACGTCGAGTTAAAGCGACCGAGATACAGCTAACGATAGCCTGTGTTGTTAGCCTCGATGCTAAGGCTGCCTTTCTGGCTTCCGTTTCATGTTCACCTACGACTGACCATAGACTGAATGGAAAAATATGTGTCTTTATACTGTCTATGCTGCTGACACCCTTACTCTATCATCCTTTATGGATCAAACTAGTGTTCCTCTTTTGAAATGACACAGACTGCCAACTAGGTATATTAATATTCCATGCTGAGAGCAGGGTGACCAGACGTCCCTATTCACCCACACGGGACAGTCCCAGTTTTGAGCCCTCTGTCCCAGCAGATTTATCCAAAACAATTGATTTTTCAGAGTTTTATACAAGAAATCTCCCAAGTGTCCCTATTTTTGACCATTTTGATCCCTGTCAACAGTAAAGAGAGGCATAAATTGTCATTTGTTTATGTAAAATACAGAAAAGGAATACTTAAAAATGACCAAAATACAAAGAAAATGTGACTGGCTCACATGTTAGTAATGAATTGGCAGAGTGCAGAACACAATTTTGGCCCAATTTGATCTAAACTAGGACTAAACCAGAACTATATAAGGTCTGTTTCAGTTCTAAACCAGAGGACCATAATTTGCATTTGTTTAGCCAAAATACAGAAGACTGCGCTTCTGTATTATAAACTGACCCACACCACACGTGCGTTGAGAATGGACATTGCTATATGCTTTTGTCACAAGTTTATTTATTCCCACCATCTCAACTCAGGTGTGTCCCAGTTTTTAATACTGAAAATCTGGTCACCCTAACTGAGAGTGGTAATTGACTGAAATGTAGCATGCCTTTTAGTATACCCATCTAAGTGTTCATTTTGGTTTGATACTACAGTTGGTTAAGAACTCAGATTTTGTTAAACTCCTACATATATGCTGTTCTTCATCCATCACTAAATGTAACATAGTCTTATATTTCTCCTATCTCTACACTACAGAACAAAGAAAATTACGAGCCCAGAGGTTTTCGAAGACCAGTAAGTTGAGAAAAATTTACATGTTATTCAGAATTTTATTGTGGCTATAAGTGAGAATTCTGATAATTAATTGGAAATGTATCTGAATTTGTTTTGATCCAGATTGCAACACCAAACTTAGGGGTTCCTCAGCGTGTTCCAGTAGCCAAACCAAGAGCGGATGCCTCCTCGTCCAGTTCTGTTGCAAGGTACATTCAGCCAGAAGGTCTTTCTCGTTGGATTCCATATAGAGGGTTGAATATTAATTTCTCAATATTTAGTCAAAAAATTGAGTTTGAACTGTGTTTTTGTCCTCATTAAATGTGCACCAATACCAAAGGTGCTGTTTATGAGGCATGTTCACCCAAAGTTTAGAGGTGCCTGTGGAGCACTTTGAAATCACTATAAGAACTTTCTTTGGCTGAATATTTGCAGAGAAAGGTAATCCAGTTGCAAGAATGGCCTTTGTAATCACCAATGAATCCAATGAAAATCTATAGAAAGAGGACCATATAAACTAACATTTTTGAGCAAATTTTGGTAATTATTATGATAACATTCTATATTAGGCCTATATTATTTAATACAGAGGGTTAGCTTACATTTAATATTGTTTTAAAATACATTTTTAGTTGAAATCTAGTGTTCTTGGTTCTAGTGGGGGATTTGATATGACATGGAAAGTCGCACTTTTGGGAGTATGATGTCACATTCTATAATCAGACAAATGGGACTCAACCTGAAATATTCATTACTGACAACCTTGTCCATTTTTTTATTTTTTTTATTTCACAGTCCACATCATATGTCTATTGTCTGATACCTTTAGTTGATGAAGTTGTTATTAATATCTGGTAAAAATATCATGCTAATATTGTGTTTTAGAATGAAATGCATTTACTGAAAAAAGATATGGTAACTAAACTCCAACTATCTTCTACAGAAAAATTACAATTGATGACTTTGATATTGGTCGGCCACTCGGAAAAGGCAAATTTGGAAATGTTTACTTGGCTCGAGTGAAGAAGCTGCAAGCCATAGTGGCACTAAAGGTGCTCTTCAAATCACAAATGGAAAAAGAGGGTGTGGAGCATCAACTAAGGAGAGAGATTGAGATTCAGGCTCATCTAAAGTAAGTGCAGTTTTTAACTTCTAAATGTATTATTGAAATGGATGAATTATAGTGTTTATGGTTTGTTTCAGACACCCCAATATTCTGCGTTTCTACAATTATTTCCATGATCGCAAAAGGGTGTTTTTGGTTCTTGAGTACGCCCCACGTGGTGAGATGTATAAAGAGTTACAAAGATGCGGAAGATTTGATGACCAGCGCTCTGCCACTGTAAGCTTTTTTGTGATATCTTTGTGGTTGTAGATTTTAATGTTCTAATAATTGTCTTTTGTTGTCATTTCAGTACATGGAGGAAATTTCTGATGCACTCATGTATTGTCATGAGAAAAAAGTTATTCATCGTGACATCAAGCCAGAGAATCTGCTTCTAGGATATCGTGGAGAGCTGAAAATTGCAGACTTTGGCTGGTCTGTTCATGCTCCATCACTCAGGTAAGACAAAATAATCATAAACTTGGTCTCTGAAACGCACCCTCCTTACATTATCATGTCTTTTGAAGGCGTCGTACAATGTGTGGCACCCTGGATTACCTTCCTCCAGAGATGATTGAGGGTCACACTCACAGTGAGAAGGTGGATTTATGGTGCATTGGGGTACTCTGTTATGAATGCTTGGTTGGCAACCCACCCTTTGAAACAGCAAGTCACTCTGAAACATACAAAAGAATCATGAAGGTGGGTTTGCACAAATAGTATATTTTTTAAGATCATTACATGTGGTGTTAATTTATGACTTTAATTTGTTTTTAACCTAGGTGGATTTAAAGTTTCCAAGAATTGTCTCAGATGGTGCTAAGGACTTGATTTCAAAGTTGCTTCGTCACAACCCCACTGACCGTCTCTCACTACAGAGTGTTATTGATCACCCTTGGGTCAAAGCAAACTCGCGGCGATGTTTGCCTCCAATCTGCCCATCCAAAACTTCTGAAAACTGATTTGCACCCAAACTCCTATTTTGTATCTGCACAAATTGTCAGAATGGACTAGTCAATATGTACAGTACTGCCTTGGGCCCCAAACTGCCATTATTCTGTCATATTATCTATGTTTAGTAAGATGTTTAGCTGTTTGTATGCTTTTTGTTTTTTTTATGTCAATTTTTATCTCTTCAGAATATCTTTTTTTAAACCAAATCACAATGTTTTTCTGGTGCTGGTGCCTAAAGGTCTTCTACAAGTTTCTTCATGGAGCCTTGCTTGAAACACTTCCAGCTCAGTCTTTAAATTGTAATAAATTTTTAAAACATTTTGAATTGTTATTTATTGCATCTAACTTTCAAACCAACTTGAATGATCTTTAAAATCTACCAGAGGTTAGTTGCTTCACAAAACCACTTCCAAACTGAATAATTCAAGTGTTTCCTTTTTGAAGCTTGGTATATATCATCTCTGTGAAAGCCTGAACCACTGACCACTGCAGTCCTGATTGTCCCAAGGATGTCTTTAAATCTTAGCACCACAGAGAGAGCTGGAGCAGCAAGAAAACACAAACTGTAGTAGCTGTTTATATGAACAAAAAACTCACTCTACAGCTGACGTTCCCTACATTTTTGCGTTTTATGAATAAAAATGCTCAGTTCTGTTTTCTGTTAGGATCTTTAAAATGTTCCTAAAATGTATACTGAACTAAATGAAACTTCTGGAGACAAAACTGCACTTCTGTATTTTTCTCAACGTAAACCTAAATATGGACGGTCCTGAACTGACTCTAAATTGGCTTCTAGCAATGGACCTGTAATGTCAAAAACCTAAAAAGAGAAACATAGTTTGTAGTACCCTTTTAACGTACAGGCGAAATGGCGTAAAAGTAATGTGGACTTGACAGTATTCTGTGAAAGATGATCTTTCAATTACCCATAAAAATCTACCAAATTATCAAACCATCAACAGGGCCAAATGCATAGTTTAAGTACTTGGTTCCGGTACCAACTTTACCTCATACGGTAGCGTGGCCGAGCGGTCTAAGGCGCTGGATTAAGGCTCCAGTCTCTTCGGGGGCGTGGGTTCGAATCCCACCGCTGCCAAAGTATTTTTAGGTACTTGATTTACAGTTCTTTTTAACAGGATCTTGAAACACCGTGGCAGTGCTTCAGTGCAGATGAAATTGAAAAAAAAAAGTATTTTCATGATTTAGAGAAGGCGAAGAATTCCTGTTGTGGCTGTCTACGTCCACTTGAGGGCGTTAAAGATCCGTGGTTGTAACTCTCAAGACTAAATGGTATTTCATTGTTGTACTCACTTCAACTCAGTATAAATTGTTCTTGCTAAAGCCCGTAATATATGTAATATTATGGATTGAAAAACCAAACCAAACTGTAAGAGAACGTTTACTTACAAACATAAAACTACAATAAAATCAAGTTACCTTTATTCTGAAAACAAAGATGTGTTTTTCATATTCTTCCTGTTTCTCATTCTTCTCTTCCGGGTCAATTCTACTTCGAACATCAAGAACCAAAATAGACTCGTCTCTTGACCGCATGAACGGTTAACCTTTTAAGTCTTTATACATTTTATTTTGCATCAGTTATCTAAAAATGGCGGGCTTACCTCCAGGGGACCCACAGTTGGTCTCGATGATTGTAAACCATTTAAAAACACAAGGATTGTTTGATCAGTTTCGAAGGGAGTGCTTGGCAGACGTGGATACAAAGGTAACTAACTTTTAATTTAGCATGCTAGGTAAGATATCTTGTCTTTCTGTACAACTCTTGGTTGTGCATATTTATGAAGTTTGGGCTACAATTTTGTCTGTTAGTTTCATACATTAGATATACATTAGATATAGCTATATCCAGTTTACAAATGTCTTTCTCCTGTCAGCCTGCTTACTTAAACCTGAAGCAAAGAGTGGACAACTTTGTCTCAAATCACCTTTCCAACCACACATGGAGTCCACATTTGAACAAGAACCAGCTGAGGAACAACATCCGTCAGCTGGTATTGCAGTAAGTTGCAGTACAGTGCATAATACTTTTATGAAAATACTGTTCCATTTTCAACTGTTGTTTAATATTGCAAGTGAATCATTTATTCAATCAGATCAGGGATGCTGGAACAGGGAGTGGACAGAATTGTGGCTCAAGTGGTCGATCCCAAGATCAATCACATCTTTAGGCCACAGGTCGAGAGGGTAGTCCGTGAATTTCTGTCACCTGGAAGTTGTGTTGATGAGCCCACTGCTCTGCTTACTGCCACAGAACCTAAAATGGATTCTATTGAGCAAGGTATGTATAACTTAATGGTATGCTGAGTGTCCGTCATTTGATTGTCTCTATGGAGATGTTATCGCTTTGTCTAGAATATTCCACACTATGGCAACATCTCTTCTCTACATGGAGTCTAGCAGGTGATGTAGTCATGGAGAGGTGACCACACTCTCAATAAGAATGGTATTTTTAGTCACAAAACACCTGCAACTGAATACATGCTACTGATGCAAGGTAAATCTAAAACATTCCGGGCAAAGCGTAACATCTCCATGGAGACAAACATGTCGAAAACTCTTCATCAGGAAAGTTACATAGTGCACCTTTTAAAGTGATTAATACTAATGCATTATGAACATGCCTAGCTGCAGCACCTTCTTCTCCGATGAACACTACTACGAGCAGAGCGATGTCGATCTTGGACACCATCACAACTTTGAGCCAAGAGGCAACTGATAGGGCCACAGCTGAGAAGGGACCAAAACTCGAACCATCAGAGGAACCCATGGAGCTAGACGAAAGTAAGAAGGACACAAGTCATACAGAGGAAGAGGAGGCTGCCCAAGTTAAGGCCCCTGAAGACATGGATGAAGAGAAGCTGGCGACTAAGGTGCAAGAATTAGAGGTAAAGAGTGACAATAATGCACAATCTGAAGTTGAAAAAGAAGAAATAAAAGAAGAGGTAAAGATGGAGGAGAAAGTGTCAGATGTTCATGATGAGACAGTGGAGGAGAAGGACAAATCTTCAACTAAAACGGCTTCCAAGACACCTTTGGAGAAACAAGATGAAGAGCTGAAATCCTCAAGTCAAGCCAAACAGAAAGCCAAAGAGAGGATCAAAGAAGGTGAGCTGCTTTTGTACTATATGTGAAAAATCCAATAATTTACCTTCACATTTTACAATTTCAGGTGGAGGTTTAGGGGCCTTTATAACTCTGGGAGATTTACTTTTTGTTTTTGAAAGAAAGAAATAACATCCAAACTTATGATCCACAAATTCTTTTTAACTGACTTGAACATTAATCTCTTTAGAATTTACTTCAGTCATGTGAATAGGCCAAGTTATTAGAGATATTAACCATAAATGAGGTCTCAACATCTGCAATCTGACAGTTAAACGGCAACTTCAACCATAGAATTCAGATCTTTCCTCCAACTCACGTTTAAAATATAGGGATTATGGGATATCCCTATTATCACTGATGATTCGAATTTGAGTAGTTGTCAATGAGCAATGGTAATTCTCTCAACTTTTTGTGCAGAGTATTCCTTAGAGGACTCAGATCTGGAGGGTCTGAGTGACATCACCGTGAGCTCTGTTCACACTAGTGACCTGTCTTCATTTGAGGAGGAAAGTGACGATGCGCAGACTCCCTCTGATTCTTCTGAGGAGGGAGAGGTTCTGGATGGTTAGTCTTTTTGTTTTACTTGGTCAGAAAAAATGCATTTTTATTTGGCGTAATGTTTCTTTTCCAAATCCCTACAGATGACAAAGAAAAAACTAAAGAAACTAGTGATGATGGAGAGGAAAAACAAAAGCCTCGGAGAAAGGCCTATGTGCATAAGCCCTTCCTGTACTCTCGATACTATAGCGACTCTGACGATGAAGTTACTGTGGAGGAGCGTCGGAGATCAGCGGTCAGTTGCATTGATCGTTCATATGTAACTTTTTATGCATTATTTCTATATGCCATAATGTAATTGATGTTTCTGATGTTTACAGGCTAAGGACAAAGAGGAAAGATTACTGAAGAGGCAGCAAAATAGAGAACGAATGGAGGAGAAGCGTAAGCAGAAGGCAGCACAGACGGAAGAACAAAGTATGTGTCTAGTTTAACATTTGTGTTGTGATTTATCACAATCAAGCATTTTTGTGTTGCAATTTCTCTCAGATAAGAAAAGTCAGAAGAGTGCAGATGTTGCTGCAACTGAGCGCCCAAGAGCCAAGGAGGCACGAAAAGAACGAAAGGTTCTGGAGAAGAAAATGGCTTTAAACAGAAAGAGGAAGTTGGATTCAAGGTAGGTTGTTTTGTGTGATTTGTTGGTATGTTGATTTTTAAAACATGTAACTTTTCCTGGGGGGTGGCCCATCACCTGCTCCATGGAGATGTTAATGCTTTGCCTAGAATGCTCCGCACCTGTATGTGAATATTTGCTAGATGGGGTAAGTTTAATGCCATACTGTGGAACATTACTGCCAAAGCATTATCATCTACATGTAGACAAGCAGGATCAGAATAGTTATATACATCTTTAAAGTGTACTAACTGGACATTGCTTGACCTGTAGGAAAGAGGATGATGTGACAAGCAAGAAGAAAGAAACTGGAGAAGGCACCAAGAAAGTAGTACGTTAACTCACAGTTTTCCGCATGTTGGCCAAAGATAACTTATTAATTTTAACTCCTATATATTTTCTCCCCAACAAGGAAGCAAAGCCCACTCCTTCCAAAACCATGCAGCAAAAGCCTATGAGGCATATGTCTGAATCTGCATCGCCTGATGAGAGGAGCAGGAGGGCGAGTGGCAGTGTGTCTGAGGAAGCTGAACCCAAAAAGATCAGTGACAAAAACCGCACGCACTCCTTCATTTTGGAACTGGAGCAAGGTTCTCAAGAGGCCCTCAAGTATCGCTCCTTCAGTAAATTTGACCGTCCGTCCCGCAAAGAGCTCATTTTGAAAGAACGTAAGGAAAAAGAACGCCAACGGGCTAAACTCAAGCAGAAACAAGCTGAAGTTGAAAACACCCAAAAGGAAAGTGCGTTAGGGAAAGAGGATAAGAACGTAAAAAGGAAAACTGAAGAAGAAAGAAAGAAGAAAACTGAAAAGGAGACAGGTGATGTGAGTTCCAAAGATGTCAAGAAGCTCAAAACTCCATCATTGGAGCAGAAAGCAGAGAAAGTACGAGAGAAGGATAAAGACAAGGATTCAAACAAGGACAAAGCTAAAGCAGAGAAAACAAAAACGGATTTAAAACAGCTGGTTCGCCCAGAATCTGGTGCTGGCTCCTCTGAGGACAAATCTGACCTGGAGCCGGGTTCAGATGCTACCAAAAAGAAGAACAAGCACCCTAAAGAGCTCCTTAAAAGATCCAAGAGTCACACTGATGAAAAACCCAAGTCCAAAACCAATAGTAAAGATGCTGAAAGGGAAAAGACTAAAGCAGGTGATCCACAGAAATTGAACAAATCTGGTTATGAAAGTGAAAAGGATCCCAAAAAGGCCAAAATTACAGAGAAGGAGAAAACTAAGCTAAAATCTAAAGAAGATGCCAAAAGTCCAGCAATATCCAAAAGCGATAAAAAAGGTCATAGCAGTTCAACAGGTTCCCCCAGTATCAAAGAGGAGGCAACAAAGGAGATGAAAAAAGTGGACGGTAAAAAGGAGCAGAGGAAAGACGAAATGGCAAAAGTTGAAAAGAAAATTGACAAAAAGAAAACTGACAAAAGGGATCTTGAAGGTAAAGATGACAGCCGGAAGGACAAACCATCCAAACTTGAAAAGACAAAACCTCAAAAGACTGCTGTATCCTCTGAGGAGCAGCCGAAGAAACCCGCTCTTCTCCCGGACACCAGCACTGACTCCGAGCCTCCTGTTGCCATGGTGACTGCTTCTACATCGGACGACACATGTGACGCCCTGAGCGACATCACCCCAGAACCCTCCGAGGGCGAAACCGATCCGCTCAAAATGACTGTGGTGCCTGCTGAAGCTGACGCCCTGCTCGCACTTGTCAACGTGTGCACCTCAGCCGACGCCCGCCTGCCCGAGCCCAGCGAACAGAGGGAGGGCGTGCAGGAAAGGGCCCAGCAGGAGGCTGATATGAAGATGCAAGAGGCGGCGCTTACACTACTCTCAATGGATCCGGATAGTACAGTAACGTCTGGTTTGATCAGGCAAGAAGGAAATGTATCAGAGGAACCAATGGAGGCAAGTGCAGCTGATGTGATGGACCAGACAGATGTGCTTTCTGATGTATCCCCTGCTGAGGAATCACAAGATGAAGTTAAAGAAGAGAGTGAAGTTATAACAGGTACAATTTTGACGAAATACTATTTAGACCAGGGGTGCCCAAAGTGGTGTATTTGGTCTAAATTAATTTTGCCTTCTAGGGAGCGCTGAGATTTAAAAATGAATCCATATTGATTCAGTTTGGTAGTGAAAAGACAGGAGATGGGATGGGCAAATTCCTGGATATTTTCTGATATATAAAGTCATACATCATACATACATAAACCATACTTTTCTTTGCAGAAGAAAATTTTTATGTAGAAACTGTCAATGCGCATTCATTTTGGTCCCCCAAGGAAAAATCTTTGGACACCCCGAATTTAAACAAAGAAACATGACTAACTACTGTACAATAACGTACCTTTTTTAGGTGTACCTGAAGGCACAAAAACAGAAGCACCGCAAGAAGAGATGGTACCTAAGGTTGTCATTCAAATTATCTTCTCTATCAGATCTATTACTTTTAACCAGAGGTGGGTAGAGTAGCCAAAAATTGTACACAAGTAAGAGTTTAAGAAATTACTCAAGTGAGAGTAAAAAAAGTATTTGACAAAAGTACTACTTCAAGTGAGTAAATTAAAGATTAACTGTTGGGGTGTAACATCAGATTTATATTAAAGTTAATTTCATGTAAAGGGAATAAAAAAAAAAAAACATTAAATATTGCACTAAAAATTGTATTTTCAAGGATAGACACAAAAATTAGAAAAACAAAATCATATTGGTGCAAAAAACACAAATGTTCATACAATTTAATATTATCAGCATAAAGCTTTTGGCGCGTACTCTTTGGTTACTCCTCCCACTGTAACCAAAACTTTAACAAAGTAAAAGTACCGTTACTTATATCTTATATCTTATATCTTACTTCAATAAAAATGGTATTCAGTAGGAGTACACTGCAAGAAAATTACTTAAAATTACAATTTATTCAAAAAGTTACCCAGTTAAATCTAACTGAGTACTACCCACCTCTGCTTTTAGCCTGTTCTTTAGCTATGAACTATAATCATATTGACATTTTGTTTTGTTTTTGGCAATTTTAGGATGAAGGTACAAAACTTGATGAGACTCCCACACTGAAGGAGGAAGCTATGAATGAGCTGCCTGCTGATGTTACTCAAGAAGAAGCAACACAAGAAGGTAATCTGTTCTTAACGATTATTTTGTCCATCCTATATACTTTTGGGGGATAAAACATTTATTTTTGTATTACAGCTACAAATGTTGTAGACGTTGAAGAAAAAGCAGCAGAAGAGAGTGAAACATCTAGACTAGGTATGTAACATCTGAACAATTTATCAGTGAATTTCTATCATGTTTATTATTTTTTACTTTCAGAGCAAAGTGATATTGAGACTAAGAATACATCCACACAAGTAAGACACAATTATTAATTTCACATTAAAGATGTAAATTTACATTTCACACATGTGAGTAATATTTCATTAACTATAGGAGGCAGAGGTGATCACAGAAGAGCACGTAACGAAGATGGACATGGATACAAGTAAGTAAATACAAGTTCATCTGAACGGCACTATACCTTTGGTACCAATGGTGTTACGTTGGCTCCCTCTGGTGGTGTGCGGATTGTTCTGCAGTTCTAGTTTTGAGAATGGTATCCACAACTGCTTTAGCTCTCACTTACAAAGTAGAGTACCATATTAGTGCTGCAAATGTTTCAGTTAAATGTGAAAATCTGAGAAAGTACAGGCATCTTTACTACACTCAGAGCTAATGACTGAAGATAACATTTAACATTGTAGAGTTATTTTGTCTGACTACATTTTATAGTTAGTTGTTACACAATTAATGTTTTACTTTCTTTTTTTTTTTAATCCTCCAGGTGAAACTGAAACTAAGGCTAATGAGGAGATGTGCGTTGCAGCGGAGCAAAGTGAACCACAGATGGTAAGTGCCCAAAAAGGTAGTATACTATAAACAGTCACATTTAAATTCTCCATTTTCATGTTTAATCTTTTTTACTCTTTGGAGAAGCCAGAAAGTGTTGATCAGATTCCTGAAAGTTCATCAGAATGTCGATCTAAATTAGTCAAAGAATCTAGTAAGTTATTTCAAGTTTATGCCTTTCTATGTCAGCTCACTGTTAAATTCAAAGGTATAATTTCATGTCCGGGCTCTTGTTTTTTTAGGCTTCATGTCCAGTACAGACAGTCAAGAAGAAAGGGACTCAGAAAAGGTATTTTCTTGTCAACTAGAATCCCTCATTTTTTCTGATACCTCTTAATAAAATATATGTATGGTTTTAAGGAGGAGAAATCTTTGGGCAGAGGAAGACGTAAACGAAAGTTGTCAATCCGTAAAATGTCTGATTCTGGTACTTATGTATTTTCATTATTATTTAGAATAGACCGTGCCAACAACAGGATAGTGTCACACATTTCTTGTTTTTCTCTTCCTAAAGGTGACGGGAAAGAAAGTCAAGAGGAGGTGAGCGATGTATGGACCAAATAGACAGTTTCCTAAAGGTAGTGTGATTTAAAAGTAAATAAATATTATCGATATTTTTAAGGAAAATTTTGAAGTCAAATCCCCACGAAGAGGACAGTTAACAAGGACAGAAGAGGCAGAGAAGAACCAAAATGAAAAGGCAGAGACACCCACGCGAAGAGGACGCCGCCCAGCCATGGCGAAACAGACCACAGATGGTACCCTTCTGTTTAAAACATTTTATTATACTTACTTAATACAGTTATTTAGTTTTGATTGGTTCTCTTCAGATAAAACTGAAGCTGCAGAGATAGACGTCGTGGAACAGTCAACCTCTGAAAAAACTGAGGAGATGGAGGAACAAGTAAGTGTTACATTAAAGCAGAGGTGTCCACACTTTTTTCACTGAAGGCCAAATATTGAAACATATTTGAAGCAGAGGGCCGTAGACTAGTGGTCACTACAGTGGATCATTCAGATGAATGCATTTTACATAGTTTTGACAGACCCACCATACTTGTTTATTTTAGCACTGTACAATGTGATGTGATGTTATTGAGGTTATAGTAGTAGAATGCCTCTGGTCAGTTGGTCAATTGGGCAATTTCAGCAGAAGGATTGAGAGCCAATATAAATTGGTCTGAGAGCTGCATTTGGCATGATACTACATTGCTTGGAATATTCCACTGTATGGCATTAAACCTATACCAGATCTAACATTCATTCAAATACAGGTGAGTTTATTGCCATACTATGGAACAATCTAGGTAAAGCAAATAGCTTCATGGAAACAAGAAGCTGGCAGACCCTCAACTATAAATGTTACATAATGCACCTCTAAAGTATTTGTATTTCAAATGTATTCATATGAACAATTTATTCTAATTTGTTGAAGAATGAAGAAGAAAATGTGAAGTTGAGCCAGGTTGATGCAGTTGACCCAGTTGACTCTCCTCCAGAACAAAGTGAAAATACTGAATCCTCCAAAGAAGCCACTGATACTGACACTGGTAAGCATTTACTGTGTAGTTCAATAAGCATATGTTGTAATATCTAAGTGAAAAAGTTTTGTTCTTTTAATGTTTCTAACGCATCACCAGATAAACCTTCACTAAAGAGGAAGCGCTCGGAAGAAACTATGGAGGTTGGGTTTGTTCTTTGTTTTACACAGAATAAAAAAAAATCAAGTTTTATGTTCTTTGTGTGTGTTTCTTTCAGCAATCTGCTCCCAGTGTTAAAGATGATATAGAGCAAAACGCTACACCAGAACCAGATGAAGAAGAACCAGACAAAGACACTGGTGAGAAAAGATTCAGTTAATTTATACGAACTATGTAATATTTCTTTATAATGATAATGTGAAACAATAATAAATAATATACATTTTTTGGGGGGGTAGTTTGTTCCCCATCAGAAACAGAGACAGAGAATCAAACCGAATCCAAACAAGAGGACAGTGAAAAACAGGAGGATGTAAGTAGACTATATTGCTGCTATATGTAATTCTAATACATTGTTTTTATGAATGTGTAATATCACCAGACTGAAGACGAGCAACAAGAAGAACAAGATGGAACCGTAAAGAGAGCTGCGCGGAGGGGCAGACCTCCTAAAGCAGCACTTGCCACTGAGGATTCTGACACAAAAGCAGATGATCCAGGTGCAAAAACTCTTGCAAACTACTTTATTCATCTAGACCGTTTGGTTGAATTTGTCTATTTTTTATGGTATATCAAATATATACCATTATAAAAACATCATCAGCATAAAAAGTGTCACTGCATACACACAAACCTGTACAATGAATAAAAAAAAAAAATAGGGCCATTTCCACAGCAATTAAACAATGTTAAACAAATTCTACTGAATGGAATAAAATCCTCAGAATGGTCCATATAATGGAAGCTGAAAATCACTTGCCAAGACATATTTGCAATCTCCATCAGAAGGGTTTTTACAAATTGACTTAAATTTGACAGTAGTAGTATAGTAGTAGCAGTATTAGTAATAATGTATTCTATATTAGCCATTACAAATACCTGTGTTAATAATGTCCACTGTCTCTGTCTCCCCCAGATAAGAGTAAAAAGGAAGAGGACGTAGAAGAAGAGGGGGATCTGGATGAAGAGGATGAAGATGATGAGAAAGAGGAAGGAAAAGAGACTAAGACGCGAGCTACCACGCGTCTGGCATCTCGTCTAGAGGCTGAGAGGTACATCAAACAAGAACGTAAAGCGAAAAAATGAACACACTGTTGTAATGTTTGTTTCCTCTTCAAAAACACACCCAGAGTTGTGTTTTGTTACATTCACACGTTAAACACTTCTATCAAAATAAAAACACATTGTGATGTCATGTAGTAATACAGAAAGTGCTCCACTGTGTTTTTAAACTTCATACACCTCCACTAGAATCATTTGAATAATTTCAGCCCTGAAATTGCCTTCTCTACTAAACAAAAGGTAAACAGTTGCTAAAAGGTTAACTTGAAAACTAGAGCATGTGTGAATGAAACAAAACACAACTCTAGGTATGTTTTTGATGAGGTAACAACATTATAACGTGGCATAAAGCTCACAAGAGTACATTTTGCGAAATATAGGACCTTTAAGAATCAACTTGCTTACAGTATTTCACACAGTGGTTAGTCCTTTGTATCGTGTACCACTAAGAGCTCATGTCACGTTTTATTACATGAACTCGCAAAGATGTAAGTCTCTAAACCAAAGGCTGTAGATACATATTTGTTTTTTATTGATCTTAGAAACAAGCCAAGTAAACCCTCCACCCGGGCAAGTCGACAGAGTGGCAAAGACGAGACCACCGCTGGCACACGGTGAGTTTGGCTTTTCGACGGACACCACAAGGAACGAGCTTAGAACAGCAATCTGACCATTACGGGGCTTATTGAGGGCGAAGGAGGACATTTTAGCATTTTTCCTGGAACTTCAAACATAACAGTCGACTAACAGAAATAAACAGTGTAGTTCAAATAAAAGATGTTTGGTACCACTTTATAAAAACTACACCTTAATTAGCCTTATTAAAGCATGAATAAAGACTTAATTCATAAAGAGGAAATAGTTTATTAAGAATGATTCAGGCTTTGTAACTACTTAAAGGTAAACTTTTTTGGTTCGTCACCTACTTCTCACAGAGGAGTTAGAATATTACACAGTATGGCGTTGAAGTTTTTCATTCCCTATGAGACAAGCAAACAAAATTACAGGTCAGTTCTATGGAGCGGCGATCCCACTCACATTAAGAAGGTTTTCAAGATAAGTTTTTAGCAAATGAAATAACCTGTAATTGAATAAATATAAGATAGATGAGTGAAATCAACAATACCAATAAAGGCATTAGGGTTTGGATATTATGTAATTAGTTACTAAGCCTGAAGTATTCCAAATAATCTGTTCATTATGATTTGACATTGGTCCTCAGGGACAGTGTTGTAGGATATAGTTATAGTACTTTTGCATCTGTGTATCTGGCAACATTGGAAAAGTTGTACACCAATAATTTATCAGGTTATAGTGAGGTCACAGTTTAAACTCACATTTCATATTTTTCTGATGTGTTGAGCTATTACAAAACAGAACATAACAAGCGGTCTATTCAGCAGACCAAAATGCAAATGGCGTATTTGAAATGTGTCTCCCTCTCCTCCGACCCCTCTCATGTAGCCCCGTCAGTTCCACTTTTTGTATTGGCCGCATGTAATCCATGAATTAACAAAGACAAGTTTTTACAGCACTTAAATATGACACTCGCAGACAGACTGACACTTGCTCCTTGTTTCCGTGCAGCGGTGGAGCGAGGGGCCGCAAACGGGAGAGCAGCCCCCCCGTGGCGCGCACGCGGGGAGCTCAGAAATCAGAGGAGCCCCCTTCCAAGCGAGCTAAACGCTAACATGTCTGACACTGAAAAACTGCTGCCTTCAACACTCTGTTTCACCACTGCATATTCAAGGAAGAAGCAGGTTTATTCCACCAAAAAGCTGTCAACAAAAAGGTAACTTGTTGATTCTGGGAAAAAAAATGTATAAGTCAATTTGATTCCTTCTAAATCTGTAGATTTGTGCAGAATACCTTTGACTTTACAGCCATATGGTTTGAATCAGTCCTCCTGTACGTTCACAGTAATACTCTGTAATAGAGTTTCAGGTCACTGGTAAGTAGTGGAGTAGTGTTGTTCTTGGAGATAATGAACTGAGTTGAATTGTAAATTACATCAGGTTCACTTTTATATGTCACGTTGTTTCAAGTGTTTTATCTCTGCATTGTACCAAGCGGCCACACGGAGGCATTTTAAAGTATATTATTCATTCTATGAATGATGAGGCATTTATATCCTGTTTTACTTTGTTTTTATACATGATGGGTCTGTTCATTAGCAAGAATACTGCTGTTCCTGCAGTTGTCTTTTTATACTTTTGTGTTTTATATTGTCAAAAGACAATACATGTTTGTCATATACCAGTATGTCAGTACTGTAGAACATTAACTTTTACATAAATGTTTTTGTTTAAAGCCTGTTGTTCCTTCTGATCATTTGTTTGACCTTTTTTTTTATCTGTAAATTCAGTCTGAACACATGTGGATAAATTAAATAGTATGTTCTTATATTAGTGCTGCAAGATTAATCACAATCAGATCAAACTCACAATTTCAGTGACAAATCACAAAGGCTGCACTTTTTGGATTACCATCATTTCCCCCACCGTATTTTGCATAAAAACTGCTGACCTTGTAGTTAGATCTGTGCAAACATGTTCTGAATTGTATTAGACTTAAAAACCTGAGTTCATATTTCACTCTCTTGTCATTTTTTCAGGACTCGTTTAAATTGTAAACTTTGAACAGAATCCTATCAAAACATAAACCGCAAATCTGATCGCAATGCTTGTCAGAAAAATCACAATAATATAAAGTAGGACTTTGGGAAGACACTACATATGATAACGATACAGATAAGAGAATCTTTTATTTGCCCCATGTGTTTCAATATAAAGTGCAAGAACAGCAGGAGAATAAAGAATATGCACTCAAAAATCAAGATGAATAACTGTTTAAAAATGCAATGTTAGATTCAAAACATAAAATCATAATCTTTACATAGTGGTATCAGCCTGCATCAGTACCTGGTCATTATCCGGTCTTTCTAAATGATTGTGTTGTCTACAGAGCCTAAATAGAAACACATTTGTGAGTAGAGAGGTAGAAGAGGACATTCCTGCCTGCTAATGGAGGAGAAACTGACAAACTAAGGATGAAATATTCACATCTTTTTCACGTCGAATCCTGCTGCACCTGAACACAAGTACCTCTAGAACAGCCTGCAGTTTTCTGACCACACCGAGCTCATCAGGTATTTCCTTATGAAGCCTTGGCAGACACACAGCAGTCCATTCACTCACTTATACCATTTTATTATAGGCGTTTTTATTGTTCTTAAGGATTTTGGATTTCGCCAGCAGACGCCACATTATTTTTTATATTTTGAAGTTGGGTTCTTAGTTTATGTGTGGCCTACATAAATGTTCAAGTGTATTTAACTCTGCAATAAAATTAATGGTGATAATACGCTTTTTCAGCTAAAATTGGAAGAAATGCAGACAATTTTCCAGCCCTGGAAATTTTATTAAAGATATTTTACTTCTAGGTTATTGCATAGTAGCAGTCCAGGAATTTAACTGCATTACTAAAAGACGAGAGTAAAGGTGAGAAAATTTGCTGCCGTTGTCAATAATTACTCACAACTTAAACTATTAGTATCCACTTTACATATGTTGCTTTTATAAGAAGATAAAAACACAAAATGTCGGTCTCTAAAATATCTTAAACCATCGTTTCTCAAACTCCGGTACATGAGGTCCTGAACTGTTCCAATATTGGCTTAATCCAAAATCAGTATTATCCACTTTGTTGTCTTCCTTTGTGTAATTTCTTTGTTAGAACTACTGTACCAATGACATTTCAATTTTACATCTGGTTTTATTCTAGTTTACACCTAGAATTGCAGAACTGGTGCTACTCTAAAAGCAATATATTTATAGGTTCGACTTAAAGGTGTGAAATCTTAGAACTGCCGTCTTAAACAATTGAATAGCAAGTCTTTGAGTATTATTAGTGACTCCATACTTTTCCACTTAATACAACAGGTCACTGGGGTCATACAGGTGTTGTTATCCGGTGGTACGGTGCTGTCTGTTTGAGCACCGCAGGGCCTGGGACAAGGGGCTCCATCTGCCCCACTGCTGCCCCTCTATATGGGGGAGTGGTCTTTCCTCCAGTGGGGATTTGGTGGAGCTCGCTGGCACTGAATATAATGTTAGCCCATTCAGTGACCCTCTCATAAGGTATAAAGGTGAACAGGTGTTTAACGTCACAACCGTTTCCAATGAGACGCACAGAAATGGTCAGTGACAAGCACCAGGGAGAGTTTTATCCCTTTTGTCCGATTCATTATTTGGATTTTTGAATACTTGAGATTGTGGTTTTTATCACGTCTGTAATACACATTAGTCATTTTTTGGTTGAAATTAATTTTGCTTTGCGCTAAATGTGTTATGTTTTAGGTTAGAAAATACATTTTAATGACCTTGCTGTTTACCAAAAGTGTGAGTCTTAAATCCTATTTAAGGGCTTCAGAAAGATAAAAATTAGGATTGTTACCATGGTAATTAATGATAAAAAAAAAGGGCTATATCTTTTAAATGGAAAAAAACTGCAAAGTGTTTAATATAACAGAAACCATAAACTCATGAATATTGAGAATCTTCTATGTCAGTTCTTCAATCCAGTTTTTCTGAGTGATAAAACTGTTACCATAGCAATTAACAGTAAAAACAATAAGCAACACTTTTTAAATGGGGACAAATCAGTGTTGCATATAACCAGGTACCTGAAATTCATGAATAGTGAGAATAGTGAGGCAGTATCTTTTAAATGAGGAAAAAAAAAATGTTGCATGTAACAGGAACCTGGAATTCAGGAGTCCAGAGCACATGGGGGAAAGATGACTGAAAGATGACAAACATATTTTAATAATGAATACATAAATAAATAAATGAATAAATAATACATCAGTTATTTTAATCTGATTTTTAGACCATTGTCCCTGTAAATTAGCCCTTTGTATTTGAGCCATCCATCAAACGCAGTGCTGACTCATCTCCAGATTTTGAGCCAGGATCGTGGCAAGGAGAAGTTACAAAGCTGTAGGCCTACTGTACAAATTAAATTGAAGTAAGACACTGGAATACCTGGATTTGAACCCACCTAGACATAAAAAATATTACACACATTTTGGGGAAAAAATAAAAACTAGCCAGCATGTTCACGAACTTTTTCATGACCACACCATGTTGACTGCCTTTTTAAACATGCCTTTAGTCAAGAGTGAGTGGAGAAGAATAGGGCAGTCAGACAGAGCTGCGTACATTATCTATGGCATGCTTGTAGAGTATGAAGATCCATTTGTCAGCTTGGCGTGCCTTGGAACTGTCTATAAATCACGTCGGCACTATCTACACACATTAATTGGACTGTAACAGCTCAGGCAACCCCTGAAAGAAAGTGCTTGGTCTCCGGTATCTCTCGTAATCTTTCGTAAAGTGTTCTGAACAGCTTCCAGGAAATAGTCCGTATTCCTTGCACGTCTCTTGGTTACATTTATTGCATTAAGTTCAAAATCCCAAGAGCTCTCACTGTTGCATGCAAGGATATTTTTCTTCAGTCGACGGTCATTACATTGCCAGCTAAACGCACACTTAAGGCTAGTGGTAACCCTGCACCTCTCCTTGTATTTTTCAAAGTTTGTTCCATGTTGCTTTCCCATTGGTTCTGATATTAAGCTGACAACAAATATAGAGAGGACATTTTGGGAGCCTTTATTGAAAATGACACAGCCCCTTCGTGTCTTGAAGCATCTGAATACAATTTTGTGGCTATTCTCACATGTGTGCGTGTGAGGGCATGGTGTGTATCCTTGTATGTAGACTAGCAGCCCATATAAGAAAGTCAAGACCTGTCATAAACACACCCAGCAAGGGAGGCCAAACACAGAGGTTACTATGGAAACTGTCAAATTGCTGCTTCAGGAGAAATTTCTGTGATATTTAGCATTACAGTTACAAGAGGAGGCAGAGTGAAGGGGGTTGTGCACAGGCAGACCATGCTCTGTGCTATAATGTGCAATTACAGTTTATTTCTTTACTGGAAAGGTGGTGGGAACTTCACCCCGTGCTTCACATGGGGCTGCTATAGGGACGGCTGTAAGAGGGAGAGTCGACAAAGAGTCTGGGTGTATTAGGAAGTGTCACTGTAGATAGAAAAAGACACCAGAATATACCTTTTCCCGGCACAGTCATTATGTAGTTAATATCTCATCTTTCTTCCTTCTGTCTGGGCCGCAGTCCCTCCCACACCAGCAGAGGGAGCCAAGTCGTTATATAGGGTGAAAGTAATCAACTGAACACGTTTGATAGGTTAATCTATTAATCGAAATTATAAAATAAGCACAATCAGTAATTTTAACAAGACGCGCGCTTGTGCGTAAAATACGAACGCAAGGACTGTATTGCTCATCGTTAAAAGGCAATAAAACATAGCGTTCTTAAATAAATGAATCGTCCTGGTTTTCATCACTCTTCCCAAATGAGTGGATGGCGAGGCTCATAACTCAGTTTGAAGGAAGATTTAGGGGATTGTAAGTCATTATGACCTATTAGTCCGTCTAATTAATACATTTAGGCTAATTTTGAGTGGCCCCCAGAAATCCACAGAGCACTTTTGCAACCCCACTACATATACTGTGCGTGTTGATGGAAGAAACCGCTTAAAAAAAAAAAAAAAAAACAAAAAAAAAAACACAGGTTTCATACTTATACTCAAACCCAATAGCCATAGAGTTTTTGCTGTAGCTCTCATCAAGCCTTTTAAGAATAGGCTCTAATAACACTAAGCATTTAGATAAGACTGATTTACGTTATTATCAAAAGTGTAAGTAGATTTGCAATAAAAAATAAATAAAGTATGAGGCCTATAGAGAAAGTGCCGCCGAGGCCTTGAATGGAGGCAGTGGCGCGCGGAGTGAAGAGATCCAGACGGTGTCGGCGGTTTGTGTTCCTTTGTTCCACTTGTGTTTCTTTGCTGCTTTGATACCAGTTGTAATATCCAAGGTCAAAGTCGCCGCAAGACCATTTCGCTTACAGGCCTAGCCCAGGACTTTGGTGGGTTACACCTCGTTAACTGAGACGTATCAGTGTAACTCCTGCCATCAGAACCACACTTTTAGGTTTTATTGGCAGTTTCAGTCACAGCCTTTAAATCGGGAATTAAGATTACCAATAATTTAATCTTTCTTTTATTTTTTCCCTGTTAACATTTTTTGTTGCGTTGAATTGCTAATTTGGATATTGGTCAGAACACAAATAATGCAGTAGATTTCATATAGTTTAGACTAAACCCAGTACAATTTTAACACATAATTACACTACCCTGCCTAATCAGTCGTTTTTTTCGCCCTAATTATATAAAGAGGCCAACCATACGTTACAAAATACTAAAAGATTGATATGCAATGCCTACTCTCATAAGTTTGTGCAGCAAACAACACAGCATATATAGGACTATATGTATATATGTTTTATTATTATGCCTATTATTTTAATAATAGCAAATGCACATACATTTAAACAAAACAGATCCCATCAAGGGAGTATTAGAATTCTCACAATACATACATTTACAGATTATTCAGATAGACACTTTAATTCTTCAGCAGGTTGTGAAATAAATCCGATCTGTATTCACATTAGGCTTACGCTACACCTGCGTAGTACGCGAAGGCCACAAAGATAGCCTATATATTTCCCCAGAAATTATAGGTATTATTTTTAACCTTTTTTTGGGCCAAAGCACACTTATTTGTTAAAAGATGCCATGGCACACCATAGGCCAACATTCAAATAAAACCAAATTAAACCATGTTGAAAGAATGTGGTGATGTTTGTGCCACTGTTTCTGCAATTGTAGATTGGCAAAATTGTTTGGGCGTCTTTTCGGGTTCAGACATTTGCTCAGTGCCCCTTTGATGCCAAAATATTAGGCAAAATAATTAATCTGCCATTTTTTTAAAGGCTCGCCTGGCAATCCCTCAGTGCACACTTTGAAAATCATTTAGGTCACGCACGCAATACGAAATACGTAAAATGCACATTACAGAGGCATTTCTTTTAAAAACTAAGGACATGGCCTGAGTGTTGTTTTAATGTTGCAGTTGAATAGCACAGATACAACAGGACAAGAATCATTCTCTTTTAATTATCATTTGATGATGTAAACAAAAACCTTTTAAATTTAAAATCTCGCACAGTGATCTCATTTTACGCACAGAATAACCACGTTATGGACACAATGGTGTTTGTGACGTGAGCGTGGAATTCTTAGTGTAAGTCAGCCTAACATAAATTAATTGAATTAGTTAATTTGTGGGTCATTGTCATGAGGCGACACTAAAGTCAAAGTGTTTATTTGCGTTTAAAACTCTCCCATATGAAATTTCCAAATACCCTACTTCAACTTCATCTCATTGAAAGTAGCGTGGCTTTCAGGGACCAATCGCACAAGGCCTGCCCTCCTCTGCGGACCAATAGAAAGCGGCTGCGCGAGCCTGTCAGTCACAGGTGAGGGGGGATAGTGAAGCTGGAGTGAAAAGGGCCGTAGAGCGAAGTGCGCCTGTGTCCATGGCACAACTATGAAGACGAGCCGATTTACGCCCGTGGATGTAGGAACAACGTATCACCGCTTATCCTTGGGGAGTGCGACTCGGAAACAACTTTTGTGGAACTACATTTGATGCGATTTAACATAGGAATAGCGTCAAATACGGATGAACTGACTATATTTTCACGTTCTCGGTTAGTGAATTCTAGTTGAAGATCGCGAAACTTTGCTCTAGTAAAATGGCCGTTCATGGCAATTCCTTAATGCCCTTTTCCATCCAAGCCATCCTGAACAAAAAGGACGACAGTCGACACTTTGCTGAGGTTGACATGTGCTTCTCTAAGGCAGCGTGCTGGAAAATATTTGGTGATATGAACAGTGTTTCTCGAAGAGAAGATGGCGAAGTTTGTGAACCCACGGACCAGAAGATCTACGATTCTGACTCGGGACTGAGCGATGACACCGAAAGCAAACCTCTGTCTGCGTGTAAATCTGAGAAGGACGCAGACAATGTGTCAGATATACCCGAGGAAAGTCTGCACGAGGAGACGGACCAGGAGTCCACGTGTGTGGAACACACTAAAAGTGACAGCGAGCCCAATAACGCAACAGGTAGGGCATCACAGCTTTACTACAGTTTGTAACAATACACACACTATATTTAAGCCTCCAAATTGTTTTTTTCTTTTTTTCTGTAGGTTACTGTAGCGCGTGGACTGTATTAATTTATTTGTTGGCATAGGGTTATTCTTTATTAAAACTTGTGATTGTGGTTTGCCCGTTTGAGCATAATTCTTGTACAACATATGAGTCACATTTACTCATTAATATTATTATTATTCATTAATTATTTTTTATAGGCTTGTATTGCTATAACTAGAGCAACAACAAGAACAATGAATGGCACCTTTCAAAATAATTTACGCGCAGGTTTAGTAAATGGTTCACTACATTATTTTGACCATTGTATCTGGTAGGCCTACTTTAAATAGGCTACTTTAAAGACTGATAGTCATGACTGAAATTGTAGGCTTGCAGAAACACAAAAACAAAAACTGTGACAAATATTTTGTTGTGTCTGTCAGACTCGAGCACGATGGAGGACAAAAGTCTTGACCAGCCCAAACAGAGGAAGAAGCGCTCCAGAGCGGCCTTCTCACACGCGCAGGTCTTTGAGCTGGAGCGCCGCTTTAATCACCAGCGGTACCTGTCGGGTCCGGAGCGGGCGGATCTAGCGGCTTCTCTCAAACTCACAGAGACTCAGGTCAAGATCTGGTTCCAGAACCGCAGGTACAAGACCAAACGGCGCCAGATGGCCGCTGACCTGATGGCCTCCACTCCCGCCGCCAAGAAAGTGGCAGTGAAGGTTCTGGTGCGAGACGATCAGAGACAGTACAGCCCGGGAGAGATCCTACGGCCTCCGCTGCTCTCACTGCAGCCGCCCTATTACTATCCTTATGCGTACTGCCTACCTGCGTGGACACTATCTGCATGCACTGGCAATCAGTGAGAACACCTCCAATTAGATCATATTTATTCATTTTGTTTTATTCCACTGATCTATAGGAAATTGAACTGTTAAAAGAGGAGATACAATTCCTTTATTAAAAAAAAACTCATCTTCCATTGGCAGTGGTAAAAGGTCTTCTTCTCCAAAGTGAACTTTAAAACTATTGGCGGAGGACTGTGTGTCAGTGTGTAAGCCTCTGAAGGCCTTTTCTGGAGTGGAGCTGTGGTAAACATCGTTTTGACTGAAAGGAAAAAAACAAAAACAAAAAACACATGTTTGGTTTCTATTTGAGATTCACCTTCCTACCTCTGCAGTGGCAACAGGCAAAATCTTTGTATTATAGAATGTATCTTTTGTGTTTGGAAAGGTATAAAAATCTGCACTTTGAGCTTAAACACATTATGTCTATGTTAATTATAAACTTTTTTTGTATTCATGCATCAGGCTAAACTATGTGGCTGAAAGGGACCAAAACAGACAAACCCTCTAAAATGTATGTGCTGTTTGAAACTATTAAAACATATCTATATATCAGGTTTTAACATTTTTGAGACCTTATTTTTTACACTTGAATTACAGTAATATTTAAATGATTTGCTGGACAGGGTTGTGCAGCATAATTCACAACCAAAGTTTAAAACAAGATCAAATTTGAATTCCCCAACCCTATACGCTTTCTTCCTGCCCCCTTTTCCCAGATGCACCTGTCAGACAATGATGAATAGCCCTGAGATTGCAGGACAGGGCAAACTGACAGGTACCTTTAAAGTTGCGCGTCAACAAGAGGAGAGGAGTATGCTGGGGTTAAGGAGGCCCATGTCACCGTGCTCTCTATAGTCAGAGAGGTGAACAAAGGTTCACGAAGCACTAAGGAACCACCCTCATCGTCTGCTGCTGATGGTTTGGCATCGACAAGATTTTAGAAGGGATATTACGCACTAGATTTCATTGCATTTTGGCGCGCTTAATTTGTTGCTAACGTCCTGGTCCTGTTGCTTCCTATTTTTTTTTACATTTCATTGGTTGAGTATGTTCGATTTTTTATATATATATATTTTTATATAGACGCACAACTCCGTCACTACAAATGGGCATGGCTTTGCACAGCCAGCAATCAACAGTGCGTCCGGCCCAGACACATGCTGCCCGAACTTTCATTATTACGCACGAAAACATCCCTGTGTAGGTGCAGTGAGTTGTGAGACTGTTTTATGAATGTGGACGTCCCACAGGCCACCGGCACTCTTGCACTGATACTTGTTGTCCATACAGAAACTCAGAGGACAGGAAGGATACCAAGAGTTCTCATACCTGCATGTGCGTGTGCAGGTATCTGATACAGAGGACATGGCTTTTCAACCCGCCGTTGCTGAAATGCAAACATCCACATTCCTCTCTTCTACTTATTTTTTACGTGTAGGCTAGGCCTACTTTTGACCGATTGAACGGTTAGTGTTCAAATCATAAGATACAAAACCTGTGGGATTTTAAGGCCTATGTCACCGTCATTACGCACAAGTGTGTGCGTTCAATGTGTTTTTCCTTAGTTTTCATAACTATAGGCTATATTTATCTTATGATAAGCTATGTTACGCATTTAAGACAGACCTATTGTATTAGGTTATATTCAAATCCCCACATAATGGTTTTAATAATTTACTGTATCAAAACGCTGAGTTTTAGACTATACAAAAAATCATAGCCACAAAGAATGTAACATGCAATGTGTGTCCTGCATTGACCAAAAAATAATAAAATGACTGCTTAATGTTAGGGCTAACAGCCAGGAAATTAAAGATGTGTTTGATCATATTGTAGCCTAGGGGCTTAAAGAGTGTTCACAGTCCTGAAAAACTGTACTGCGTTTGTTGTGTTTAAGAATGTCATATTCCAGGTTTGTCTCACTGTTTATAGACTAGTCAGGTTGTGCGTAAAGCATTTCTTGCGCCCTGTTTTTCGATGAAAATGTCCTAGGTCTTTGATTTCCGTGCAGTGCAGATTTTAGATGCTCCTAATTATCCCACTTTTGCAATCGTATTTGAGATGAGTCCTTTATAATGCAAATATTACACAGACGAGGAAGGTGGTTACCAGCGTTTAGCAGCAGTTTTGAAGCCTTACATTACAAGGGAGTGTCGTTTATGTTTCTGTTCAGACACGCGCCCCCATCAATAATTATTTATTTGGATGTCAAAATTCTTAGCCAATTTTAATTTATGGGAAGATGATGGGACAGAGATTTAATATCCTGTTAATAAAAATGGGGATAGGCAATAGGATATTATACACAATTGAAGTGCGTCTGTATTAAATAATAATTATACCCTAAAAATAAATAGAGCTAAATGCTAAATAAAGTACCGTATGTAAAATAATTACATTCTGTTGTACAGACTTGAGTAAAATCTACAAAATGAAGACAATCCACCTGACCTAAAAAAAATAAATAAAAAAAATTGCCTATACCTTGAACAAATCAATCAGTTAACGTGCACGCAATTGGTCAGTTTTTTTCCCTCATTATTTTGCATGTTTGGTGGGACGCCCGTGGTAAATATTATGATATTATACATTATAGCTATATTAAATATGCCTATATTAGGTTTTATATCAGTCAAGAGCCAGTTTGTGAAGAAAGACGACATGACGTTGTACAGGTATCAGTCTGTCTGTCTGTCATCAGTGCACAAAATTCTATCCAAAAATGCAGGAACAATTTACGCACAAGGAACACATTAAAACAGACATCCATCTAACAAAATAAAGGTTTTGATGTTTATTTTTATTTTTAAATTAATAACTAATTATTTGTCTATAGTGTTGTCCATGTCCAACCAGGAAGTAAAATGATAAGCTTTACCAAAATTATAAAAAATGTTTACTGTGTTTACTACTGAAATCTAACTTGTCATATGCACTTTAAGCTTTAAATGCTCTGTGACTTTTCTGGTGGAGGCTGCTTGTCTTTGTGGAGATGTTTTTGTTTTGCCTAGAATGTTCAAAATCATGGCATCACCTTCCTCATCCAGGTGAAGTAAGATCTGTGGAGAGGCGAACCCACTGAGCGTATGATTTGCAGTACTAGGTAGGTCCTTTTTTTTTTTTTTTTTTTTTTTTTTTTAAATCAATAAAGATCTGCAATGGAATAAATACGATATAGATTAATTTAATGCTATGCTGTGGGGCATCACAGCAGAGCAACAACTCCATTGTGGTGGAAACCAAAGGAAAAGTTTTGGATCTTTAGTGCTGACAAGGCTATAGTGTCATCATGCGCTACTACTGACCAGTGTCCAAGATTAATGAAGCACACGTGCACAGGCATAAAAGATGGAGGGAGCGTGCATGGTGTATGCCTTTTCTCGGCTATGACCTTAATCACCATGACAACCGGGAGCGTCAGAGGACGCTACATCAACTGACTTCCGGTTAAGCTACAGTCTGCAGAGAACAATCAATCTGGTAGCGTTTTACTGGCATTTAATTATGTTATCTTGCGTTTAATCGTTATTTTCTTAAAGATAAACAAAAATCATTGTAACATAGCTCTGGTCTATGTGGTTGCGCGTGCGCCGTGCGTAAACCGTGCCAAGCCAAGGGGATGTGTTTCAAAATGGCGTCCGTTGCTCCGCTCAGCACACATTTAATCCACTGATAATTAGCCAGATATGTGCCAGTCTGTCAAAAATCTTTAAGGTACAGGTTTTTCTTTTACATTTCACAAAAAGCGCTTCGCCATGTCGGACTCTGAGGAGGAAAGTCAAGACAGACAGCTAAAAATCGTGGTAATAGGAGACGGAGCCTGTGGAAAGGTACGTAAGCCCCCTTTCAGCTCTACCTTTGACTTGTTTTATCCTAGAACATGTTAGAAAAGACCACAGGCACGCTGCAGTTTGTCTCTGTTGTTGTCGTGCATCCTGGTCTCTCGCGCTCACCACGCTGTTTAGCTGCGCGTTCTTATCCAGCGTCACCATAGCGACCAGGCTAATGCGGAGCTTTACAAGCGTGCTACTCTGCGCACTGCTGTCAGAAGACAAGAGCACATGGGATTTCAAATCGTCTAGGAAAAAGACACATGATGACCCATTAAGTTCGATATGTTTATGCTGTATTTACGACCAATTCATTTCGCTATGTTAGGGTGGCCAGACGTGCCTATTTATCCGGGACAGTCCCAGTTTTGAGCCCTGTGTCCCCTGTCCCAGATTTAACCCAAATCATTGATTTGTCCCAGTTTTATACAAGAAATGCCCCAGATGTCCCTATTTTTGACCAATTTGATCTCTGCCAACAGTAAAGAGAGGCATACGTTGTAATTTGTATAGATAACACACAAAAAAGCTGCTTAAAACCGATCGAAAAACAAAGAAAATGTGACTATAGTGACTCACATGTTAGTCATGAATAGTCTCTGCATAACATTTTTCCTTAATTATGCACTCATTTCACAATTTTATTATTACCAACCACCAAAAAAATGGGGATGTCTCTGTTTTTTATCTTGAAATTCTGGTCACGATAAAAGACTCAACTTCAGTGTTTTTTTGTTGTTTTGTTTTTCTGAAATTTAATTTTTCTGCAGCCTACTTTGTTCCTTATGAATAAAGGTGTCAGCAGCATGGGGAATAAATAATGTCAGCAGGGACATGAAATGCTTTGTTCAGCTAAACCTCTAGTTTCCTAATTAATCTCATAGTCAGAGAGATGTAGTAGCTTACTCAGTTACATTTAGACTTTTCAGATAGCTACTTTTACGGCCATACTTGTGTAATATATAGTGTAATAGTACATCTAATCTTATAAAAAGTGTTAGTTACTTCTCCCTCTGTGAGTAAGTCTACATTCTGCCCTTGCAGTTACATAAACTTAAAATGTTACGTGCATGCAGTTACAGTTATGTTTACTTGAGTAGTAGTTTCCCCAAATACTTTTTTACTCTAACATGAGTCATTTTTAGATGACGTTGTACTTCTACTTGAGTAATATTATTTAGAAGTAACATTATTTGTGTACAATTTTTAACTATCTCAGGTACACCTGCTCTAGTCTTCCAGTGGTAGGTAATAATGCAGGGAATAATGCAACTGGGAAAAATAGTATCCTTATTGTAGAAAAGTGAGATTTTTGGGTTAAGAAATGTGTTTTCATATTCAGCTGCATTAATAAGCCTCTCTCCACTGTGCAGCCAGGTGTGCGCTGTGTGAAAGACTGCCCTGGCTGTTTGTGTTTGGGGTCAGAACAGCAGCACTGCACCCCCCTTTAGAACAGCCATTTGTGACTGACGGCTTGAATACTGTTTCCCTCTTATTAATGTCAATTTGTTGGGCAAATTGACACTGGATCAGTTTTTCTTGGACTGCTATTTTCAGTCGTTCTTGTGCATGTGCCCATTCAGAAACATAGGGAATAGTGAACCTGAATTAGATGTTTGCACAGGGGAGCCTCAGTATAAGTCTGCACTGGAGTAGTAAAAGTAAGACCTTCATAAAGCTTCTCACGCAGACAAAAAAAAAAAAAAAAAAAAGCAGTTCTATGAAATCCTTCTTTAATATGGAGGAATTATATATTTTTCAGTATCGGTATTGGTGATGTCAGAGGGTTTTTCCCGATATCTGTTTTGTGCAATACAACCTGATATTTGACATTGCCCTTGTCACTTTGTGTAACCATGCATATGTCATTCTCAGTTTGCCCTCAGTGCATCAGATGTTTGTTTTTTGAACTGCCTAATGAGTACAAATGGAAATAGTGGAGCAGTAAGGCTACAAAATAGGGCTATGCTAATCATGTAAATATTATATTATAGCTAAATGTAGGTTATCGGCCACAGCAGCAAGACAAATATCAGATATCGGGTCAAAAAACCCACATTGAACCCTTCCATTTGTCTATTTCCAACAGTTTGGACAGTTTGCGTAGAACAATGAGGAGAGCCATACATTACTTTCTGTTATTTGGGTTGCATCACTTGAACACTGATGGCTCAGCTGTGTTCCCCTCCCAGCCTCTTGTTTTAGAAGTTCCCCCGTTTCCCGGCATGGCTATCATCGGTGACCCAGTCAGGAGGATTACGCCAGCTTTTACATTCGTCGGTTAGTTTCAATTGTATGGTGGAAAAAAAGGAGTATTTAGGGAGGAAAGCCAAGGCACTGGAATGCCAAGACAAATGTCCGACTAGGCCAAAGTGAGCATGTGGAATAGATTTTTGCTGTCTGAACCTGTTATTTTTGTGTTGTCTGTGATTGTTTAGCCTACTTAAATGCCTGATTTTCTTCAGTCACATTCAGTTAACGTTCAGTCTCTCATTTACTGAAGTATTCTCTAAAATGTGTTGTAAATGTGCACAGCCCTGGAGGATTATTTATAAATAAAATTGTAAAATTCAAAACATCTTAAAGGCCAAAATGTGAACAGAACACTTGTACAATATTGTATATTTATTATATTATATCATTTAAGCAGACCTCCAATTTATCATCATCATAAAGTGAGCAAAGATTCATGCAGCCTTTGAAGACTTAACAAATTACAAATTATTTTCCACCAGTATATGTGAAAAATATTTTAATGTTATGTAGATTTGTAGAGGCAAAACTGCTTGATTTAGTTTGTATTGTTTGTGTGCATAGGCCTCTAAAGATAGCTAATAGTCATTCAGCACTTTTTCCAGTCCCCATCCATCAAACAGAATTGTGCTTGGCACATCAGGTCCACGCTCAGAATTCCCATGGATTTAAGAGCCCCGAACATGAGCATCGCTCCCTCCTTCAGCACAACAGTGACAGTGATGGGAGCTTTATAATTTGTGGCAATTATTAGTCTGGAGTCTGGAGACATGACACACAGTGACACCTGTTTTTGTAATCCCCATTTTCACATGTCACTTCCACAGCTGAGTGCTGGGGCTGACATCAGCCTACTGTCCAGTCAATCATGCAGACTTTACAGCGGCTTGACTTGGATTGGTAATGATGAGATTAATAGCCTGTTACTCACACTAGCGTGAATTATAGCTGTGTGCAGCTGGAGAAATGAAAGTGGAGTTAACAGAGAGCAGAATACTCTAAAAAGCTTAGCTTGGCCTGTGGACAGAGTGAATATTTAGTTCTATGCAATGGTATGCATCTCGTAGTTCTGCAAGCCATCAAAATAAAGGATTCAGGAAACGTTTTAATATGCATATTTAAGAAAAAAAGTTCTGCAGCATCTTACATTTCCTTCATAGTGAGTGTACTGAGCAGATCTGCTGTGTATCCACATAAGATAATGAATCTCATGCCCCAGTGTTTGTAACATGGGCCTATTGCTTCAGGTGAGACACTTTCTCATTTCTTTGTCTTCTTTTGTCTCTGTTTTAGACATCGCTCGCCACCAGGTTTGCACAGGAGGCCTTTGGGAAGCAGTACAAACAGACCATTGGTCTGGATTTCTTTCTGAAGAGAATAAGCCTTCCAGGTGAGACACCTTCACACTATTACAATATGAACGTTGTTTGTTCAGGGATTTGCCTTGGAGCATGGACCCACATCTGTGAGTGTGTGCTACCACTTTAAACAGTTTTACTCTGGTTCATTAGGAAATTATGTAATATCTGTTTACATTAGTCAGTATAGTTCTAATTTGAAGTATTTTTATGTGCTAAATTTTTCATACTATTAATGTTGTTCTTATTGTTGGGTGTCCCACTTTTCTGCCTTTTGAAATCTCCTCTCCAGAGAAAACACCACACTCTTTCTCCTCCTCAAGGCCAGTTTGACAACTTCAGGCCAAATGGGCTAGCCATGCTCGTAACTCTGTGGGCTCAGGCAGAGTAAATATATAAAGATTTTATATTCATATCACAGATCCCCCAGTTCAACTCATCTTTGTGGTATAGTGCATAAAACAGTCATGTTAATATTTGTTTATAGAAGTCACAGAGTATTCTATGTTCCCTTCAGATTTATAAAATACATGTTTATTGACTAGTGCCATAATTAGATCAAACTGCCCTGATTCACCATACGAAATGTGGATTTCCACCATGTCCTTAATGCGACTTACAAATCTTTTCTAAAACTGATGAACCACAATTCTTTTATTTCAAATGCATCCACTCTAGGCAGGGGCAAATGAAGTGTTAAACATAGTGTATGACTGTGAGTTGGCCGGAGAATTGTATTTAGATTCTGTGTCCTTTTCAGCTTAAAAACTTAGCAGAACTTAACCCCAAAAATGTTGCGGTGAAGCTGGAATGAAAAGCAAACTTGTGTGGATCCCGTTCCCAATAAGAGCCGTCTAATCATCCGACTGACGCCTCGCAGTTTATTTCCAGCGGTCACACTTATCTGACTGTAACCTTTATTTGACTATGTCCATCCTTCCCATTGGAGCACTGGCAACACTGGCCCAACACAGGGGTTGTTAAATGGGCCATTTTCTGGGGAATTGAGTGTTGATGAGCTGATGAAGAGGAGGGTGGCTGAACGAGCAGGGTGGTCCCAAACGCGGTCAGGACCACCACCCTGCGTTGTATTGGCCCGGGCGCGCGGCTCTGTGGGTCTCGCTGGGGTAGTAAGGATCTCTTTGCAGGGAGGAAGGAAGGGGGGGGGGTAGCCTGTAGCGTCTTACCATGAAGGGTTAGATTAAACTTAACGTAATGTGGCTTCTTTATTCAAGTAATAGTTTATTTCTATTTTATTTTAATTCTTAGTTACACATTACATTTTTATTAGGCCTTATTTGACACCTGTCTCTTGCAAATTTTGATACTTATTTAGAATTTATTATTACCAAATTATTTTTTTTCTCTTTGTCATTATATTATATTGTGATGTGTGAGCTACTGTGTCCAAATATTTTCCCTTGTCAATCAATAAAGTTTGTCTAAATCTAAGTCTAGTTTGTAATTGTTTATCCATTCAAATTCTTCTCTCAAATGTTAATGTTCCTGTTTAAAATGTGTGCTCTGGACAGAATCCTAGTTTTAAAAAAATTGCAGATGTAATCGCATTATACAAAATGAAATGAAAATTAACAAACTAATCACCAGCTATTCAGTAAGGATCTCTGCAGCAGAGGAGGGGAGGGAGGAAGAGTACCCTATACCGTCTTACCATGAAGGCCTGGCTTGTCAAACTTAATGTACATTTTCCAGCACGGGCAGAGGTGAGGTGAGGCGAACAGGCGCACAAACAAACTGCTCTGTGTGTGTAGCTCTATAACAATACTACTCCCAGATGTCTTAGCCAAACCAGAGAGGTAGAAGTGCTAAAGGAGAGCGACAAGAGAGCTAAATGAGTGGACACATTTCTGAAGTTGCGCTGTCCGTCTTTGCCAGGTGTTGTTCTGTGAAGTTATGCAACGCCTTGTCAAGTACGGCCGCAGTTTGAATGGCCGCAATTAGCAAAAATGGCAAAGACAGCAATTCTTTCAAGTAACATCAAAGGCCCCCTATCCGAAATTTTCCATGTATATGAGCAAAATTTGTCTTGCCTCAGTACAGATGTATTGTATTACTCTTAAGGTCAAAATATGCCTGTGTGCTGTCTATATCTAAAGTGTTTAATTGCCCAATAATCAGGACATGCATTGCCAGCATGCTAGTTGTCATTGTTAACATTATCGCAACGACACAACACAGCTCTGCCCTCTGGAAGTTGTCACAAGTGCATATGAGCTCATCAGTAAATGTACTAAAAGTGCACTTGGTGATTATCGATCTATAGAGCACTGTATATGCCGATAGTTCACAGCTGACTTATTTTGACCTCAAGAGCTGTTTATATAATGTATCTGTATTGGAGCAAGATGAGTTTTCTTCAAATACATAAAAAAATGGAGGCCTTTAAGACTTTTTTGTACTGGACAGTGAACTAGTGATACTCAACATGGAGGAGAGACAAACTGTTTAGACTGCCCTGCGTTACATTAAATAACTACTCACTGCTACTCTGTCAATGCAGTGAACACAGCTCTGAGCTTGGCAAAATGGTTTTATTGATATAATATATTTATTTGGCTCTAATAAACAAACATAGCAATTGGGATTTTTAAAAGTTTATCTGTCGGACTGCTCTTTCTCCCAAACTCCTGAATCAGCGTCGACCTGTGAAACATAAATAAAGACGTGCGGATCCATGGGCCGGGATGGCTTTTTATATAACACCAAGGGAGCGTTGTCCATGGTGCCCCTCTCTGTAGCTTTACATTGACACTGTATAGTCTGGATGTAGTGACTGTGAACCTCCGCGCTTCCTCCCATGCTTTAAAAAGGGGGACTTATGGAGGGTTGGGTCATCCAGCCGTGTCCACACTGTTTTCATTTTCATTCATTTTCCAAAAGTTTGAAAATATTTGTTTGGATTTGGGTTTTCGTGCCATCTCTCTTTCCGCCACTCTTGCGTTAACTCCCTTTTTCCACAGAAATGACAACCTCTGTTTGTTTTTTTTCCAGTTTTGTGTTTAATTGTTGCTATTTTTTGTAACTGTGAAGTTCTCTCTTTCCGTCCAGGATAGGGCATGGCACAATGCATGCAGATATTCCCATGCTTGTGACTTATTTTCACCCCAGTGTTGGGAAGAGGGATGGGCAATGTATTGGTTCCATTATCGGAATTGAGGATATCTGAGGGTTTTCCCAATGTCGGGATTGGCTACAATTTCAATATATCAGACTGATATTTTGGCCAATATTTTTTTCTTGGCTGTCCCAGTTTCTGTGTGCCGTGAACAATAATCTCATTGTATTCATTTTATACTTAATACTTGCTACAGTTAAAGTGCAAAATGTTCTGCTCAGTAACCTTGAATGATGCTTGCGACTCTGTTTTATGAAACAAACTGCAGAAGCTTCAGAAGATTCCCAGGGTAAAACTCTCAGCTAAAGATAACATTTATAAATGGACAATACCAAACCTTTGATCTCGCAGACCCTCAGAAACCCTGTGCTAGACGCTTATAGACTCTCTGATACTTTTTTGCCTGTATATGTCATCCTGATATTGTGAATCCATGCTGTAACATCATTAAAGGCACTGTAGAACGATCCGTGCCTTTGTGCCTGTTTTTCCTTTTTGCAAGATACAACACAAATCAACAGTGCCCATGTGTCAGTCTCATTGTATGCTCATTGCATCAGATGTGTCTTTTGCAACAGAGTCATGAGTTAAAATGGAAATAGAACAAAGTTAAAAATATGGATGTATGTTAACACAACCATGCAAGAAATTCTTATACCCTAGATTAGCAGTTCCCAAAGTCGGGCCCCAGAAGAATTGTACAACATCAAGCTTGGAAATTAAGCTTTAAATTACTTTACATAAGATATTTGTTTATTTATATAAGCCTATAACCCACAGGAATGCATTTTTTTTAACATGTACAATGAAGGAGAAAACATTACACATTGTTTTTACATGTAGTGTAAAACATTATTAAGGGGGCCCTCTGTGATTTTCGGATCAATAGAGGGGCCGTGGCACAGAAGTCTTTGGGAATGGCTGCCCTAGATAAATACATTGTGAAAAAATAATTTGTAACCTACCAGTAGTATAACTATAAAATTTGCTGACCATTTTAAAATGTTAATATCAGTTGTAGACCATAGCAGCAAGACAAATATCGGAAATTGGTATCTGCTCAAAAAAATCCATATCAGACCCATCCATATTTAGTTGAGAAAGTGTAATATTATTATTATAATATTACTAAGCGTACTATACATTCAGCTAGCCCTCTCTGAATGGATATTCTTGGATTTGAGGTGCGGGTGAACTGCCAGATAAAGCGTGAGGTTTGAAAGATTTATCGCTGATTTATAGATTTCATTATGTAGATCAACAAGCACCACTTTTATTATAGAAGTCGCTCACTGAAATAGAGGCTTGAGTTACAGTTGACTTCTTATTTACCTCAACTTCTGTGCTTTGTCAAAACAATCAAGGTATTAATTTAAGAGAAGAAAAAATATATAGCTGATGTTGTAAAATCAAAATACTGTGATAGATTTCTAACATTTTTTTGTATTTGTTTTGCTGTAGGTAACCTGAACGTGACCCTACAGGTGTGGGATATCGGAGGGCAAACGTTGGGAGGAAAAATGCTGGATAAATACATCTATGGGGCTCATGTAAGGTGACACACATTTAAATTTGCACTCACTGCACTTTGGAGGTTTAATATAACTCGCTGGTGAAGAAGGTCCAAAAACACATAAGAAATCACTATACATTCCTTTTATCAGTGTGGTTCTTATTATTAGTCGTAGTAATTTCATCCAGGCCTTGTTGCCAACATTGCTTTTATTTTAAGTTTGTTTTTAGTGGAATGCACCTGTTAGGTTAATGTTCTTCGAAGTATAATGATAATTACTACTTTGAACTTACAATGCCATCTTATTTATAATTGTGAATTGTATTGAATATGATGCAGCGTATGGCCCAGCATAACTTGACTTGACATTTACTTGTGATGTGGCACTCTAAAACTTGAACAATATGCTAAAACAGTCAATAGGGACAAGATCTTGAGAGGCAAAATTGCTACAAGATTTTGCGGATGAGAAAAGTTCTTTTGTTAGATTTTTTCCCCCAATGTGTTTATCTTTGGCATAGACAAAACGAGTTATGTGGTGCTGAGTCACACTTCTTGAGAAGCTGGAGGTCCAATAGTCAGTGCTACAAAGACAACAAAAATACTGGTACCACCTTATAATAACTATGCCTAAGTGGCCTTAATGATGAACCTTAAACATGAACAAATACTAAATTCACAAACAAATAGTGCAGGCGTATCAAACTCAAATTTACAGAGGGCCAAATAAAAAAAAAAAACTGGGACTAAGTAGTGAGCCTAACTAAATATTTATTGAAAAATTTCATCAATATCTGCATGTTTTCTCTTCTTTCGAGATATGTAATGTTAAACCTTTTCTTATTAAAATAAATGTTTAATGATAGTTTTGCTGAAACACTGAATCCAGAACAAGCATAATATAAAATAATAACAACATTTTAAATAAATAATGCCTTTATAGCCTGTATCAGACCCTAACTCTAACTTTGAGCATTAACTCTTTGATTAAGAACTGTTTCTTCATGCTTTGGCTAAGGCTAATTAAGGTCTAGTTACTACAAAGTTTAACCAAAAAAATAAATAAATTAATAAAATACAAAACTGTTAACCTCATAGCACTATTTAATTATTATGAATTATGTCAAAGTTTTTCTTCTTGCCACTCCATTTCGAGAAATGTGCTTTTCTGTTGTTTACAATGTATTTGTAGTATGACACAAACTCGAAATAAAATAAAAAAACGAATCGAATCCAAAATGTCTCATGGGCCCCATCTCTTGTTTCGCCTTTAGGGAATTATGTCATCCAACTACAGAAAGTACGATAGTCCTATGCGGTTGCCATAGTATGAGCTGTCACCTCCAGAATGTCTAAAGTGCTCTTCTTCAGACTTCTCCTGCGATCCTGATCACATATGACTAGAAGCAGAGTTATTTTTTACCATATAAACATTGAAGTAATTTTATATAATTTTAGTTTTAACATTCCAATTTATGGGGTGGGCAATAGTGACAGACGTGAATATATTTTTTGAGTATTATTCCAGCAACAATATTCAAACAATATTGTAACAGTGCATCAGGATAGCATGTGTTAAAATGTGTCTATAAACGTGAATGGACCATAAAATTAACAATAAAAATAACAAAAATACTAGTTTATAACCTTATACTAGACATTTCTGTATCTTTTTATGGTTTATAATAGTTTTCATTACAGACAATATACTCAGTAGGCCAATTCTAATTTTGTCTTATTTTCACCAACGGAAAGCTCTCATAAGTCAGCGGTCAGTTACAACACTTGGCTGAGGGAGTTTCTGTGTTTTCACTGTATGCTACCTCTGCACCTATTGTTGTCCTGCGCCTCTGGTAATCAATCATACTTGTTTGGAGAAACCTGCAGTAATTGTGCGAGGTGTAAGCTGTCAGCGCTGAGCTCCGTGTTGTGACAGTGGAACAAAAAGGGACAGACAAGCAGCCCCGTCGTGTTGCATCACCAGCACAAGGAGAGCAGACAATGCACTTTTCCAGTCCCTCTCCAAAGGCATTAGCTCAAGAGGTGAACACAGAGCCACGGTATAATTGCTTTTCTGATACTATGGCCTGATGATTTTTTTTGTCCCTCCTTTAATTTTCACCTTAATCATTTTTATTATCATTATTATGAAATTATAGTATACATTTACGGAACAAAAATGAGCCAAAGTAAAAAATGATAAAGAATAAAATGAAATACAATATTTTTTACGCACATTATTAAAATATATTGTTATGATTAAGGCATTGAAGAGTTTGCAGTTTCATGGCCATGTAACTTTTATTGTTCCTTCTCTCTATTTTTGACAAAAGTAAAAATATAGTAATTTCCTAATTGATGCTAGTTATATTTAGTTCCTCACTAGAGTTACTTATAGTGCTGCAAGTCAGCTGTGTTCAAGTTTGGTAAAGTTTGTTTATGTAGCTGTCCTTATTAAATCACCATACAAAAAGAAGGAAAAATATCTTTGGACATTTGAAACCAATAACATTTCAACAAAATATTATTCAGAATTCTAGTCAAACAGTGTTAGAACAAAGAGGAAGCTAGTTGGGCCTAGTTATTCCATCTTGAACCTCTGCTTCACATTTGTTGCAAACATCATGCAGCTTGCACAGTTCCATCAAGTAGGGATGTCCCATCTTATGTCCCTTGCCCTAAAAAGAGAAGTAGTGCCACCTACTGTTCCCATTTCTAACTGACTCACACTTGGCAATGTTTTCATCAATCTTAATAGAATATCAACCTTATGGGTAGGCCTGTCACGATAAGTAAAATATATAGTTACAGAAGAAATATTTCGATAAACATATAATATTGAAACTACTTTATGCCACCAACATAATAACCTGAAAGCTGGAGAATTACTGTAAAGTTTTATTTTTAATGTACAGTAATGTTAAAAGTCATGAGTTGCAACAATCAAAAAGCAAAAGGAAAAAAGTTACTTACTCAAATCAAAATTACAAAAACACAAAAATAAAACTTCTACACAATAAATATTTAACCCCAAAATATATTGTTCCAGCTATGAACTACTGAACGATAAGTTGATATAGTAATTAGCATGAGAGCCAGGCCTAATCATGCCCAAAATGTGTCAGAATTGCTTCACTGTGTGTTGTATGTTTGGTTGTCCTCTACATAAAGCAAAATTTTTTATAGTTTTCCCAACATTACCTTATCAATATTTGCTACAGGGAGTCCTCCTCGTGTACGACATCACCAACTACCAAAGCTTTGAGAACCTGGAGGACTGGTACACCATGGTGAAGAAGGCCAACGAAGAGTCCGAAGTCCAGCCGGTCATCTCCCTGGTCGGAAACAAAAGTGAGTATCGCATCGGACAGCATTACTAAGCTCTTATCATTCCATTTAAACAACATTAGTTACAGAGTTAGGTTATCTTCTATTTACACCAGCACTGAGTATTTCCCTATACATTTGGGACATTTTTCATCCCGCGTGTCTGTTTGTGTGCGTGTAGGAGTGAGCGGTCATTGATCAGAGTGATAAGGCAGTGGATAAGCGTGTGAGGTTCTGTGGTGAAGGGAATGTTGATGTTTGTGAAGTTTGGGGAGGGAGAGACAGTGATTAAACGTACTTTAGAGCATTGAACATTCTGGGGTGCTCCTTATCCGCGACCCTCCCATGCTCACCGTTGTCCTGCGTCCCCCGTGAAAACAGGAGATGCTAACCAGACCATGACGATTTATGAAAAAACAAGAAACTTAGAATGAACAGTGGGTAAAGTAGGCAAATCATGTACGCAGGTTAAAGGTGCATTGTGTAACTTTTCTGGTGGAGGGTCTGTCAAATGCTTCTCTCCGTGGAGATGTTATTGCTTTGTCCCGAATGTTTCACACTCTCATATTAAACTTTTCTGTCTTCATGGAGACCAAACCAGACCAACTTACAGATCAGATCTATGGAGAGGTAACCCCGGTTACAGTCAGAATGCCAGTTTTTCTAGGTATTTTTGAGCTGTAATTGAATAAAGTAGGACAATTTAATTCCATACTGTGAAACATTCCAGGCAGAGCAATGACATCTACAGAAACAAGCAGGTGGAAGACCCTCTACCAGAAAAGTTACGTAATGCACATTTAAAGGACAGGCAGCTAAATAGAAGAACAAAGTAGTGGTCAAACAAATTACTCAAGTAAGAATAATTCTGTTTGGAAATTAATGTACGATAATTGGAAAAGACGAGATCTGGTATTTTCAAAAGTTATAAAAATTGAATCTTAGTGTATGGAAAGAAACTCAAAAGATCAAATTTAATATTGTCAGTAAGCTTTTGTAGTAGCTTCATTCATGACGTATTCTTCCAAACAAATCTGCGCACAAAGCCTTCTTTTGGCATTCACTGCTCTTCAATTTGTTCTTAACAGAAAAAAGTTCTTCTGGAAGAGCAAATCCTAAGAACAGACATGAGCACTCGTATGCACAAAATTCAGCCCTTTTAGAATATTATTACTCTTCCAATACAACCATAAATTCTACTTACTCTTTGATTATAAGTTATGTATTTTTGATGATCTCAACAAAGAAAATGTAATCAGCATTGGGATTAGGTCCACAATTTTTGTCGTAATAGTAGGATTTTGTTGAGAGTACACATTTTAAACTTATCCAGGAGCTTTCACATGAAGAATCACTCACATATCAGTACATATTTGTTGATGACTAAGCTGTCCAGGAGATGAAAAATTGTTACCATAGCCATAAACAATTTAACATACTGAATGCTCAAAAGTTCTCAAAATGATGCCTATAACAGGAAACTGAAACCCCTTTATGAGAGAATTTCTACACAACAATCAGCGAATATTTGTCGTCGACTAGTAATGCAGTTTTAGAGATTTTATAATTTCACCCATTTAAATTGTTCATCCTTTTTGAGATGAATCCTGAGGCTCTGGAGTGTACATCCAGCTTTACTTGTGATAGACATTCAGCACAGCGATGTACACAGGAAGCTCTTGGGAAAGTTACTCAACGGGGTTCATAGGTCACACTTAAATGTGTCTGTCTCGACCGCATTCTCCTGTCTATGGCCAAGCATCTCTTAATGCCTGAGGGCGCCTCTGTATTTAGGCTACGTTTAGGTTCTGTGTACATTCTAATATCTAAGTAGTGTATATAGCACTGTCAGGGCCTATATGCGGCTCTCACACACTCACTCTCCTCCTCTAATAGCTCTATCGCTCAGAAAGCTCCACGTGTCTTTCCTTTTTTATTTTTTCATTGCGAGCTGAAATCCCTCACGATTGGCCTGCAAGGAGCAATCACTAACTTATTGAGACTTTACACTTTCAAAACTGTCTACATTTATGACTCGGTGAATATAAGCTTAGTATTTTTTATTTATTTAATTTTTAGCACATTTAAGTTTCTGGTAACTTTCATATTAACTACATGTTTTATCCTCTGAAAATTAGGGACTGCGCTTTTCGCATACCAGTTGCTGTTAGTATTACCATGTTGACAAAAATCCACTGGTCTCTGAATGTTGTAATGCTGAATAATTAGAATACTAACTAGGACTGGGAATGTGTTAGAAGATAAGTTTGGAGCACTGCAAACCATTTAATTCTATTTTTCATTTTCTAAAGTAGGTAGAAATCAACTCTTCAAATCTTTTAAGTAATACCCTAACCCTTATTATGTAATTACTAAGCCCAAGTCATTCTTTATTAACTCTTGGCTTATTATGAATTAAAGGGCCCATATAATGATATTTTCTGATCTATGTCATAATGTTGTTTCCTTATCACAAACATACCTGGTGCTGTGTTTTGTTTCATTCATACATGTTTAACATGCACACCCTGCATATTTAGGCTCAGTTCTTCTCCCACACAGAAAACACTCTGTTCCACCTTGTGATGTCATGTGGTAATACAGAAAGTATTGCCTGTGTTTTTAACCTCCATACACCTTCACTAGAAACATTTGGATATTTTCAGCCCTGGACTTGCCAGTCTCTACTAAACGAAAGGTAAAAGGTAGCCTTTAACTTGAAAACTACTGCTTCATCAGACATCATAAGGTGGAACAGAACATTTTGAGCTTTGGAGATATACAGACTAATAAAGCTAATAAAGCAAACATAATTTCACGTTGTGTTTGAGGAGGCAACAGCATTCTAATATGGTTTAAAGCTCAGAAAAGTAAATTTTGTGTAATATAGTACCTAAGTCTTGTTTCTTGCTTTATTTTAGACTAATTATTTATTTTTTTTATTATTATTAATTACTGTGTAGTTTTTATAATCAGGTATCATGTTTCTAAAATTCTTCAAACTTTCAGAATCATTTTGAAAAAAGTTTCAAATAGTTCCCATGACACTGGGTAGGGTGTTTGTTAAAACTAAAATAGATGTATAGACATAACAAGAGGCTTAAGAAAACACAGTGGATTTATGTCTCTGAGAGGTTTGTATTGCCTGTTCTAAGATAAACTTAAGGTTAACAGTGGTCATAGATGTCACGCTCCATAGCCTGTGGAACAGCAGCAGCACCTATTCTTACCATTGGTTACAAAATGGTATTTTAGTTTTTGTCACCTCACACCAACTTGTTTTTCAATTGCGATATATGTTCAAATGCAACTGTAAAACACACAGTTTCTTCCACACAACTTTCTTGGACAGGAAGGTCATGGCTGGTGAGGCATACTTAAGAATAGTGCACTCTTTGTCCCTCCCTGAATCTTACTCATTTAAAATAATATCATATGGAGACACCTTAATTGATATTAACATTTCAATCAAAACATTGATATTGGCAGTAAAAAAAAACATATCTGCTGATCTCTGCTTTGATTATCCCACTGCAATTGTTTGATAAAATAAAACTCCCTTTTGGTGTCTAAATAATGTAGCTTTTGTCACTCATGCTTTAAAATGTACCATATTATTCATCATATAGTTTGTAACAACAATAATAGGAATGCTATTGCCTTTGTAAATATTCCAGTCTAACATGACAATACATCAGCCTGTCTTGTTTATGAAATGGGGATTTGGGCCTTTGCTTGCTCCCCAGTCACTGCTGTTCTCATTGCTGGTGCTCTGGGGAGCCCAGAGCATCCATCATGGTCTTGTACAGCCCTTATTTGGGTGACTTAAATGGGTTCATTTCTCTTAACCCCTCCTCATCACTCATGGCTTTTGCTCTGAGCTCTAACACTGTTCACTGGCCACTCACTCAGGCCTGCATGGGAAACCTCTGTGCCCTGTGCAGATCAGCTCTCCACATGTCCACTGTTTGTGCAGTTGTGTTCTACCTGCTTTTCTATTTGTCGTCTTTGTATCTTTGTATCTCTATCGTGCACCATCTCCAGACACACTTACACGTATTTTCAACACTGGGCAAACAGAGGTGCTTTCACTCACATACTTAGGCAGGCTCTGAATGCTTATCTCTCACACGTGTAGACTAACACTTGAGCTAGAGCTGTCTTTATACAGTAATGTCTTTTCATTGGCGGTGCCTCTGTTGTTTTAAACAACATGCTTGTGTTTGCCTGTACTGCACGTTACAGCACATCAAACCACAGATCGCTGCGCACCAAACTTTTTATACACATTTAAAATGTAAAACACAACATAGATCACCTCTTAGTCTGATTTTCTAAAGTGCGTCCTTGCCACCAACATTGTTGGTCTTGAGTTGTTTGCCCTCTTGGCACGCTCCAGGTGAGGCTGCCTCCCTCACCCCGGTCACCTCCATGCCCCTGTAAAGCTGCCACAGTTCCTGTCTGTTCAGTGTAGGCTTGCACATTTCTTAATAGAGAGATGTTCAGAAGTCCAGGAGTGCAGAGGAGCTCAATGCGCTTCTGTTTTTGGTTTAGCTCAAAAATGTTTTTCCTGGCTCAACCCACTCGTACTTAGGTCCTCTTACAACAAACTAAAAGGTCCTAATTGCCCCCAGGGGAAAGCTTTAGCCACAATAGACATGTGGTGGGACAAAAGCCCAGTACTCTTACGGTGCACCTCAGCCCTCCCCACATTGGAGGGATGAACACGTCAGCACTGTCTGTGTAGCACTGTGAGCAACCCAACCACAAGTTAGACATTGTAAAACATTATATATACAGTATTGAGACTCTGCGTACGCCTCGCAAAAGACCCGGAATGTTTACAGTTTACAGCAAATCCAGTGTTTCCTGTTTCCCCACATGGTTTGTTATAGGTAGGAGGTCAGAATAGATACGTGTATCAAATTGTCTCTGTGACCGCAGTGACTGTGCTCGCTGGAAAATGATAGGAAGTGGAGAATTAGGTTGCATTAAGCCAATAGAGGGATGAGTGAAGGCTTACA